GCTAATAATTTGGAAAACCATAGACTCCAAAAAGTACTTGAAAGTACTGTCAATTTTTAACCAGTTAAGTTCTTGGATCATTAAGTTCCCGTAAGCCGTAAATAAATCTGCAACAGCTGTTTTGAATTTTATGCAATTTATATTTATTAATACCATAAACCATAGTTCATAATCGAAAGGACAAGTGATTGAGCTAAAAGTTTCCGTAAACTGAAATTAAGGACAGTTCTATATCTGTATAAATGACGCAAAACCAAATAAGACTTTTTCACCAACAAAGATACATATTCGACGAATCTAAGTCTACAATCAAATATAACACCAAGGTTTTTATTATTCACCGTTAATTAATAAATATATTTGGGATACTTGTTCAATGCTAGGTTTAGGAGAAAAGAACATTACACTGCATTTTTTAGCATTAAGTTGAAGATTATGCTTAGAGGAATATAGAAATAAGTTCCATATGATATAAATTGCAGCAATACCAAATAATTTAGGATCGAGGGAGTAAACTAGCTGAGCGTCATCAGCAAATGAATGCAAATTCAAATTTTCGATGGATGTAAGGGGTGTTTTTTTTCGATGTAGAGAACTTTAAGTTGTAATAAAACAACGATGATTGACGATTGACATGAATTTTATTTATCCGAAAGATAATATTGTGGCATTACATTTTAAATATGATTTCTGGCACATGACCGCCACGGCTGGCGCGGATGTAGTCCAATCTGGACGTCCAATTTTCGATGACTTTTTCCAGCATTTGTGGCCGTATATCGGCAATAACACGGCGAATGTTGTCTTCCAAATGGTCAAGCGTTGGTAGCTTATCCGCATAGACCAATGACTTTACATAGCCCCACAGGAAGTAGTCTAGTGGTGTTAACTCACAAGGTCTTGAAGGCCAATTCACAGGTCCAAAACGTGAAATTAGGCGGTCACCAAACGTGTCTTTCAATAAATCGATTGTGGCACGACCTGTGTGACATGTTGCGCCGTCTTGTTGAAACCACATCTCCTGGACATCATGGTTATTCAATTCAGGAATGAAAGAGTTAGTAATCATAGCTCTATACCGATCACCATTGACTGTAACGTTCTGGCCACCATCGTTTTTGAAGAAGTACGGACCAATGATTCCACCAGCATACAAAGCGCACCAAACAGTCAGTTTTTCTGGATGTAACGGTGTTTCGACATACACTTGAGGATTAGCTTCGCTTTAGTTTTGTTTGTTGACGTAGCCATTCAACCAGAAGTGCGCTTCATCGCTAAACAAAATTCGATTATGAAAATAGGGAACAGCGGCAATCTCGTATTGGGCCCATTCGACGAATTTACGCCTTACTTGATGATCGTTTGGCTTCAATTCTTGCACGAGTTGGATTTTGTAAGCACGTAAACCAAGATCCTTCCGCAAAATCTTCCATAAAGTGCATAGACACAGATCCAATTCCTGTGCTCGATGGCGGATGGACTCATTCGGGTCTTCCTCAATGCTACGCTCTACAGCAGCAATAGCTTCTTCTGTACACACCGTACGGCGTCTCTGGGGATGCGAGTTATCAATAACGTAGTAAACGTAGTGCGAAAACGTTCCATGGTTAATCGAATTAACTGCTCTGATGGACGATTTTGTCGACGATAAAATGGACGTAGTGCGCGATATGTATTCCGCACAGAACCATTTTCGAAATAAAATAATACTATTTGCAAGCGTTCAGGCGTGAATCTATTCATGATGAATTGCCAAACCAAACTGAGAATGAATCACTTGACAGCTGTTAAATCGGTCGCCATCTTGAACACTAATGCCAACTTAAAGTTCTATACATCGAAAAAAAACACCCATTATAAATATCAGAAATATAAATTAAGGACAGAACCTTGTGGTACACCTGATGAAACAGGGAGAAATTCAGAACTTATCAAGGCTAACTCTCTGATATCTGTTAGCTAAGTAGTTTTGAAAAAAACGAGACGAAACATCATCGAAGCCGTAGTAACTTAATTTGGGGCACATAAGGTTATGGTCAAGCCGATCAAAGGCGTTAGTGTAATCTAAAGATATAAGTGCAGTCAGAGGACCATTATCTAAAAAACTAATAATGCGATCGTTTATGTATAAAACAATATGATTAGAAATAACAATCATAAATTTGTACATTTATGACTTTCTTCAAAACTTTGGATAAAGTTTGGAAGAATACTGATTGGTGGAAGGTCTAGCTGAGATTGCTGAGGGCTTTCCAAATTTTTGCTGCACACTTGTATACGAGAAATTAAGGAAAAACCCCGAATAATACTGTTTAAATGAACAACAAACAATTGTAGCCATTATTAATCTCGCACTTTCTAAAAATTTTGGAAAGGACACTCTTCTATTAAGCATACATATATGTTGCATTTTTGTTTCATTGTTCGCATGGAGCTGCGCCGTTATATTAGCAGATTTTTGTAGTATCTCATACTCGATATAAATTGATGTTGTAAATTTTATTATCATTATTCCCAAATAATTGAATCAAATAAGTGTTCAAATAGTATAATTAACCATCACATGTTATCCTAAAATTTGTATAAATTTCCGTTTTAGTTAATAATTAAACCATTTGCAGACATTCTTGCATTTTTTTTACCGCCCAATTACAACTAAAATATCCGTCGAGATCTTTTTTTTTGTGCAAATAATAAAACAGTACAATTTAATGTCCGATCTCGACCCCCCTAATTTTAAATAAGAAGGTAAATAAGTTTCAGTATAAAGTGCTTGCAAGAACAGTTTAAAACTTACATAGTCACTTAAAAACTTCTGCTGCTTTATTTTGTTTCGCCTTACCTCCTTCGTTCCTTTTCGTAAATATTTCAAGCTAATTTCTTGTCCCTTTTCCTCAAAATATTTTTTTTAATTCACTAGATGTAATTACACTTTGTGTGAAATGTGCTTGTGATTAATTAATGCCATCTCTTTTGCGACCACACCATATTTAAAAAAAATAATTTTAATTAATTCTTATCTATAAAAATTACCAAAAAAAAAATACTTTTTTGTCATTTTAAACCATGACTTAAAAACTTTGCGGAAAACATAATTACTGAGATTTCGCATTGCAAACCGATCTTTTGTCTGTTTATATATTCGGAATGTAATTTTACTTTTTTGAACGCACTAGTTAATTGATTATATTATTTGAGAGTAAATGCTAAGTTGATAGCGTAATAACGAATTATTGATAACGATATTGATAATATTATAAATTCAATGATTTGAATAAATGAAGCAAAATGGATAGAAAAGATCTTCCAACAGCTTTTATTTGTCAATTCGACGTTATTGCTGCAAGCGCAGCGCAATGTTTTGGATAATATTTTTCGTTCTTTTGGAATGTCTAGGACACCCTTCATTACTCTCACAACAAACACATCGCGACGTTACATGTGCAAATTGGGGTTGAGCAAGTGCATCGTTATTGCGTCGTGTAGGGAGGATGACGAACTCCACCCGCGCCAATAACTCAATACTTTAAGAATACTATGCCGTTTACACTATTTTTTGAGTTCTTATCTTTAGCAAAACTGGTATTTTACTGTACATAAATAATATGAATGATTACAAAAATTAGTAGAGAATAACTTTTTTGTCGTTTTTCAATAACTATTATGCAGGTACTGCATTACTGGAAGTTGTAATCTCAATTAAAAATAATCCAGTTTTTTCATTCCTATTGGCAGATGGCGGCAAAGTAGTTTTTATTACTGGGTTAAAATTACATATTATATTTTTAGCTGTTAGCTGATATAATAACAACCTAGGTGCCGGATGATGGAAAGCGTAGCCTCTAAGCATATTTAGCCGGTTTTAATCTATGTTTGATTGGTGCGGTTAACAGGGGCCTTGTTTATTTTATACAGCCATGTACAACGTTATCACGTACGATAGTAGCTCCGGCAGTCACAGGGGGGCCACTTTAACAAGCGTATACACCCACGGCGTTTAATAAACTTACACGTGATGCGCGTGTACACCCACCTTTAGGAGTTGGTTAGACGCAACGAGCGAACGCGATGATTCTCGCCCCATTGATTTTAATTACTTGCGTTCATAACCCATCCCGATACCAGTAAAATGGCCATTACCCTGTTTTGGTTTGTGATTCGCCTCGCCTGCAAACCTGGGAAGTTTCCAAGCCACCAAGCCGTAAATTCAGAGTGCCTACCTAACTAAGTATACTAATTCCGTTTTCGTTTCGATTTTAAATTGTTCAAAATATTTATAGTACGGTCCTGGCGCCCGATTTTATTATTCGAGCATGAATTACAAATGCTCCGCAACAAGCGTATCGCATTCCGCGACATTATAGGGTGTACAAACGCGAAAGCATCCGAGCACAATAATTTTTAATTCGACTGCTGCTGGAACTAGTTTGCGAGGCGAGACGAGGCGGCCTACTTCTTAGGAGGATGGCCTTGTCGCTTGGTCGAGGCAAGGCGGTCGCGGTCCATTGCAAAAAGAAATGTTCAAAATAGCTTGCATAATTTTGTCTTTACACCCAGCCAAGAAGTCCACATTTGTTTCTTAAAATATTAAAAAAAAAATAAGCCAAGCTATCCCACTCAACTAGGCCCCGGAGGGATTCGAACCCTCGATCTCCTGTTTACTAGACAGGCGCTTTAACCAACTAAGCCACGGCGCCATTAAGTACAATTGCTTCCAACACACTAACAAACCACATATCAGAATATTACAAATGGTAATAAAAATTATCATTTTTCACTAACAAACCTCTTCAATTGATTAGTGTATGATAACTGCTGTCCTCCAAAATGATTATTATTATATTATTTATAAAAGCCAAATCTGACGGCAGCAAAGGATTCCTATTTTTCAAGTTTACAACGCTGCCCAGAGATAGCGCCCTATGTAGGATTCAAATCACGTTTTCCATTACTAACGCGCACTGATATTGTTAATTATTTTGATTTAATGAGGCCAAAATATTAATTCATAAAGCGATAAGCATAAATGCCTAATAAATTAATGTGCGATTGTATTCAAATAACTGTTCGCTTGATAAAAAATATTCATCCGTTAGTCCAAAAATATGGTGGGTCAGCGTTTATCGACAATCGTGTCGACGACCGCAAAATTGCCAAAATGCGACATCGTCCCTAAAAAGTACACAGTAAGTCTTACTTCGCTTGATTTTTTAAGAATTTTACACAATAGAATTTGCAGGGCCCGTCCATAAACGAGTTGAGCAAAACAAGACGGGAGCATTTGAATCCCAGCATAAAAACTTACTACAGCAAGCCGTTGGCGATTCATCAGGGCCACCGACAATGGCTGTTTGATTTGGAGGGAAAACGTTATCTTGATATGTTCGGCGGAATTTGTACGGTTTCGGTGGGTCACGCGCATCCGTGAGTAGTTCTATGGTCGACGCTTTTCTGACGTCATAAAGTTTTTCGTTTTATCCAGCAAAATTTCGGAGGCGGTTACAAAACAGCTTAACACCCTTGGCCATTGCTCGAATGTTTATTACCACGAAAAGATACACGAATATTCCAAGAGATTAGCTGAAAAATTACCTGGCGATTTGAACGTACCTAAAAATGGTTTCTTCATTTGTACTTTTCATATGGCATTTAACTCGTAGGTAATCTACTTCGTGAACAGCGGATCAGAGGCTAATGATTTGGCCATTCTGTTAGCCCGATGCTATACGGAAAAAAATAGCGTAATGTCTTTGAAAAACTGCTACCACGGAATGACTTACCAAACGATGGCTCTGACTTCCAATTCCTGTTATAAATATCCAGTAACGCAAAATCCCGGATTCTACACCGTAAGTTGAGAAACTATAAATTTATTGAGCTATTTCTTGTAGTATTTTAATTTGATTGCACTTGTTTCAGACCATGAACCCTGACGTATACCGGGGACTTTGGGGTGGCAACAACTGTAGAGATAGTCCGGTACAGACAGACAGACAATGCGCTTGCACGGATGAATGTCAAGCAGGGATAAAATATTTCGAACAATTTGTTTCCGAGTTGGAATGTAACGTGCCGAGATCGGGCCTGGCGGCGTTTTTTGCAGAATCAATACAGGGTGTTGGAGGAGCGGTTCAGTTCCCTAAGAACTACATCCGAAAAGTGTACGGAGCGGTCAAGGAAACCGGCTGCGTTTTTGTCTCCGACGAGGTGAGGTGGTGACGCCTCACCACAGTATATGAGATAGTTGGTTTAGGTTCAGGCGGGTTTCGGCAGGACGGGTGAACACTTTTGGGGTTTCGAATCCCATGGGATCAAGCCGGATATCGTCACTATGGCCAAAGGAATCGGAAACGGATTCCCTTTGGCTGCGGTAGCGACCACGACAGAGGTAGCAGAAGCACTTACGAAGGCTGATCACTTCAATACTTTCGGAGGTAACCCCGTATCGTGTACAGTGGGATTGACAGTTTTAGAGGTAAGAAATACAGGGGATGCTCGAAGACGTCAAGTGCATTAACAAATTAAGTAAAGTAGGAAATCTTAAAATCGAGTACAGTAGCTTGTGGAAGCTTGTTTGAAAAAGTAATTAATACCTATCTCAAGTAGATGGTTTGGTATATTTCTAGGGGTATTTTAAATAATTTTAAATGTCTGATGTATGTATGTAGACTCTGTCAACAGTAAGAGCTATTCATTAGTGCAAATCTCATTTTCAAGATCATAGAAGAGGAAAGCTTGCAATTAAACAGTCATAGAGTGGGAACGCATCTGCTCTTGGAACTGTCTAAGCTGAGGGACGAGTTTTCCTACGTCGGTGATGTTCGGGGAAAGGGCCTTATGGTAGGAGTCGAACTGGTGCAGGATAAGGGTAGTAGGAAGCCGATAGAAGCCGTGAAATTTCTGCGACTGTGGGAGATATGTAGGGAACAAGGGTTGATTGTCGGAAAAGGTGGTCTCTATGGCAATGTAAGTCCAGTGCCCAAGCTATTAGACCGTTTTTCTCACACTAATAGCACTTTGCTAGTGGTAACAACGTGTTTGTTCGTTTTTGTTCTTTGATTCGCTTTTTTGCGTTTTTCTGTGGTAAATACTTGTAATTATAAATACCCCGGATGGGAAAAAATTAGACTAAAATAACAATTTGTTTTAGGTCTTAAGATTAAAGCCTCCAATGTGTATCACCCAAGAAGATGCGGATTTTGCGGTAGAAGTATTGAAAAACGCATTAAGTGAAATTTCTAATTCATAAATAACTCTCATGTTTTGAAAATACATTCCTTTAAAAGGCAACACATACTGGTTGATATTTTTTTTTATTAAGTTGGACAGTATATAAATGTGATTTGTGAAATGTGAAATTGCTTCCTGAGTTTTATTCTTGTTTCATTTTAAGGCTATTCATTTTTATTTCTATCTTGTATATGCATGGAGTCTTAATACTTACGTTCCTTGAATAACCTAACCCTTCCTTCTCTCATTACTAAAAATGCACTTATGGTAGTAAATTGACTATTACTTTGGCTGATTTTAATCAGTAATTATTTTTATTGGTTCAGATCTATTTTTTATATTATAATTTTACCTAAGTAAATTTTATTTTGGCCCTTTGGACAAGCCTATGCCCAACATGGAAAAGAAGAAATGAATAAAATTTTATCTGTGGGCTGCATTCGCAATCACGTGACCCGGCTTCAACCAACAATATCGTTTACAACCTTGGCGGATGGCCAATCAAATGTCCTATTTCTTGCTAGGCGTTCGATGGCGTTGGTTCGTTTGTTTCCGAACCGGTGATGTTAGGCGCCATGTGTCTAATGCACTGGTTAAAATACATGGTTTAGAGCGATCCGAATTTATTGGAGGGATCGGTAACTCTTTCTAAGATTGGTAAGTCTTTTTTGCTTATTCTTTTTTTGCGCTATCGTTAGGCGTTTGTATTTTTGTGTTTTGTCCAGCACTTGGTATCTCCTACACGGATTTTTGTTGTATTCGTGGAGGTCGAATCGGTGCGAGAATATTTTGGGTGCATATAATATGATTAGGGATTGCTAATATATGAGCTCTTTTAATTAGTTTGTTCCCAACATTTTCAGTTAATATGTCTGGCTGACTAAATTTGTTTCATATATTGATTTATCTTTTCAGATTCTTGGGTTAAAACTAAATATGTATTTGTACAATTTGACCCTTCAAAGAGCGACTGCCATCACGCACGCAGTGCACGGTAATTTTTCCGGCACCAAAACGCAAGAAATTGTCATATCTAGGGGTAAAAGTTTAGAATTACTACGACCAGACCCCAATACAGGCAAAGTTCATACACTGTTGACCATAGAGATATTCGGCATTATTAGGGCAGTGATGGCCTTTAGATTGATGGGCGGAACAAAAGATTATGTTGTTGTAGGCTCTGATTCTGGCAGAATTGTTATATTAGAATATCAACCTCAGAAAAATATTTTTGAGAAAGTGCATCAAGAAACTTTTGGTAAAAGCTGCTGCAGGCGGATAGTTCCCGGCCAATATTTGGCTACTGACCCTCGTGGTCGAGCTGTTATGATTGGTGGTATTGAAAAACAGAAGCTGGTCTATATTTTGAATCGTGATGATCAAACTCGCTTGACAATCTCATCTCCATTAGAGGCCCATAAAAGTAATACTCTGGTATATCACATGGTAGGGGTTGATGTTGGGTACTTCAACCCAATGTTCGCTTGTTTGGAGATTGATTATGAAGAAGCAGATACTGATCCCACAGGCGAAGCTGCTCAAAAAACCCAGCAGACATTGACCTTTTATGAACTGGACTTGGGGGTGAATCACGTTGTTAGAAAATACTCTGAGCCTCTTGAAGAACATGCTAATTTCCTGGTCACAGTGCCAGGTGGAGATGACGGACCTTCAGGTGTTCTCATTTGCTCAGAGAATTACCTAACCTATAAAAACTTAGGTGATCAGCATGATATCCGATGCCCGATACCAAGGCGTAGGAATGATCTGGATGATCCAGAAAGAGGCATGATTTTTGTATGCTCGGCGACCCACAAGACCAAATCCATGTTCTTTTTTCTGGCCCAAACTGAGCAGGGAGACATTTTCAAAATTACCCTCGAAACTGATGACGATATGGTCACGGAAATTAAACTTAAATATTTTGATACTGTTCCTGTAGCAGCTGCAATGTGCGTAATGAAAACGGGATTTTTGTTCGTCGCCTCGGAGTTCGGAAACCAGTGAGTATTAATTTCAAATTTTATGTTTTTTTTTATTTTCTTTAAATGATGACAAACTGTTGCTAACTGAGTAAAGTTCATGAAGAATTAAACTTCCTTGGATATCTGAAGTCTCTAAGTCTGTTCTTGGTATCCTAGCGAAAAATTTGGGAATTACGTGAGGTGCTTTTTTCCAGCTATTTGTATCAGATCGCGCATCTCGGCGACGATGACGACGAACTAGAATTTAGTTCAGCCATGCCGTTAGAAGAGGGCGACACTTTTTTTTTCGCGCCTCGTCCTTTGAGAAATTTGGTTTTGGTAGACGAGATCGAGTCGTTGTCCCCAATACTCTCGTCGCGAGTTGCCGATTTGGCGGGCGAGGACACCCCTCAATTATATATGCTGTGTGGGCGGGGTCCGCGCTCTTCACTGAGAGTTTTAAGACACGGCTTGGAGGTAAGTGAATTTACACTTATCTTAATGTTTGTGTATAGTTTATAATGATGAGTTACTTGGCGGGCTCCCTCTTCTGAGGTTACCCAATAAAAGCAGTCATGCTGATAAATCGCCATCTGATTGTTTCTGCAGATTAAATTTTTTTGTTTCCGTTATTTTTCGACCCCATATCTGTGTGTTTTCTTTGCAAGGTGTCTCAAATGGCAGTGTCGGAACTTCCCGGCAACCCGAACGCCGTGTGGACCGTTAAGAAGCGTAGTGACGGTATGTCTCCTTATTTAAAACTTTGTTTTGCAAATGAATGAAATTTTGAACAAAAATTTGTTGTTCTGGAACTCTAGAACTAGATTTAACGACTCTTTCAACTTGCCAAAACTGATTTTTTTTTTAGTATTCTGCACTTTTTGTAGAATTATATATTTGATCCATAAACTGTTTAAAAAAATAAATGATTACCAAAACTTTTAATTATTTTTTGTGCGAGTTCGAAACAGTGACGCATGCAAATAAATTTCGAACTCATTTGGAACATTTGCTTCTTATCAGGAATTTTTTGTACATGACGAACCTGGACCCTTCAAATTTACTGGGTATAGTTTTCATAAGTACAACTTTTATTTGACAAGACAAGAATGATTGTAGCATGCAAAGTATATTGTAGGTAATTTTTGTTAAATCGTGCAATTTAAGTTCAGATCTCTTATTTAATAACTTTAGTATATATTTATCTTCAATCCTCTTGCAACCGGGTGTCACCTTAATATCAAAAATCGTAAAATCTCATCTTCCGTTCCCGGAATTCAAATTATCAACTTATTCAATTTAAATTAGTAAAAGTTTGTGTCTCTTTGTGGAAAAGTAGGTGCACACTTGCAGGGTGTGGATATTGAAAAGATTTTATACATAATGTATCCAATCATTTCATTAACTTGCGAAAGTTTCATGATACTTCACTCGAAAAAAGAGTTGAAAATTTGGTTGCGGAAAAATCGTGAAAAATTGTTTAAAGTAAAATCTAATGAAAGCTCTAGCTGTTGAGAAAAAATACTTTAACCAACAGCAGTGCTTTTTTATTTCAGATGACTGGAGCTTTTGTTGTGAGCCGAACTGAACGGTAAGTTACCCATTAACCGACGACCACGTTCATCTTAACTCGTGAAAATTTTTGTTAATTGATGATACATTTTGTCCGTGTTTCACCTGAATCGCGTTGATTACAACCCAGAGAACTGAACCCTTAATGTTAAACATTCCACGGATTCCTTTAAAGGCAAACAGTTAAACGGTCGGGTTTTCCGATCTGTTCCAGACGAATACGACGCCTACATTATTGTCTCGTTCGTAAACGCCACTTTAGTACTGTCCATTGGCGAAACGGTCGAAGAAGTCACTGACAGCGGTTTCTTGGGCACCGCACCTACGTTGTCGTGTTCGGCGTTGGCCGACGATGCGCTGGTCCAGGTGTATCCGGACGGTATAAGACACATTTGCGCCGATAAACGCGTCAACGAATGGAAAGCCGGCAAGAAGGCGATCGTAAAGTGTGCCGTCAACCAGCGGCAAGTGATTATCGCACTGGCCGGGGGTGAGCTTGTCTGCTTCGAGTTGGACCCTGTAAGTTGGATCTTTCATTTTTCTGTAAGGCTTATGTCTCGCGTCACTTTTCTTATTACCACAACCGTTGGTAATACTTACCACGAAAGTTGTATCACACTCACAAGCAATTGCAATTGAGGTGAAAAAAAATATATTTTTAAGTTCTGCAGTTCAAACATACAAGGTGGCGCAGAGGAAGGCGTGTTTTTCTTCTAATTATAAAAACGCGATCATAGTGCACTTTTCAATATTGGTTGAACCACAAGTACTAGACCAAAGACCATAGTGAAGTAAGTTTAAGTGAAAATGATTTTAGGAGTTAGTTTCGCAATGTGATCATTACGAGGGATGACATTGGGTTGGTATTAAAATCCAATATTGAAAGCTGCACAAGTAAACAAAAAAATGCGTTTTCTCTGTGTCACCTTGTATAATCCTCATTATAATTAATAATTAATGTATACTACATACTATGGGATGTCCCGTTATCTCTGTATACTTACGGGAAACTCCGTTATTACAAACATGCCTTAATATGAAAAACAATAAATAAAATGACGCTTTTAAAATTTGAACTGAAAGCATTGTTTTTTCAGGACTATCATTCGAGTCCCATTTTATATCAGTTTCGGACGGCACTTCGTCCATTGAGAAAAGAAAGTGATAGTGTATTTACGTATATTTCTTTACACAAAAAACATTACATCACCAAATTAACAGGTTTTCTATCAGCAAAACTATTTTCTGCAAATATTGAGTTTTTGGGATTACCTTTAAATGATGATCTTTTATCTTCAGCACAGTAGAAATTAAGACAGACTGCTTCCATAATCTGTCTATTTTCGATGTTGTGCGATAGAGAATGCCTCTCGTCGCCTCCACTACCTCTCAATAAGGCAATGGAGTGAATCGAGAGGGCAACATTTGCAAATTTTCTTGCCTTAACAGGCTCCCTTTTTTTGTTTAAACAACAATTCAAGTTTATTTTTAATAAGTCGTCACTAGTTTTAATTTATAGCAAATTAAAATCGATTACTCAATATAGGATTTATAAATTTTAACTATACATAATAAATGAATATAAGTTTTCTTCCATTCTGAGGCGGCGTTATGTCTCTATGAAACGATTCTTATTGAAAATTAATCAAGCTTGAAATGAGGAATAAAAGCAGACACTTATTTATGCTCATAATTATTTGAAGGGGGCCTATTAATAGTTGTCGATTATATTTTAATTTTCATTACACTTAACTCGTTTCATTTGCATTTTAATATTTCCGATGTAAAAATTAATTATATATTCAAAAACTGAAGCAGCCAAATTTATATGGCACCTGACCTCACACTAATAATGGTATATGGTATATCATTCCAGACCGGGCAACTGCACGAATACGCAGAACGCAAACGAATGAATTCGGACGTCTTGTGCATGGCGTTGGGCAGCGTCGCCCCTGGCGAACAGCGGTCCTGGTTTCTCGCAGTCGGCCTTGCCGATTCCACAGTCCGGATATTATCACTGGACCCTGCCGACTGTTTGGCACCACGTTCGATGCAGCCGTTGCCCGTCTGCGCTGAATCGTTGTGCGTCGTCGAAATGGGCGGAGGCGGTGAAGGCGAGAACGCGGCCGGTGGCGCGTCGGGAATCGGCAGCATGCTGTACCTGAATATCGGGCTCCAAAACGGGGCCCTACTCCGGACCGTGCTGGATCCCGTCACGGGAGACTTAACAGACACCCGGACAAGGTATTTAGGTGAGTGGTTTAGTTTGGGCAATGGAGTTTGTGAAAGACTTTCGAGTAACCGTTAGTTAGTAGAATATGTACTCATTCCTTATAGGTAACTTTGCTAAAGTTGATTATTAATGTAACTTGTTCAAATACATAAAAAGTGTCTCTGGATTGCTTCTGTGTCGGTTTTTGTTGAGTCAAACTCTTCAGATCTTAACTGAAACTCAAGAAGCCAACAGGATTATTGGTGAAACGTTAACAAGTTTGACTCAACAAAAACCAAGGCAGGAGGAATCCAGAAGTTTTTTAAAAAGTATTACAAAGTAGCCTGTGGAAGTTTCTTTGAAAAATTGATAAAAAATGTTGCATAACACTCTGCTTTTGCATCGGAATTATGAGCTTATAACGGGTGCGGTAAATTTTCAGTATTGTAATGGAAGTGTAGGTTTATTTATATTTAGATCTGTGGTTCTGGGATATTGAAAACCCGTCCCACAGTTCCAGCTCCATCCGATATCGCTTGGTTGGTCGCGAGTGGCGTTAACTACTGTGGAAATTACGGCTGTGCCCGCTATATTCTTCGACTTATTCGCGATAGTCGATGCAATACACTGTACAGCAACAAGCTATTGCTCTTTAGATGCTTAATTTTAGGGAGTACATAAGCAAAGCCATGTTCTGAAACCTTAAAACTGGGAGAGAAGCGTATTGCCTCTGAGGAATCGTAGATATCTAAATCTAACTTATCCAATCCTGATGGGTACTGATATAGTAATAGTTTGGTCTGTCAGATATAGAACCAGGCGACTGGGTTTATTAATTTTATTTAATTTTATTTTTTTGGGTAATACATGGTTAATGTTCGGGCTGGTCAATTGACGACCACTTCCTAATCGACTGATCAATTGATCGACAATTAACCACTTAATTGACTAGTCGAATTCGATCGAAATGTTGTAAATAGCAATTGCGTTATCTATCATTATTTAATAATAATATGTATTTTATAATAAATTCTTACGCGTTTGTGATATTCAATTTACGTATAACCCTCTTCAAGGAATATATTTAGCAATTCGGGGAATCCTAACAACGATTTATTAAAATTAAAAAATTTAGTTCTCAGAATGACGCGATGGCGAGGTAACATACAATATAAATAAATATAAATTTCATTGCATTTTTCAAATTGTTTCGGTCAATTGACACAAACAAATTTGGCCGGTCAATTCCACAACCTTATACATAGTACAGAACGTAAAGTTACTTTTTTAGTAAATGGACAAGTTTTATTTAATCTATTATCAGAGCAGTTAATTGAAACATTACACCATTTGCCAAAATTATTTATTTGTATATTTTAAACACATAACAGTTTGCTATTCTTATACCCGAATGTGCGGTGACTGACTAACGCCGGCAGACAACAACCACTCCGATCTATTTCATGCTTTATATAAGCCATAAAGAACATTTTTTTACTTCTTTTTTTGGTAGGATCCATTATATGAGAATTTAAATGGAACTAATAAAATAACATTAGGATAAAGTAAACAAACCACTCTATTTGATTGGCAGGTACCTAGCCGATGTCAAACATCTGTTAAAATTCTGTCATTTTTATGTGAACGAATTTTCATCGGACATTTCGGTTTAAACTTTCTTCTTTGCGTATTCGGAAATGGACAACTTTAACAGGGTGTCGTCAGTTTGAGCGATTTATCGGAAACGGAGTATAAGTTGCATCTAGAGATTTGCAAATGTTGTAGCATTTAAAATGATTATTAGGTCACGAATTGTGCATCACTGGTTTATTGATTGATACTATCTGTTTAAAGGTTCACGACCCGTCAAACTCTTTAGAATCCGAATGCAACAGTCCGAAGCGGTTTTGGCGATGAGCAGCCGCTCCTGGTTGAGCTATTACTATCAGAGTCGTTTTTATTTGACTCCCTTATCGTACGAGAGCTTGGAGTACGCGTCCGGTTTTAGTTCCGAGCAGTGCCCCGAAGGTATCGTTGCTATTTCTACGAACACACTCAGAATATTGGCCCTCGAGAAATTGGGCGCCGTTTTCAATCAGGTGAGCGATTACGGACTAACGTTCATACGGGACATTCCCATTTTGTTTCCTTCCGCGAATTGGGGGAATCAAAAGAAAATGTCCAAAAGGAAAAACAGGCTCTGTAGTACCACGAGTGGTTCACGTTTGTTGCTAACTTTGGTTCTCTTGTGCCTGCGACATCAGGAATATTCCTTTTCGGTTGACGATTTATCGACTGGTTGAAATAGACCGCCTTTTTTTTTTCTACACTTCGACATTTACAGATATCGTTCCCTTTGGAATACACTCCCCGAAAGTTTATCGTTCATCCCGAGTCCAACAACTTGATTATTTTGGAGACTGAACACAACGCGTACACCGAAGAAACGAAAAAGTTGCGCAGAGAACAGGTGAGTTGTAATTTGGCAAAAAGGGAAAGTGATGAATCTCTGAAGTTATTAGTTGAATGTATTTAGAGAGCGATAGTGTTTAGTTTAGAGGCCAATAATCACATTTTGTTTTAATCTATTGGGGCTAGATTTTCTAAATTCTTATTTGTTTCGTTGGTAATTTGCGCAAAAATGAAAATGAGAAAAGTAGAGACGAAAATAATAACTCGATTTTATGCATTATCGAACCAAATCAAAAACTTTTTTTTGTCTTTATGCCATAAGATTGAAATCCCAGACCCTGGAGCGAGTTTTTAAAGAATTACGTACAGGAGTTGTTCTTAATATGCAGCATCAACATCCTCCGATGACTTTTACCATAGTCTCTGATGGCGTTTACTGCTGCAGATATTATACCAACTGTATGCTTGATCCTTGCTGGACTTATTTGCGAACCGGTCGAGAATTTCTGTACAGAAACAGTCGAAAAATAAGTCAAGTCGGGGATATAGGTTGTTAAGCAAAAGAGTAGTAAGATGGCGAAAATCTGTTAAGGATGTAATTGTAAACTCAATTTATTATCGTTATTTGAAAATAATTTCGATAAATAAACATTCTAGGTTAGGATTAAAACTTAGGATCATCAACGTTTTCAATATTTAACAAGTATATCACTCAAATGGAAAACACAGTTTCTGAAATTTTTGCATTTCCATCCAGGTTGTGAACTGTCCCTAGTTGATGATCCAATTGAATTTTAACAAAATAAATAAGAACTAAAAGTTCAGATTTTCACGAAATTGTATATTTTGACATGACAATTGTTTCGACAACACCGTGTCTTTATCAAATGTTGTTTTGATTTGATAAAGACACGGTGTTGTCGAAACAGTTGTCATGTCAAAATATATAATTTTGTGAAAATCTGTCACATACTGTGGGGGCATCACCTGTATTTCATCCTTAATTCATAGTCATTAAATAATTTCATCAACTTACTTCTGTAAGATATTGTTTACATTTAATTAGAATTTTTTGTTATAGTGAATGAATGTGCTGTATTATGTGCTATTGCTATTATTTTATTGGAGAGAATATAGTTGGATTGTAGTTTTAGTTATAGTAATCAATTGTTATTAATAAACCATTCTATAGATGGCAAAGGAAATGAAAGAGGCCGCTGGCGAGGAGGAACAGGAACTGGCCAGCGAGATGGCGGAGGCGTTCCTGAACGAAGATCTTCCCGAAAATATTTTTTCTGCGCCGAAAGCCGGTCACGGCATGTGGGCGTCGACCATCAAGATCATGAATCCGGTCAATGGTACCCTCTATAAACACATCAAGCTCGAGCAGAACGAGGCGGCCATGTGTCTCGCGCTGTGCAAGTTCCACGGCCAGCCCGAGCACCAGTGGTACCTCGTCATCGGCATAGCGAAAGATTTCCAACTGAACCCAAGATTGTGTACACACGGGTACTTGGACACATACAAGTAAGTGTGATCGTTAAAATTGTTGAGATCTAAGGCAGGACGCATATCCCTTTTTGATCGTCTGGTATATCCATTGGACGTGTCAAAAGAAAATGTGTCCAAAATCACCATGCCACATTCATAGTACCGGATGCGCGTGCTTGCGGTTTCCGGGTCTCCTACTTGTGGTACATGTAATTTCGCGTTTTACTTGTGCCATTGGCAATTTTACAATTCAGTGACACCTCTGGCGGAAAATATGTTATTCATCTTTGTAAGTAAAATTTAAAACGCTCGTTTCACTATGAGTTCCGTACGAGTGTTTTATATGGTTTATCGTGATATTTCACTTATATGGCATTAGAAAAATGGTTCGTTTGGTATCGTTCGGGATTTAATGCATTTACGGATTGTTCAAAATCAAAGGTAAAGCTTACTTGCCCATTTAAAAACCAAAAAACCCAAACTTCTGTTTATGTAAATTTTATTCTTTAACCCGATGTTACTGAAACCGAACTTACCTTCTTTATTTTGAAAGTTAAAAAACCGTTACCAAACCGACCAATAATAATATCGCTAATTTAGTTAACGCGTGCGGTGACCCGCAACAGGTTGTCAAGACGAAATATTTATCTTCCGCCTTGTGTGTTTCCTGTCTCCGCTATCGTAGAATACATTAAGGAATAACTTGGTTCTTTCCTTTCTTAGGGTCGATGTCATGGGCCGGGAGTTGGAACTCGTGCACAGGACGCACGTAGATGAGGTACCGAACGCATTATGCACATATAGCGGTCGGCTCTTGGCTGGAGTCGGTCGTATGTTGAGGCTCTACGATCTGGGCAAGAAGAAGTTGCTGCGCAAATGCGAAAACAAGGTGAGTTCTTACATTCGCGTTACAAACTAATGACAATTGTAAAAGCTTTTAAGAATATTTACAAAAAGCATATTTTATTTATAAAACTAACCTCTAAAAATGACTGAAGGCTTAGCTGAAATTTATGTTTTATTAATATTTCATAATACATCTTGTCTCAAGAGATTTCAATATCTCAAACAAAAAAATATAAGATAATATGCATTATTAAAGTCTCAGGTAATGTATTATAATTTATTAATTCCTTATAAAAGGTTGTTTTGATTAAAAACTAAAATTTATATTTGTAGTAATTGATGAATTTCTTCAATTTCTTTAAAAATATCATTTAGCAGTTCAACCAACTTGGAGGTTATGTTTCGCTGTTTTTGTTGTTTTGGAACAGTGTATTCCAAATAGTCCTATCTATAGTTGTAGCCTGTTGTAGAAAAGATAAAAGTTAGTGAATAATTAGAAAAAAAAGATTTTGCCCTTGCCCGTGTAATTGTTGCTATTAATATTTTGCTAAATAACATCATCAAAATAAGATGATGGTCTTAGCAAGAAAACAAAAATAAAAAGGGGGTCGAAAACGATTTCAAAAAGAATCCTCAACAGTTTTAATCATTTTTAAGAATTTCAAAAGAAAGTTTTGATAAAATACCAAGTCATGTAAAAGCCTAGATCAAGAAAACAAACAAAAATTTTCGAGATAAGTGCAGGAGATAGTAGCTCTAACGAATTCTAAGCTCAAGTGAAACATTTTCCAGTCTAATGTACAGCTTTCAAATAATATAGTCCACTATTTCCTTATGCATACCAAAAATTTGTAGAGTAATATATGACACTGTTGAGCACGGATTTCTACAAATAAGTTGAATGTGTTTTTATTTATGATGCTAATTGTAGAATAGAGTAAAAAACCGGCTATTGTGGTTTATGATATAACATTACCTTGCGTGGTGATTGATTTATTTCAACAGTTGAACAGTTGAAATTCTCTCAACAGTATGACGAAAGTTAGGACAACTTTTATTTTGTGTTCTATTTTTGAACAACTTCATGAATTTGACGAGTATTTTATATCGAAAGGCTGTATTACACTGGTCATATTTGTTCATGAACCAACTTGATGCAGGAATTGTTGGTGTAAAACTATTGCAATAAATCGCCAATTGTTTAATAAATCTTGAGGGACCAATTGGTTTAAGCATTTTGAATAAAGACAACATACTTTTAGGGTTGCCTTCTGTTAACACTTAAGAGAGCAGTTATCCCCAACATATCACACCCTGCTGGTGTACCATACAGCTCAGTAGTATTTTTGATTTTGGCATTAGGAATAACAAAATTGGGCAAAAATTCAATTTTTTTTGTCACCCTCCAATATCAACTTTCAACGATAATACGACCAAGGTATTTAAAGTGTTTCGCATCTTCCACTTTTATTTAAGTTTTGAATTCAGACGTTTATCAGGGTTTGAATGAATTGTAGCACGTTAGAACCCATACCTTGATGAAAACTACACAGGACTGAGTTGATGCTGATATCCTGCAGTGCTGATTCTATTTGAAATAAAGCTGTTAAACGCCGTTCAACGCCCCGAATCGTAATGACGGTCCCTTCTAATTTGTCGCAGCACATACCGAACTTGATAGTAAACATCCAAGCGATGGGCAAAAGAATCTTCGTGTCGGACGTGCAAGAGTCGGTGTTTATGGTTCGTTACAAGCGGGCGGAAAACCAACTGATCATATTTGCGGACGACACCCACCCGCGCTGGATCAGTTGCACGTGCGTGTTGGATTACGACTCGATGGCGACGGCCGATAAATTCGGCAACGTTGCAATACTCCGATTGCCTAGCAACGTTAGCGACGACGTCGAGGAGGATCCGACCGGCCACAAGGCGCTGTGGGATCGCGGTCTGCTTAACGGGTAAGTCGCGGGAAAGCGTTTCGGTTAGAACTGATTTAAAAAAAACATTACGGAATTTTTGATTTAGTTTATATTTAAGTTACATTTATAAAAAATCACTAATAGTTTTGCAAAAAAAAAAAAAACAATTTGCTAATATGGCTCCTTGGCTTATCATTTATGTTGTGCAAAAAGTATGGAAACATCAAAAAACAAAAATGCTTTTAGTTATTGACCAAAGGAACTGTTCAATCACACGCCATCTTGCAACTTTCTGGTGGTGAGGAGAGGAAATTTTAAAATCTATTCTATGCTGCAGTCGTGTTTTGATTAGTTCAAATTGGCTAGCAACAATATTAAATAAAGCTGACGTTTTAAAGAGACGCACGTCTGATGATTAGAGTGCATAATTGGGGTTTGAAAAAATATGTTATGAAATATGGATTGTCATTCAAGATTACAAAGTTCCCTCTACCCGCCGCCAGTGAGGTCGGGAGGAGGGTCTTGTTACGTATGCATTTTTAGAACTCTCTCGATTCGAATTTTATTACAATTGAAACACAGAAAATATGTAGATGGTCCTTCCTAATGTCGTATTGAAAATTAATCTCCTTCATATATGCTGTTGGCAGCAAAAACAAACTGGGCTGTCAGCTCACTTTCATTGTTTTATTATTTAAGAGATTACGGGCCTTTGATAACGTTTGCAAATTAATGTTTATCTCATTGTTTATTGTTCTTGGTTCAATGTACCAGAAACGGAAGATTTTTTTTTTTCGCGTTTAAAAGAAAAACAATTTTACCAAAGATTTAAAGCAATGTAAACAAACTTGCAAGAAAAACTTTCTACTCCCAATTTCGACAGAAATGGAAGCCCGCAAGACCAATACAGTGTTTTGTAAAAAAATGTATCTTGGCTTGATAAGGATATTTTTATATTGACAGTAAATATTCCTCTCTGATATTCATAAACAAGAAAAACCATTTAAAAGTTTTGAAAGCAGCTCGATTAGAAAACAAGGGAACAAACATTTAAAAAAGCAATTATATGGAAATATATATTTTTAATGTCTGGGCATTAAGGAAATTTTATCCGAAGAAATTTAAAATAATTTATAATAATATTTAATTTAATTATAAGAAACAATCTTTTTTGATTCATTTTCTAAACAAGAAGCCCTTAGCGTTAATGCTAGATTAAAAACTGTCAAGATATCAGTATATTACCTAAGTGCCAAATACCATGCTCCAATTTTTCGAAGCTATTATTTGATAGATAAAAAAAAATGAATGTGAACTTTGACAGAAAGCATTAACAAAACCAAGCAACAACAAAAGTTTTCATATTTAATAATCAGATCTCTTTATACGTTTTGTATGGTAGAATCGACATTACAAAATTCATAGTTTTTACAGTCACATATAAAATGTAATATCAGTTCAGCTTTTTCATAAAAACTCAAAATTGAAGTAATATAAGTAGCCAAGAGAATTAATGAAATTGTTTCAACTTTTTGGCCGCAAGTTCCTGTCATTGACGTGAAGGCCTGCGATATTTGAGAGGTGTCGCTTTCAGTGCGATACATCTTGATGCACGCAGGTAAATGATGCGTCGTGGTCCCGTGCCGACATATTTTAACTCTGCGTTCGACGCAACGGCCATAGCCGTTGCCCGGAAGCGGAACTGTATGCTCGGCTCCGTTTTATCACGAGACAGCAACGTTGATATCCGTTAATGTTAAAATAAATAAGAACTAAAAGTTCAGATTTACACGAAATTATATATTTTGACATGACAATTGTTTCGACAACACCGTGTCTTTATCAAATTTGAACATTTGATAAGGACATGGTGTTGTCGAAACAATTGTCATGTCAAAATATATAATTTCGTGAAAATCTGAACTTTTAGTTCAGTTTCATCAAGTAAAAGCTACCTCAGTTCAATTTCCGTTAATGTTGTCAAGACCTCCACTTCCACCACATGGCTACACTCGTATTAGTAATTTTTTTTTTTTCAGAGCTTCCCAAAAGGCAGACACCATAGCGACGTTCCATGTGGGGGAGATGGTGACGTGGCTGCAGAAGGCGACGTTGATACCTGGAGGCAGCGAATCTCTCATTTACACCACAATGTCGGGTACCGTCGGCGTGTTGGTACCATTCACGTCCCACGAGGACCACGATTTTTTCCAACACTTGGAAATGCACATGCGAAGCGAAAACCCGCCGTTGTGCGGACGTGACCATCTCTCATTCCGGTGTTACTATTTCCCCGTTAAGGTAAGTCCAGTGGGACAAAATTTGGAGCCACATTTTTATTTACTCTGATTTTTACGTTGTTTTACTGTCCTATTTATAAGCGAAAATTTTAACATTTAACGCCAAATTTGGTTCTTCGTTGCTTGTGATTTAAAGAAGTGTTTGCTTTGTAAGTATTACTTACGCAGTTTTTAAAAATAGTTTTGCGATGTTTAATGTGGGGCATAACCAGTTACACAATCATATCTATTCTAACTTCAGTTTTCATAGCAAGCTAAGCTGCATCGTTTGACATTTCTTAGCGTAGAGTGTCATTGGGTAAACTAAATCGAGGGAAAATCATATTGCTGCCGGTTCATATTTAATTCATCAAAGCATCGTCACATGAACCACCGAAATCTGTTGGCTTATTTGCGGATTTTTTTTTTTTTTTTGGGTCACAAGCTAAAAGATTTCAGTGTTTCTTTTTTTACTTATTGGCACTTGAGAGTCCACAAGTAAGATCACGTCCACTGTGGCAATTTCCCAGTTTCGCTTTTTTTGATAAGCAATATTTTCAGTCAGACAAAAGTCAAAGAATTTTCGATTAATATTAACGTAAAATCCCAGGAAACGCGCGTCGAAGTGTAAAAAAATAACAGAATTTTTTAGTAATCTCCCTGTTATATGAAGACAGTAAATTGTACAAACGTTCAAACATAATTATTTTGGCATATATTATTTCATTCAAAATCATCCAGGAAAAAAAAACTGCAAGAAAGTAACTAATTAACTAAACTAAATAAATTTCCTTTTCATAGTTTATCACTTACTCGCTGATGTTATTCGTTTCACATGCTAGACTTATGAATTTGTATGATTATTAACGAATTTGCTGAGATCCAGCAAACAAAAGCAATTACTTTTCCTGCCGGAAACATCATGCTGACGTATTACGTTTACCATTTCAGAACGTGATTGACGGAGACATGTGTGAGCAATACAATTCGCTGGAGCCGTCAAAACAAAAAAGTATCGCGGCAGATTTAGATAGGACTCCCGCGGAAGTATCTAAGAAACTCGAGGACATCAGGACGCGTTACGCGTTTTAATTTGTATTAATTATTGTGATAAAATAAAGAATTGGTATTAAAATAAAATTTGGGAGTGTGATTTAAAAATATTTTATAGAATCAAATCCCAGGACTTTCAATTAAAACATCGCTTATCGTTAATAATTTGATATTTACACAAGTATATGAACTTAATAAGTAACGAATACATAGGATTACGATTACAGTTCTAACGCATAGTTCTTTAATATCGGTACCAATTTCTAATTTCGAATTCCATTAAAGAAGAAAAAGACACGGAAACAGAACTCATAAATATCACTAAACCACAGCGGTAATTTTAGCAAGGAATGTTCGCAAATTATCTACCTGCTTTAATGTTGCAACAGTTCAGACCTGACCAGGTACTTGTAAAGTACCAGAAGTTGAAAGAAACCCGCGGCGAGCATCGACCATTCTTTTGCTACATAAAACTAGGGCGGGTGTATATAATTGTTAGTTAGCGGGGGGAGACTTAAGAGAGCTTTTAACCCAGGGAAATGTTTTTCCTCCCCCATAATAAATTGATTTTTGATTGAAAACGCTCGAGACGGGCATATGTTTCCGAAATATTGCAGCGGTCACTTACATCGGGCCTTCGATAATACTGACCTTCATGACGTAATAGTACAGGCTGCGCATTAGAAACAAAAGAGCAAGAATCAGCGCGCCGACGTAGGCCACGTAAACGCCGCTGTGAGTTCGCGCGTAGGCGTACGTTCCGGCGGTCACCCCGATGAAAACCGACAAGGCGATCAACGCCAAGATGAGGAAAATGTTGCCGCGGCCGCGTGCGTAGTCGGGGCCCACTGATGACACCTTGCGACAATGCGGACAACGCGCCAGCGCGTTGTTTAACGTATTGAACTGCAATGCATTAGTGGCGAGTGACAATAGTCGCGAATAAATCCTCTTGGCAAAATCGATAAAACAAGGAAACTGAATTTGTGAAACATTGATCGATTTCTTAAAGACCATTCTTCTGGATCTACGCACAATTTCGAAATTTTAAAACACATTTATGGTCGTCTCAAAGTACGTCTTGTCTTGCAACCTGACCAGTTGGCATTGTGGGACATTGGGGCTTTTAAGATGTTTTAAAAATATAAATATTAATCAACCCCACCTTTGAATGCTGCATCCAACCAAGTTTTCTCTAGTTTAATTATACATCTATTAAATCCCTCAGGTGCTCAATCTGTGCAATTCCATTAATACTTTTTTGTCTATTTTGCGTTATATAAATCCCATTTTACAAATAACTCTACAGAGGGTGACTAGTAGCTAAATTGGGTTTATCTCCCTCTAGCTTCCTTTTCAGTTTATCTAAAATTATGGCAGTGGAAGAAAAGTTAACAACAAGCAATACATAATAATGATGATAGAGATATTAACAGAATAGAAATAGAACAAGACAACAATGGACTAGAAATAACTAAAGAAGAGGTCATCCATGCTAAAAAGACTATAAAAAATGGAAAGACCGTATGAGTTACCCACTGAAATTATTAAGTTGATAAGAGAGGAAAACATACATAATCTAATATATAACATGACAGGTATTATACCCAGAGAGCATCAATGTTCATCCCTATTCCAAAAAACCTAATGCAAGATAATGACTTCCAAATAATCAGTCTCATGTGTTACACATGAGATTTCTGAAGCTGATGCATAACAGAATATACAAAAAAATTGGAACAAGATATCAGTGAGACTCAGTTCAGCTTTCGCGATGACTTAGGAACAAGAGAAGCACTCTTTGCCCTGAACATTATTGCCAACGATGCATGGATATGAATCAGGAACTCGATGCCTGCTTGATTGATTACAACAAAGGTTTCGACAAGAAGATAAGAAGAAACAGAAATCAGCAGAGGTGTGAGACAGGGGTGCGTGCTATCTCGGTTAACCTTTACTCAGAGGAAATAATGAAACGAGATTTAGATGAGACGAAGGATATTGTAATTAACGGAGTTCCCATCAACAATATAAGACACGCAGATGATACTGTCCTACTGGCTAACAATTCAAACGATTTACAGATACTACTAAATAAAGTGAACATATGGAGTTAGGAGTTCGGATTGTCCTTAAATGTAAAGAAGACAAAATTCATAATAATATCCAAAACAACCACCAAATTCTTACAATCAATCAATACAAAGAAAAAGTTGACAATTATAAATACTCAGGCACAATTAAAAATAATAATAACAACTGTTCTGTAGAAATCAAAATCAGAATAGGAGGGGCGAGAACAAAGTAGTTGTTGTAGCGACCTCAGCTTAGATTTAAAAATGAGGATGGTAAGATGCTGTGTTCTCGGTGCTGTATTATGGTGTGGAGGTATGGAAATTGGACATCAGAAAACTAATGGCATTCGAGATGTGGATATACCCCAGGATGGTAAGGGTAAAATGGACCGATAGAGTGACCACAACAAACTAAAATACCTAGGACATGTCAAGAGGGGAGAGACATACCATCGACAACAATTAATACTAGAAGGGAAACTTCATGGAAAAAGGAGTATAAGATGGATGAGAAATCTATGAGACTGGTTCGGATGCAATACATATCAGCTGTTTCGATCGGGGGTGTCGCGAATACCTATTATAGCCTTGATGATTGCCAAACCTTCACAACCAAAACGGCACTTGAAAAAGAAGAAAGTAGAAACAATCTTGTTTGAAGAAAATAAATGTTTCTTGTTATTGTATCTTGCTCACTATTGTCAGTAATCAAAATCACACCTTTTTCTTTCATTTAATAATTGACTGTTAACAATATCCTTTTTAGAAGATATTGACGTCTTTGTAAGTCAATAGTTTCTTTTGTTTGTTTACAACATTAGTGATATACTTGCAGGAAGTTTTTCGGAAGTACATGATAAAACGGGTTATTCGACACTAAAACTGATATTAACGGTTGAATCGCCCGTCTTGTCCCTTTCCTACGAATAAATTATTGAGTTGGGGTTTTTCAAAAGCCAAGGGGATACCTTGAGACATACCATACCCAATTCTTTAATTGTTAACAATTGACATTGAGTTCAGCTTGTTGCCATTTTTTATTTGTTTTGTCTTTTTGAGGAAATTGAATATTCAAACCAATAGGTTATATATTAAGAAATAATAACTTTACGAATAAAATAATTGCATAATAGAAGTTGGCTAATCCTGACCCTGATTTACAATAGAAAGTTAGTCTGAAAAAGAATGATTTAAATGAAAATAACAAGAGCAGCTTACCAAGAATGTATCATGACAATGGCCACAGGTAACCCGACACATGCCGGGCATGGTAGGCACTGGCGGAGTGACCGGGCTCGGCGCCAAATTAATAATCCGCTTGCAGTTGGGTCTCGGGCATGCAATACGTTGAGAAGAGCTCTTGCAGATCAGCAGGCAATTGCACGGACAGCGAACATATTTTTTGCCGGGTGGAGCGTTCCTAATAGGCTTGGGTAGAATAATAATGTGTTCACTTTAATTTATAAAAAGTGGAGGCTACCAAGAACACCAATCCAAAGCAAAGCAACTAAATTGTTATCAAACAAAATACAAAAGACAAAGTGAAACCGAAATGTAGCTTACAGTCGCTTCATTACAGTGGCTGCATTTGACGACATGTTGATCTCGTTTGCCGGATATATCGATCATGGCTTGGCAGACCCGGCATGTTACCATTGGGATCCCTCCTGGCTCCGAGGGCTGAAAGAAAGGGGGCGGCAGCTCATCTGGCCCTATCGAACTAACAACGGTAGTTGGTCCCGTAGGAGTCACTTCTAGAAAATCAATTAAAAATTATAAATAAATTAGATTTGGTAACAGCACAGACGGTAAAAGTTCAAGTCATAGTGCAGTCAATGACAAAAGAAACAAAATGAGTAATAACTAGATGAAGTAACTGATAGTGGCATTGTTTAAAAAAACGCTCAGCAAAGGAAGATTAATTTCTAAATAAAAAATAAACCCTTTGTACCTACTTACCGGAAACCTCCCCATCTCCGTTGTAGGGTGTTTGTGTTATTCCCAAAAGCGGCTTCTTCTCATTATCGCTGTTGTCGCCCATCGTTGGTCTATTAAACGATTTGCAATTTGCAATGCACAATATACCTTTACATATAAATACTACATGGATATGACAGAATAGTGACAATTCCTTTATAAAGAAAGACAACCCTTAATAGTGTTTTTTCTTCTTCTTCTTTCCATTCACTTAACAATTTTACTCTGGGCATTCGGCCACTCACGACATCCATTGTACGCGAATGGAAAGTGCGTTAACTCACATTATAAACGCAATGCATATGCGCTAACAAAGTTACATATAGCCCCAGCAGTAAGGAAAAAGGTACATATTGGGGATTGAGAGTAGTTCGTGCTACAATTATGAAAATTGGACGAATGATCCTACAAATTTTTGTCATTTAAATTAAAAGAAGAGTAGTTAAAAAATCGTAATTATTTGGTGCACATTAGAATACTGATTGATATATTTTAGAAATTTATTCTTTCTTTCATAATAGAAATCGATGACGTCTATTAATTTCACGCATATCCTATTAAGTTATTAATTTATTGTGAGTCAATAGCACTTTTACAGCTTCAATAACATTAAATTTAAATAAGAAACGTCAAACTAGGTCTATTTATTTTATTTCTGAACTTTCTGCAAAAGTAAGAATAATGTCAGTCTGTTTAGGATAAAATCCGCATTATTTCAAAAATAGTCACATACTAACTTAATCGGAGTTAACTGTCTTTTCGATTAAAAAACATTACATTCCAATGAAAACAAACAATACACATTTTAATCAGCATCTTGGAACTCATCATCTTCATTGTTACCATTTGTTTGGGAATAACAAACATCTACCGAATTTGCTTGCATACGCTGAGCTAAATTATCTACATCGGCATCACCGCCACCTCTTTCCTGCATATAATACTGCTCATCAACCATTTCATCTTCTGCATCAGCATACAAATTATCATCCTCTTCGTCAACATCTTCTGGATCTGGATTCAGTTCTTGGCAGATTTTAATTGCTTCATAAAAAGTTGTGATTGCTGAAGGGTTAGTTTCATCTGGTACTAAAATGAGTTCAGAAACCTCGGCATCATCAACATCACTGTGGTCGCCATCTTCTATATCAGGGTCATCATCCTCTGTAATAAACTTGTATCATTAAGCAGCAGCAACATAAAGCTACGCGACTTACCGGGAGATAAAACTTTTTTATCAGTGACAATATATAAACATTCCTCCGGATATAAATTAGCATCTCTTGATATGGCATGCAAAGATATGTCAGTGTAGCCAATTGTAAATCCCGCGTCGCCTGTCTGTTGCCAACACAGGGTGCTTAAAAAAAATACAAACTAACAGTACCGGATAAGAAATCATAAGGAAGAATTTACCTTTCGCTGATAAACAATGTTCCTACACCCATATCCTTACTGTCTATTATGGCCCTTACATTCCTCTGCTCGTGCCGAATATTCGAGTCCGGATATTTAAACGAATTTATTATCACCATTTTCGATACCAAAATATTTGAAAATGCAGCTTTGCGAAAGAGTCAAATTGAAGACCTAATATTAACGGTTAGTTTGTCGAAATATTCTTCCTTAGCTTAACCAAACTAACCCCAGATAACTGTCCAAACCCATATGTCTAATAACAACAATGGATATTTTGTCAAATGCCTATATATCGAATTCGATCATTCGGTCATTACCGGCATCCTGTGCATTTTTTTTTTAATTTGAAATACTGCAAGTATTTATTTTGAGACACCACTTCTGCATCCAATTTTTGTTTGTTCAATTCAATTCAATTATGCATTTCACAAAAAAATGTTGGGCTCGACTGCTAGGATCATTCGCCCATTGCCGACTTCCGTCGAGGATTTCCGTTTCTGGTTAATGACCACCACGTACAAAGAAGAAAAATAACCAATAATTTGCTCAGCTAGCAAAAAACGATTCTGACCGATACCAAAAAAAATCGGCTTCCCCCCGCTGCCACCGCGGGCCCATCCGGCCACCATACCGGCGTGAACAGGGAAAAACGACGGGGCCGACGACGATTATCACTTTAAAACATGCACTGAACACTAAAAATACTAAGTCCACACAGTGGAAAAAGATATCAAACTTTTGAGGACGAATACAAGGCATTCTGTCGGGAGCGAACGGAGGTTAAACCGCCGCGTGCAATGCTCCACCACAGAATCCATTTTTGTTTGTTATTAGAATTAAAAATCGTATTCTTCTTAACTAAATGGGGACAAAAAACAAAAAGTACCAAGATTCTCATTTATTAAAACGTTTTTCCCAATATCAATAACAATCTTCATCCAGTACTAAAACATAAAAATAACAACTTTCCATCCTCCCTAATAGTAATAAATAATAAATTGAGCTTTTTTCGTCATTCTCTAACCGTACGATCTCGTATTTTTCTAACATACAAGCAACTGTATGTGACTACGTGAGAGTTTTTTCTTTGATCGGCAGAATTACTGCGATGTTATTATAGACAAAAATATGTACTGAGTTATCGACTGATTGTGCGTTTCTGCAGAAATCATCACAGAAAAAAAAAAAGAAATAAAAACTTTGGGGTTAAAATAAATCCATCAAAAACATTCCCCCAGCTCGGTTGCAATTCCAATGATGAAGTTTAAGATTTTGAATGACAGATGATAAAAAAAACTCTTATTTGATCTGTGCAGCGGAAGATGCGTCACAACAAAATAAAAGCAATCGCATCAATTTCCCATTATAAGGAGTAACTGATATATACATAAACAACGGCAAATGTATAAAGAGTAAATTTTGCGGTGCAGCCCACACTGAAAAAAAAAAAAAAACAGGAGAAAGCCTTAATTCTACTTTGGAATGTTCGTATAGTATCACTGAACAAGTTTATTATAATTTCTTGCGCCTATCCAATAAATTTCGGAATGCTTTTATAGAGCAAAAAAAGAACGGTTTAAAAAATAAATACACCAAGGAATAAAATACCCACAGCACGTCACGTAGCTACCTACCGCCTATAATTAATTGGCCCCCAATCGCTGCCAGGATTCAAAGGAGGCCCGTACACTTTTCGGCCACTATTTTTTACGTTTACTTTAGATAGAACCCAGAATCCGCGAATAATTTCCGTTAAAACTACACATACGTCTTACGCATATCGTCACACGATACCTGCCGCATCGATCTGCTGCTTACGATGATGGTACATGTGGACCCGTAAGCAGCTCTGGTTGCGCATCGTCTTCCCACAAATCTGACAGTCCAGATCGGTCGAGTTAGTTTCGTGTTTGTCCCTAATGTGCACCTTTAGGTTGTAGCGGTTGACGAACTTCCGGCAACAGTACGGACAGAAAACGTGACCCTTGTTATCGGTCGCGTACGAATCTGCAAGAAGTTAAGATAAGATTGAAATCAGACAAGTGTAGGGGCCGTATTACCTCGAAAACAATTTTTCTTCACTCAAATTCGACGGGCGCCTCAATCGTTTTTAGGAAGGGAATCACGGAAGTCAATTTTTTAACGTATCGCGATAGTAAATAACCAAAACCAAAGTTAACTAAATTTATTGTTCAGTCATATACATCTCGGCGCCTTACGTTCTACAACAATTTTCAATACAAAGTCACAACGCGGAAAGTTGGGCTAATATAAAAAAAAAAATTCAATGACTAGAGGAACTGGTTCTAATATCATTTTTTTTTCATGGCCACGAAAATCAACACAGTTTAACTTATAATGTAACGTATTCGATCCCGAGCAACGCAAAAACAATTAGACAATATACTACAAACGGATAAAATGGAACAGATCATTGAAAAATATTTTTACCTTCCAAAAAACCAACAAAAAAGCGTCCCAGGCGCAACTTATAATCTGTGACAGATTTAATTGTACGTGTTCCGTGACCATCTCAATTTTTTGGACAGTTGTTTTTACATCACTCGGTTAATTTTTACGACTACGCGGCTTACCTGGTAACTACGATAAAAAAAAACACGTAACTTAAGGTTATTTGGATTCTTTGGATACGCAATTGATTTCTGATCAATAATCGGTGATGTATACTTTCACTAAATAACAAATATCATAAAATGGCGCGGGCGTGTCATATTTTGACTTCGGCCTTGATACCCATTTCGTTAATGTTGGAAAAGTGGAATTTGGCGATGTGCTTGCGCAGGCTCTCCGTGTTTTTGTAGAGTTGCTCGCATATGACACATTTAAACGGTCCAGCGTCCGAGCCATGGATGTTCTTCTCGTGCGTTCTGAGGTGATCACGTCGCGAAAACTTTTTCAAGCACTGCTCGCACTGATAGCCGTTCTTGAACACCCTGCCGTTCGACCTACCTGAAGACGGTCGAAAAAAAAAATGGCATTTTTAGATCATCCAGCAATGACACCTCCGTTTTATACCGGTTCGCCAACTTTTCAAATGTTCACTATTCAGATATCCGAAATCATTAGAGATACACCTTCGGATAAGTTACAGGAAAGTTGCGTTTTTAATTCAACTTAAAATTTCTGTATTTATTTGACAACTTTAATAAAACATACTAGACATTTACATTTTTGAGCCAAAGCTTTTTCTCAAAAATACTACAAATTTTATAAACTAAAAGTCGATTTTTCAACAGTTCCTTTTTATTATTTAGACCAAAAAATATCAATCATTCTTCTGTTACATTAAAAACATTAATAATTCTTCAATAACGTAGTTTTTATTATTTTTATTATTTCATATTTCGTGAATTGGCGCTCTAATCGCATGGAATGTCATTCACCTACATAAGAATGATATTAAGGTGAATGAAAAGACTCTATAGCTATTAAATAATATACTCGCCTTACACACCTACACACCCAAGTGGCTTGAGTTGCGACATTGCTGTAATTTTTCTGGAATATTGATTTATTTTTATAAAAACGCAATATCGATGTCTGAAATCGGGAGATTATCAATGCCGAGCCAAGTTATGTCTATTGTCACAGAATACTAGCAGTCTGTGTCATAGTTACAAAAATGCCCACCCACTGGAAAAATGATTGTGGTTGCGGTAAATACGGTAAGAAAGATAGCGTGCCTGCCCAGGTAAGTGTTGCCTTATGTACAAGTTAAGCACAAACTTGTACATATCCTGCAGTCAATACTTTGATCTTTCACGAAATTACACTAATTTTCCTTAATTCCATTTTGCCTGAAAATTTAATTGACGTTGTCAGTAGCCACGTTCATTGTTGTCCTAAGGTCTTATTGGGCGAAAGCCAGAATTGAGAATTACTGGTGTGATAGGTTAAAATGAGATTTAAAATCTCACGCATGCGCTGTTGAATGAAACTTTCAAAGTATTTTTCATAATGGCTTCATAAATTCTTGTACTATCAGTTTAATGAAGGCCCCTATATATTTAGTAGCTATATGAAAAGACTGCTCTATCAGTGCGTCAAAATACAAATTTATTGAACTGATACATTGATTTGTGGTGAACTTGAGAATAAATTGAAATATCTAGCGGATGCTACATCACTTTACTGCCGGTAATAATTGAATCACCAGCACTTTAAGTTTTTTTTTTAAATGCAAGAGTCTAGCGCCTGTCCTGTATGCTCAATGACCTGAACATTACAAAGAACACAGCCTATAATACATGAAATCAAAACAACACAACATACAGGATGGTGAAGAAAATTCATCTACTGGGGCATTTAAAAAAAATTGAATAGCAGAATTGTACGTTTTTACACCTTTACTAGCATATTTGTATGTAATTGTGTTCAGTATTAAATAAAGCAAATACATGGGTAGGAGCTAGAGTCTGTGTGAATAGAGGTAGTGAAATCACATATCACAAAGATTGAAAGGAATTTCCAGATAATCTGAGAGTTGGACATGAAACCTGTTTGTTTTTTTCACGACCGACTGTTAAAAAATTATATTTTCACAGAAGATTATGGGCAATCAAAAAATGGCAAAGGAAATATATTTATTGATTAATATAACTCAAAAATTCATCAAGTACAGTCCTGTTAATAAACATCGAGGCACACGGGTGAGTACTTACACAAGTTCCTGTCATGCAGCAACAAATGCTGGAGTTAAAATATTTGTTGGAAGCGAGGTTCTCCTACAGTCGTCAGACTGCTGCAAAAGTGTTTAATAAACATTCGATTAGGTTATGTTTTAGTAGGGTTATACGCATATTCTACTTACCATGCAAAAACATTATTAATCGTATTAAACATAACTCATAAGAAACAAAACAAACAAAATAACACACAAAACTAAAAATTAACAAAACAAAAAAACGCGCGATTAAGGGTGTGGCGGGTTCTGACACGTTTATTGGGCCCAAAAATTATCAAAAAATCAATCATTTTACCAGATCGCCTTACGCGCTGAGCCAACTTTGCCAGTTTTCCACAAATAAGTTCAAGCCATATCTTCGCAATCTGGGGCCCATTTATTTTGTTTTTGTTCGTTGTTTAACAGCAATTATCAAAGTTACTTAATTTTGATGTGAGTTTAACATTTTGAGTCCCGTGAATTACCAAGAAATATATATTATAACACAGTGATTATGATTGAGACAACTTAGTATTATCTTTCCGTTTTCAGTAAAAAATGCTATAGGGAAAGATCTGGAACATTATTATCTCTTAGTATACGGATTGCCAATAATTTGCAGTGAACATTTAGCCTCACAAAGTTGTTAAGAGGCGTAAAGCAAACTAGATGACGTCATGAGTTGATAGATTAAATCGAAAATCTCGTTTATCACATCTTTAAAAATATCTAGAAAATCTGGCATTAAATTAGAGTCTTCTGTATTTTGAATTGAATTTAAGTTTGTTATTTTGTAATTTTTGTGTCCCATAAATGCACCTTCACCGCGGGGTGCAAATTGACGTAACGCAAAAAGCCTCTAAGCAGGCCGCAAGACAAGTTTCTCAGGCCTTTCATATTAAACAAAATAAAATCGATCTAGGCTCTACTCAAAATAAAACGAAAATAGTGAACAAAATTTCACATGCCACAGTTCAAGTACCTTGGTCAGAATAATTTGGATCGCCTGTTAATCCAGAGTTAGCCTGGATACCAGTCAGATTGTTTTCCCACGGAATCGCTGGCGACTTGACATGCTCCTTGTGGTCATCCCGATCAGGACTGCTCTGCAATTCGCCCACATCAGAGCCATGGTGGTCTGGTTGTTGTTTCTGATGCTCGGGATCATGTTTCACGGGCCTCTGGTCACACTTTGATTTTTTCGCATTTACCAATGTATTAGAGGATTTCGGTGGACGCTTGCACACATTCAGCGGTAAGGGAGATGTCTGGGGCGGCGTGCCCGAGTAGCTTGTAGGTAGTTCGACGTCGGCCGATTCGATCAGCTCGTTGTAAATCTCGGTGCTGTCGTCGTTGTCGCATTCGGATTTACCGGTTTTGTGTGCCGAAGACTCTTCCATCTAAGATTAACCAAAACTAAGCATAAAGGCAACAAATTAATTTGTTCACTTACCGGATCATCTCCAGTCAACCCCTTAACCTGCAATACCTCAGCGGTGCGCAGAAACGACGACAGATTATCCCTCAACACGCTAACCTCGCCCATATACATAAACTGCAAGATGTCTTTCATGTTTTCGTGGCCGACGTCTTTGAGTATGACTATCGGATGTTTGCAAGGGTTAGCTTTAAACATCTGCTTAAAGTAGGGGCTGCAGATCGACAGCACAATCTTGTGCGCTTGCAGGAAGTGCCCATCGACCGCCAAAGTAACATCCACCATGTCAGCGGCTTGCAGCAGCTCGTGGAAGCCAGAGGTTAAATTCGAGTGGAAGTTGTTCCATCGCAAGGAAAACTGTTCTGTCGTGGCCATCTTTTTAATTTTTACCCTTCAGTCATCGGCCAACTAGAATATGTGATTTTTTTTGTACGCTGCCGAATTGATAAAAATGCTTCGCGTACACTTCCGCGCAATTTTTAATATACCCAACGCGGCGGCACTATTATTTAAGTGGGTAATTTAACGGAAACGGCAACTAATTTTGCAAACAATATAGTCTAATTTGTTGATTAAGCATAACGTGCAATCGCAGACTGAAAGTCATCGTAAAAATTGCGACACACGTATCGTTACATTTTCAAATCTGCGCGAGCGTTATGCATTAGAGAAAAGGTACCTGTATTTCAACAATTTTATCTCCCTATTGCCGTAGATAATAGAGAACGGCGATTTAAATACAATCAGCATGATTGTGGACGTTTGTTGGCGAATTTATTTTTGGAAATTGAGTCGCCATTGCCCGAATCGAAAACTAACCAAAAACGGAGGCTACTCACCGTCTGCGATTTTAGTGGGAATACCTCGGAGCGAATTGGCAGGACACGGGAACGCACTAGGTGAAAGATTACATAACACCGAAAGGACGACTGATTTGTAAACAAAACAATGAGACACGCCGAGAGCAACCCTAATTGAACATTTCCGGACCAATCCGGGCATCCGGGATGGCATGAATCGTGATTGACGGGTTACGGAACCTCGTTGCCAACGTGTGCCCGAATTTTTAGCAACTAGGAGAGACACCCGAGTTTCGGGTTGTATTTCCTGTCATAGTTACCCATCAAATTTAGGTTGGGGCTGCATGGGACAAGAACAACATACTATTAAAAAGCCTCAAAATATATTGCGGCAGATACACCGAGCATAAAATAACAATAATTGATGGGAAGACGAATTTGGCAACGCCGAAGCTTAAATGTGCGCATGAGGTCAAACGTGTACCGACATCGGATGGGCCGTGTTTAAAATATCTCGACAGTTCAGATCCGTAATGAAAACTTTTGAAGTTGATTTTATATTTTACGTTCTTATATTTTTTCACTTTTACATTTATTAAACACGTGCAAATCACAAGAACACAATTAATCTGCACAACAATCATTTATCTGTCCATTCGGAGAAGCTGTTCCTGGTCATGGTACTCCTTTCACTATCGGGCGCAAGGACGTCCCGCCGTTTGGCAATCACGCGTTTTAACATGTCGGCGACGCTCGTATTCAAGATGGCGTGGATGCAACTGGTGCTGGAGGACTGCTGCGCGGTTTTCAGCAACTCTTGATTTTGCCTCTGAATGTTTTGGGGATCCGCACAGGACACTGAACGTTCGCGGTTAACGTTGATAATTGCGACTTTGCCCTTATCAGAATTCTAAAAAACTATGTTAGGCCTGAAAAGTTATAAGTAGTACGTTGACACGTTGGAACGGAATTTCATATTTTCATGGGTTTTATACAACCGTTACGGTGTTGGTAGTCGATAATTAAATTGGAATGGAATTCAGTTCCACGTGGAAACGTACTAGAATTTAGGTTTGGTTTACCCTGCCCGATAAAGCTTGCGAATAGTAAGAATCGTTAGAGCCCTCTTCAGTCTCATTTCGCTTCATTGCATTTAATAAAATTTCTGTGATCCTTTTAGAACACTTTATTGTTTCGTTCACCTAAAATAATTACTCAAATATTATAGGAGCCATTGGTTAAGCGTCAATGATATGCGATTGAAAAAAATACATAATTTTACATGAAATCGCTGTTTTGAGTGCTGTTATTTTCCCATAGGCATTTTCAACAGTGTGTATTGAGCAATATTCATATGGCAATGTTGCCTCCACTCACTCGACTAGTTTTTTCCTTGATCATTTAACAAGATATTGGCATATTATGAGAAAATACTGCAGTAAAATGTTATATCTAAACTGAAACCTGCATTATTAACGAACACTCAGCGACCATATTGGTTGTCGAACGCCGCTAAGTTTTATTGGTTGAAAACATATAGCTATAAGATGATATAGTGGCCCTTCCACGGTAAAAATTGATTCGCCTCCGGTGGCTATAATATTTTCGTAGAAAAGGTGCAATCTCTGAAATTCGAACATAATTGGCAACGCCGAGCTAAGTGTCTGCCCTGTGCCATTACTGTTTTAATTTTTGGTGTCGGTATCTCCGCAACGTACTCACAAACTTGTATAATAGTGCTATGTGCTTTCAATACTTTGTTCTTTCAGCAAATTACTGCAAATGGGGCAAATATGATTTAACTAATAGGATCTTAAAGAAACAGTGATGCCTATATAATTGACATTTAACAAACTGAAAAATAGACTTACACAAATATTTATTTGTGAATTTTCTAAAAATAATTCCCTACATTTTTAGGTAGACTTAAATAGCTACGAAGGATGTTTGGGTAATATGTTTTAGTGTACAAGAATTACAGGAAATATAACAAAGCAATTAAGCTACAAGTTGAATTTTTATTAGAAGAAGCATAAGAAATACCCCTTGTCAATTACTATATATAGGAAGTGTCTCTTGATCATTTTTTCACTTGGATGTTTCATGTGCGATATCTAGCATCTAGGATTTCGACATATTTTGAGAAAATACTGCCGTAAAAATGCCGTATCCAAACATCGACGATCTGTCCGCGGCCATGTTGTTTGTTGTAAGCCGCAAGGTCTTATGGGTCCTACGTCAGAATTTGCAATTAGAGCTGCCATTGGTTAATAAGGAAATTTTAAATCTCGCGCGTGCGTTGAATGGACCTTCTCAAAAAAATTACATAGTTGCTTCAAGAGTTTCTGTACTGTAAGCATAGGCACTGCCCCTATTGTTCTAGTAGCTATATGGTTGTAAACAATATTTCAAATGGCTTCGCATGCCTATCAATATACTTTTTTCATCGTCGCTTCAAACATTTCTGTATTACCAGCAAAAGCAGCGTCTCTATATATCTAGTAGCCATATGACGTGACGGCACGTGAAAATAAATCATATTCAGTATACCGTTCTCGCTTTACATGTACTCATTAAAATTTATCATATTTAACAACGTACTTCATCCAGAGTCAGCATCACGCACTCGGCCGAGTTATTCTTGTCCGTGACGTCGCGTTGCGAGCTACCCCCGCTTTTGCCGTCTTCCGACGTTTCGTCGACAGTTCTGTCGACACCGTTTGAGCTAAATGTGCGATCCGAAAGATGGCGCAAGCGCGCGTTGCTGTAATTCAGCCAGAAGTTGTTCCATTCGCCCACCTTATTGTCGACATCGGGGGTGTCGTCTTAAAAAAAAGAGATTAACCAAAATCGTAGACAAGCAATCTTGTATCTATGATCTATATGCTCGATACGAGACAATGACAAAGCTAATTAAAACAGAGAGCCGAAAAAATGAGAAATATTCATAGTACCATTTAAACTGTGCCCGTAGTAGCGCAACTCAGAGGTCCCACATTTTAATAAATTGAGTTACGACTTATGTCTGTTTCCCTCTTTCTGCGTACCAGCTGAAATAGTTGAAAGAAGACATAGAATGTCTAGTATTTATTGATCAGAATGAATTCGGACACAGGTAGAAAACAATGAAACCGCCCACATTTAAAACAAATTGCTATTTTTTAAATTTATTGTGTTGTTTTTATACCATCTGTTTTTATGCATCTGTTTAGGTTGTGTCATATTCATGGAACATGAAATGAAGCTTCAACCCCAAGCTAAATCAAAAGTAAGGTTACGGTAAATAGTAAATACCTAAAGTTTTTTTTTAGGATTTCTTTTCCTATAACAAAGAATAATGTTTCGATAATTCAACTCTAATAGCATTTTAGCTTCGTCATGTTTTTTGGGTACATATGGTAGGCATTTGTTTTAGTAATTTGTTTAGCTTACATTGGAAAGGAAAATATGTAAGACTTTGTTGTTATAATCGAATTGAATTGCGATATTATTATTTATATTCCAGTTATGATATGGTTCCGTCCTATGTAAATATATAAAGATTCAACTGGACTTTTTAAAACCTTAATATTATTTACGTGTGTATGTAGTTGCTATTTGATGCTGTTATTTTAGTCTGCAGATAGTTTCATGTTTTTTATTAGTTTTAAAATTTTGCAGCCATCCAGCGTCAAAAGATTAGTTAGTCCTGTAGCGCACGGTAGTGTTGTAAAGACGGTTCCGATGTTCGGTTTCTACTATCAGTTGCAAGAAACACTTTTCAATAATTGTTTTTAAATCAAAAACCCGCGATTTGTACAGAATTTCTCGGTTATCATCTGATAGTGTTTTTGGATCTTTTTCAGATAAAGTGTTCGCAGCATACGCATTCGTTCGCATTTACGAATCAACTTTACCTTAGTCGACTTTTCTCGACACTTTGTTGTGGAAGTATTAAGAAAACGTATAAAAAGAAAAATCTAAAATACATGAGTTTTTTAACCTCTTATAGTGAGCCACTTGTAGTAGCAGACCTATTTATCTGCGGTTTTTGGTTGGTGAATACTATAAACAACGAGCAGGAACCTATGGAAAATTACCATCATACAATAACATCGAAAAAAAAAATTCGTGCGTTGAAAACGATCATAAACTTCTTTACTTGTTTCACACCGGCTTTAGCCAATAGCAATCTACCACAGAATACTTCTTTTTTATTAATTTTTTCAGTTTTTAATGTTTGCCATCGTGTTACCTTGAACGTTTACGATCGCGCTCCCGAAATAATCGCTGCTAGCGCTCTCGATCCAGCTGAGGTAGTTAGTGCTAGATGGACTCGTGATAGTTCTAGCTTCTCGATTGGATTCGGTCGTGCTTCGGACTGCGTAATCTGTGTTGTCGGACGAAGTTTCCATCGAACTGTACGCCCTAAAATCATTTCGCCTTGTTTAGTCCCTGACTGTGGTCTGTGGTCAGATTTTTTGTGGTATTGTTTTCAGCATATAGTTATTAGATAATATAGTGACCCCGAGTGAGGTAAAAAATGATGTGCCTCAGGCGGCTATGATATTTTTGCAGAAATGAAAGGAATCTTCCGCGCAAGCCTCTAATTTTCACGCGCTATTTTCTTTTCTTTTTATACACTTAACTCGTTTTCCCAGAAAACTTAATGAGATATGCGAAGATTTGGAGGAAGAACTGCGATAAAGATGCCCCCTCCCAAATGTAAAAGGAATATTTTTTTCATTGTCCGTTCAAAAATTTCTGTTATCAAGAATTAGGCTGGGCCACTAGATATTTATTAGCTATATGTTTTTCAGCATTAGATAATGTAGAGCCCAAAAAACATTTAAATGGATCCCGTCATATTCAATTGACAAACTGTCAGCGACCATGTTGATTGTTGAACGACGCAAGTTTTTATTGAACTAGTTTTTTCATATTCAATGCTTGTTACCTGATTGATTTGCCGGATATGTTCGAAACGGAACTTCTCGAGCTTCGCCTTTCCGATATTGACGCTAAACTATGTCTGTATTGTTTCTCTTGTGCAGTTCTTTCTCTGATAGGCGCCCCGTCGTCTACGGTAGACAGTGTAAATGAGTCATAACTAAGAATAAGGAAACAATCAGTGGAAAAGCATTGAAAATAAACAAAATACTCGAACTTGATGGAAACAAGAGTTTTGAGTTTGTTTCAGTTTACTTTTTTTCATTTTAAGTTCCAAAAATCACAAAGAAAACATAAACTTGACTGTCCATTTGGTGGAAAACCGGCTTTAGACGTCAGGCCACATTTGCGAGCGATTTATCCACAGGTTTGCCGGCATGTTTTGAAATGTGTCAATTTCGACAGTCACGTCACATGTCACTCAGTGAATGTACTCGTGCTGTTTTGTAAAAATGGACCCAAAAACTAATGGTCGTAGAAGAAGTATAACACTTTGCTAAATTTCTCCACTCACTCGCTCCAGGCTCTCTGCACGTGCCAAGTCACACTCGTGATTAAATGAATTTTTATCAAACTTGCTGCATAATATTATAATATTATTATAATTTATAAAACTTCTGGATTCCTCCTGCGTCGGTTTTTGTTGAGTCGCCAATCATCCTGTTGGCTTCTTCAGAGCTTGACCAAAACTGGCTCGTATTTTACTCTGTACCTGCTTTTATATTGTTTGAGGGGGGCGGAGTTAAATGAGGAGCATAAACACCGCCTCGGATGACTGATTCCCATACTGGTGACAGCTAGAGACCTGACTCTTGGTTAAGATTATTGCTTGCTTATAGATTTCTATAGCCCTGGTGAAAGGTAATATTCTCGTATTTTTCGTAAGAATTGATTACATGCAAGAATTTTAGTTTTATCGAATAAAATTTTATGTACGATTTCATGATTGTGTTCGGCAACTGGTGATGAGTTTATTTGGCTTAGTCTTGAGGCTCTTTCATGTTCTTTGAGTCTAGTTGATATTTTCAAAGGCTTCTATAAATAATGCATTGAGAAGAAAACTCTCGACACCTTCCATCTAAAACCAAAATTATGGAAACGCTACGTAGATGATACTTTTGTTATTTGGCCTCATGGTCAGAAATCCCTAGTAGATTTTCTTAGACATTTAAACTCTAAACACCCTAACATACGTTTTACCATTTAAATAGAAACTAATAACAACCTCCCATTCTTAGATATTCAATTCAATAGAAAATCAGAGCTAACATTGGGTGCTCTTCTCTCTAATAATTTCCACATTAAGGATATTAACCGTTCCATCACAAAATACACATCAGCACAACCTTCCAATAGCAATGAAGCCGAAAGCAATCTCACGCTGTTGTCTTTCCTTATATTCGAAACATCACTGACCACATATCAAATGTTCAATAAAACTAAAATTCTTGCATGTAATCAATTCTTCTACCAACGAAAAATCCAAGAATAGTACCTTTCACCAGTAACCACCAATATTAAAGTCTATAGAAATCTATAAGCAAGCAATAATCTTAACCGCGAGTCAGGTCTCTACCTGTCACCAGTATGGGAATCAGTCATCCGAGGCGGTGTTTATGCTCCTCATTTAGCTCCGCCCCCCTCAAACAATATAAAAGCAGGTACAGAGTAAAATACGAGCCAGTTTCAGTAAAGCTCTGAAGAAGCTAACAGGATGATTGGCGAAAAGTTAGCTAGTTCGACTCAACAAAAACCGACGCAGGAGGAATCCAGAAATTTTGTAAAAGCCATTAAAGTAGCCCGTGGAAGTTTCTTTGAAAAATTAATATTATATTATAGTTTAGATAACATTAGAATATAGTTATAATATAAAATAATTTTTATTGTATTATTTAGGTATATTTGTGTTTAATTTATTTTGTTTTATTGTTCATTGACAGAAGTAAAAACGGGAATAAATCGTTTTGAATTTGAAAACGACACACGAATTATTACTTTTACCCTAGTACATTGGAGACATCGAAAGTTGGTGGTTTAATCAAGAACCGGGTGGTTTAGTTTACCATCTTCGTTGCTGCTGGTTGATTCGACGCGGTCTTTCCTGAACGGCACCGAGTTGGGCTTTCTGACCACGGTGCCCGTCCTGACCAGTGTCGGCGCGGGACTCCCGTACAACGTCAGGTCCGTCAGATTGTCTTGAAAAAATGATAGCTGACTGGAACTGTTGGATGATCCCGATTGGGATGCGCTTTCGTCCTGCGACATCCCGCGTTTTACAGCGACGCGTTCGTCTAACGAATTCAAAGTTAATCCGACGTCAGTCCGCGCGTCTGATTCGATATGCAGCTCCGGTTTGTTTGAAAACTCGACGGAGGGTGACTGACTTGGGATAGAAACGTATACCTACGTGGGAAATTGCCGGGGTGGGTTTTTGTCACGCTTCGTGGGATATTTCCATGCCAACGATTAGTCGCCGGTGACCGGTTTTATCTGGTTTTATCGATGGAGCGCGTCCGCTTAATAATGCTCAAAATAAGCGCGGGCAAGCCCGAAAAAGTACTTGCCACGAAAATACGTATACGGGGGTGGCGGATTTCCTTGATCCGCCAGAAATAAACTATGCTCGTGACGTCAACCGCATATACAGGGTGTTATTCAAAATACGTCCAATATTTCACATGGTGATGTCTGAAATTCTTAAGATAAAAAGTTTCTTCAAACGTGTTGTCTGACATGCCTCGTTTTCGAGGTACAGAGTGTCAAAGTCTTAATTTTGTTTTTTGCATAGTTTCTTAAATAATACCTAACGAAACATCGAGGTTTTCTGACAAGAGAAATTTAAATTTGTTCATAATTTAGCTCTTGTAGGGGGCGCTACTCGCTTTTCGCAATGTCAAAGGCTCCTGACTTTTTCTACGATCCTGTATTATATTTGCTCAATCATTAATATGTAAAAAAGGTTCTGTTATTAGAAGTCGCTATAGAAGCAATAACGGTTTCCGAAATGTTTTGGTTTGAAGTAATCTTGTTTTTTTTATGCATGTACTCTTTATTTCACACAGTGAAACACTCCTTCAACTTTGCGCATTGGTTTTCGAAACATCTTGTATAAAAATTATTAAAAAAGGTTAGAACTTAAAAATTGGGAATATGAAGCTTCTGAGCTTATCTAAAAATCATCTAAAATCTTCTGTTCTTTTTGATATAAAATTTTTTTACATCGTCCGTTTAACTATAATCTTGTCTTGTCTATATTTTAGTAGTGCTGTTTATAAACTTTTTCAGACACTCGTTCCGCTCGTGACTAAAGTGTCGTTTGTTGATGTTGCAACGTGCGTTAGAAGTTTCATCAATGTTATTCACCTCACAATTGCATTCTTCTTCGAAAAGCTAATCTGAACTTTAGAGTGCGTTAAATTCGCACACAACGAATAAGTTATTAACGTAAAAATTTATTTTATTTATTATCGGTTTCGAGGAATGATTAAAATTAATTGGATTATTTAGCTATTTATAGGTACTTCCGCTTCAAGTGTTCTAAATGATATATAATTAATATTAGATACACTGAGGTAAGGTTCAAGTTTGTGCAGTTTTTTTAGATGAAAGTTGATACCAGTTATTGTTATTTGTTTGTTATGTCTTTTGATATTGTGGTCGCACAACGCACTAGCAAGAGAAGCCGCTGTGGGTTAGACAAAATGTTCCGGATGGAATTTTGTTTTTTGAAAGTTAAATCTAGATTGCGACAGTTGGAGCCGTTACAGCAAACAAAAATTTGGGAACTCTTTAGGGTAGGTGCAATTTGTTGTACGAAGGTTTTAGCAGGTCACAGACTGAAGGCACAATATAGAATGAAACCCAAGGTAAATCTACATAAATGATTTAATTAATTTGTATTTGATGTTACACATAATTTGTCGTTTAGAACAAGGCCTTCTATTATACCTGGTACCAGAAACGCAAGGGACTTTGAGGTAAGAATATATGAACCCGAACGGGGGGGGGATGGAAAAAGCCCAAAACAAAACATTTTAACTTGTAGATACCTATAGAGGACCTCATTCGACGATAAAAAACCGAAAATATCTACAGGTGAAAGAATGGAGTTTTACAATAAGAAGGCACCGCTGAAAGAAGACGGGGGAACTATACAAATATATTATCAGCCTGCGCGCGCATTTTAGTAAATATAGTTTCCTATCGACGTTACTTTTGTACACAAACTCCATGTCGTTTCGACGCGAGACGCAAAAAAAGCGACAACATTGGAAAAAAAACATCGCCGCTAGAGCGACCAAAGGGTAACCACATATTTACAGTCAATTTCTTACAAAATCGAGCGGGTTGCCGACGTCTTAGTTTTCGACTGATATCGTAGGCGGTTAGTTTCGGCAATGTTCGTTTCTTGTCACACTCCCACCCGAACTACAGTCTATTATTTACAAGGAAATGAGGGAACGCAGACTTATTGCTAACAAAATACTCGCTCCGGAAACGAACCGCGCGCCTCTGCGTAGGAACTTGCGCGGACGCGCCTTCACAATGGACGTTTGAAGCGCTATTCAATTTATCTCAGTTATACCGGGTCCGACTAATTCTTAGGTTATGGTGTTGGTATGTCAGTCAGTAAAAATAGAAAAAAGTTATCGATATACCCCTTCAGTTTTCCCAGACTCAAATATATTTATTTTGCTTTGGTAAAACAGAACACAAAAAAAGCAATAAACTCATATTTGACTCAGACAGCTGTAGATCATCTGCGTCAAGTCAATCCGAATAAATCATCCTGTATCCTTTCTGAGATAAAGTTCAAGTTACATAATATGTAAAAAATAAGAAGTTTAACTGGATGCCATTTTCCCATCTTCAAAGCCCTGCCCAATCCGGAGACTATTGCTCGATTTACATGCGCTTTAGGCAACATATAACTTTGAAACTATGGCGACTTTAAACTTATCTATATAACAGACATTTTCTCTGTAAATCTGTAAATAAAATGTTTCGCGATACGCTCGTTCTTTCCCAGTTTATCCACATTAACATGTATATTTTTAGGACCTAAAAATTGCAAAACTCTTCTTTGAGATTGATATATGGAGTAAGAAGAAGGAATCGCTTACTTCCCTATCTTGTACAAACAAAACGGCCAACATTTTTAATAAATATCGGCTCTTTATATCCTGCTTTGGATTGTTAAACACAAACTTCCTTCCTATACGATCCTATACCACGGAACAAAAAACAATGGTCAAGTGGTCTTGCCTTTTCCTACAATGTCTCCATTTAGGCTTAGTCAGATGCCATATCTATTAGATTTTTAATATATTTTAGGCTCTGTCTTACTTACTTACTTATTGAAATTTGGTTTTTCTGTTGTTACAGCTCTTTTTTTTTATTGTCGTGCCCATACTAATTTAAAAAAGAATTTCGGCTTTATTTAAACACACGGCTTCAAACTAATTTCAAATTGCCATTTTTGTCTATGCTTTACTACTGAATATTTTCATAAATATTCTGTATTTTCTAAAAACGGCGTAATAAAATTAATAACTTTTTCTAAATTAATTGTAGCCACAATGTCCCTAAAAATTAGTTGGGTCGCGGTATATCTCCATGTAACTTTACCTATTGGCAATAGGAGACCCGCTAAGCTAAAAGAATGTTTACACACTCTCAAATCAATTGCCATGGGAGTCAATGTAATTTTTTTATTGTCGTGCCCATACTAATTTAAAAAAGAATTTCGGCTTTATTTAAACACACGGCTTCAAACTAATTTCAAATTGCCATTTTTGTCTATGCTTTACTACTGAATATTTTCATAAATATTCTGTATTTTCTAAAAACGGCGTAATAAAATTAATAACTTTTTCTAAATTAACTGTAGCCACAATGTCCCTAAAAATTAGTTGGGTCGCGGTATATCTCCATGTAACTTTACCTATTGGCAATAGGAGACCCGCTAAGCTAAAAGAATGTTTACACACTCTCAAATCAATTGCCATGGGAGTCAATGTTCGTAAACATTGAGAACTTCTCGGGTCTCCTTTGCATTAGAATATTTTTTTTCTCTACCCATGAACCGAACATCTTAATTACTTATAATCTGCCGAAATATTTATACGCTAACACTCAAAGCCCAGAATATGCGACTTTTATTCTGTGCCCCAACTACGAGCATTCCACAAAACGCCTCTAACATAACTAACGATCGCCATTCTTTGTACCAGCGAGAAAATCTTATTATTAGAATCGTGAAAATGTGGTCCAATTCCCTCGATTTATAAGTCTTTTTAACAGGATGTCGAATTTCAAGAGCCGAATTTTTGTATCCGCTGGTAAAATTTTTAATAATTTTCGGAAACATTTCAAAGGTCCTTCGCCATTTAAACAATATATCTGCAACTGTTTACGCAATTTTGTGAAATTTGATTTCCAAATTTTCACCGCGTTATAAAAATATTTGCTTGGTCACCGTCATTCGTTTTGGTGATAATTAAAAAGCACGTTATCGCCACCCCTCTCCCGCAATTTCCATGGCGGCGTCTTAAGCGTTCGATTCCTTCAAATCCTGCAGTCTGGCCAACTGGTGCGGCTCCAGCTCGTCGGGGATGCTTGCCCGACCGCCGACCACCTGCTTCGGCGGATCCACGTCAGTCGGGGGCGGCGGCGGCGGTCCGTGGCTGACCGAATTTTCAGCCGTACTCGGGCCGGTGGTCTCACCTTAATGGTCTTATTGTTTAGTCATCAAAATGTCAAAGGGTATTATGTAAACGACATACCGTCACTTCCGGTGCTGCTGCTCACCGCCAAGGGGGGTTGTTCTTCGTCGGCTTCCGTTGGCTCGTCCTCTTCTGGGATGACGTCGTTGACGGTGTCCTTCAGTTCGGTGATCTGGACAGACCCGTGCCTGCCGACCACGTCATGTTCCACGTCATCTACAGCCTCCTCGATCTCCGGCTCGTCGTCGCCGCCCTCGCTATGATTAACCGTAGCGTCTTCGTCCGGCGGCGGGAACGGATGGTCGGGCTCCTCCGTCATTGGTGTAGCGGCCGTTATGACGATCTGGGCCACGCCCAACCCGAAATCGTCACCCCCGTCGCTAGGCTGTTGGTCTTCCTTTATTTCGACGTCCTCCTACAACCGGATCGAAGGGTATAGCCGCGTAGGCACATCCACCGACCATAACGACGATATCAAGAGTCAGTCTCCGTTCGAAATATTGAATTAATCACTTGACCAAAAATGAACAAATCATTAAAACTAACGACTACCACACTAACCAAAACCCTGATGGCAATATATTAAGTAATCATCAATCACCAATCACCTGGACCCGTTGTAGTTACCAAACATCTATTAGTAGTAATTATTGTTGAAATGATAACATTGAGGACATATGTGCTCCAGAAAAATAACAATTATTAACAACAAAACGGTAATATGTAAACATGAACGAGTAAAATTCCCCAAAAATAAACTAGTATTGGGTAAGTATAAATTTGACTTAATTAGATTTGATTTTGAACGATATTGACAGAAAACGAAGATTTAAGCTGATATCGTTTTAGACAAAACATAGGTCGCAAGAGCCGATTTTGACTGGAATATGATTGAAATGAAGAAGAAAAACCTACTAAGAAAGAGGGTTTTTAAGTAGATATCTGTAGCTTTAATATAGATTTCGGTCCGGTAAGTTGTGAAAATGCTGGTTTTGATTATAATCTGCTTGAAATGAAGAAGAAAATCCAATCATTTGTCCCAGAAAAAGGGGTTTTAAGTTCATATCTGCATTTTTTACGTAGATTTCGGTACAATAAATGGTGAAAGAGCAGATTCTACCTGAAATCGACAACTCTTTGACACAGAAATGGCGGTTTTAAGTTGATATGACTTAATTAACTATAAATTATGAATTTTTATACATATAAATGGTATTTTCGTTTCTTGTTGGGGATTTACTTGATCCTGACGAATTCAAAGAAGAAAAAAAAACATCCATTTTATTAAATCCTCGTTTCTATTTAATTTTTTAGATTATTTTGCTAAGGTAAAATTTAGTTGTAGTTCTATCAGGTTAGTTGTAAGACGCAGTCAGGGCCGGGCCTTCCGCATGAGTGACCCTTATAGCTTTCTAGCACAAAATGCTAACCGTTTTGATAATCCTTCGTATATCTGAATTTAATTTAAGATCTCTAGTGAAAACAGGAAAAATTAGCATTATCTGGGATCGAGATCCACCCCTTGGAACTCGACATTTGAGAACAACGGAGAGTGTCAATTCTTATCGTTGTTAATGCTCGGTGGCACAGCTTACCAATCTGTTTGGTAAGCTGTGGCGTAAAGGGTTAAATTAGGCACGCGTCCCGCTAATTGGCATACCTCGTCGCTAATTTCGAGGGTGGGCACTCCGATTACTAAAGGCAGCGGTCAAAATTGAACACACACGTTAGCTTTAGCAAACCACCTGGAAAATCCCGGACTTACCCGGAATGTCTTGGCCCTCGTCGAACTGGCTTCCATACTGCTGGTGTCGGTGCCTAGTCAGAGCCATGGAGAAGTTCGCCTGTTTCGTGACGTCTGTCTCGTTTTTCGGTTCTTCTTCAGGTAAATTCGGTTCTTCCGTATTTAAGATCGGCACGGGTACCCGAGGCGGTTCGGCCTAATCCAAAACAGAAAATATTTACATGCGCATGCGCGTATGTTATAAGCGCTTGCGCATTTCATTCGAAACTAAACTTTTAACCACAGAGAAAACTATAATAAACAGAGATCGATAAACTGAGAATAATCCGTGTTTCGTTTATACTGTGACTGTCTGAGCTGCTTGGGTGAAGACATATTTATTGATTAGAATTAATTCGCGATCGACACAAAAAACCGATAAACCGCCAAATTATTATATTGTATGTTTTTGTCTCCAACCATCAAGGTAAATTGAATTTATTGTGTTGTTAAGTAAAATGTCTATTGGGTTTTTATTTGGTTCCCTATAATTGTTTTTGTTTATAAAGATTTTGTTGCTATAATCTAGTTTAATTTGAGCATTATTATAACTACTAATAAACAATCGAATAAACAACTTTTTGATAGTAGTTTTATTTGCATTTTTATTTTGTTTGTTGTTAAGTTTTAATTCTTAAATAAAGCGACAATAACTACTAGTGAATATGTCTCTATAGATAACCATTCAATTTAGTTGGTGGCGATACTGAAATATGTGTTTAAAAGCACGTTCGCTCCCTAACACTTACGGATACGACTTCGTCAACTTCCACGTCTTCGTCTTCATCCCTTAAGTACCTGGGAATCTCTGGCGGAGTGAAAACCGGCGGAGCGGATGGTGGCGGTGTCTCGTCCCACTGGTTCGTCAGCGGCTCGCCGAATTCGTCGCATTCTTCCACCACGAGCGACGGGAAGTTGCCGATTTGACCTGGGGGAAGAATAATTTGCTATAAAAAAATATATTGTGACGCGCGAACCGAATGATTTGAGCCCGATCCTGGCTGGCCCCCTCTGTGTTCGACAAACTTGGGGATGGTGCGAGATCAAAGACGTCCTTATAAAAGCGGAGGACCTGGCTCGCCTGTCAGTTAGTTGGAAAGAGACGCCGGAACGCGAAAATCTAAATATTCTATTTATATAAATAAAGACGTTATATGTACGAACAAATTTTTGCATCGGAAAACCGAATCCCTTTAAGGTGCTGTTGACAGAAACTACTGGAAATTTCCATAAATCCAAAACGACCGTTCCCACACTAAACTCACCCTCAAGTTCACCCTGCCACCATCCGTCGTCTATACTGTGCGCGCACTTGCTGAGCACCTTGATGATCTGACCTTCCTCGAAGGTGAGCTCTTCGCCACCCTCGCCCTCATAGTCGTATAGTGCGACGCAGTATGATACAGCAACGTCGCCAGATTTATGTTGAATAGGCATCGAAATTACAGACACCTGTTGATAAAGAACTATCCGTCACATATATATTTATGTTTTTGGACCCTACCTACTGCTCCGATGTAAAAGAAAGAAAATTTTAACCCAATAATTTCATATTTCACGTTTTTTTTATCGTAAAACCTGTATAGATACTTTTTATACATTTATACAGCTCATTATTCGTTTATATGCTACCTGCAAAGCCCGTTGAAGACAAGATTTTTGGATTAATTAGATTATGCAAAAACCAACAAATTCTTTTTACAGTTCATCGATAGAGAAGTCGAGGCACTGACTAACGGTGTTAAGGAAGTCAAGAAATCTGTAAAAAGTAACCCTTGGATACCGACGCACAGTGGGCCAGGATGACACGAAATGTCGGAAATCATGTGATACAGCAAGTTATCACATTATACTGAATTTGCTTCACTGTGTTTATGATACATTAATTTAGAAAATAGAAGATGCGGTATCTAAAATTCATTCTGTGATAAATATTTGCACCAGAAATTAGTATCTGCCTTTGGAAATAATGTAGAAACATACCACCTTGTATTCTTAACTCTGAGGTAACGGCAAATGTAGTTTTTGTAGGAACCGATTTGGGAAAAAAGCAGAAAATATTTCAAAATAAAACTAAATAGTATCAACTTTAATTTAATAATAATATACCAAGTTTAATTTTAAATCAATGCTTAATCACAGTTGCCGTGTTCGTCTGATTCCCCCAGAATTTTAATATTTTCTTTGAAAGGCTCTAGCAAATTGAAAGCTTCGGGACTAAATCTTTTTTTACTTAAGGCTTTGATTTTGCGTAAATTTGCGATTTTTGGATCAGGCGAAAGTAACAAATTATGAAATACATCCAATTTATTGCAAGCCTCATTTTCTCGCATTATGTTCCTTGTATCTTCTGTACTCTTTATTGCGGGCCTCTAGGGCCTCTTCGGAAAATTGTCCGATTGGCATTGGACTGGACGTCACGATCCAGTCAATATTTGATGGATAGTTACTGGTATTTTGTACTAAGGATAAAGGGATACAAATAGTCGAGCAGTTTCTGTCAAATAGATTATAAAATCATCATGTCTAATACTAAGGGCACTATCTGAAACCTAATCCACGCATGAAGTAAAAAAATGCAATATACCAGGTATTCCTCATTTTTGCTGAAATGCAATGAAGAAGTCATTCGCGGACTAAGTGGTCACAGCTCCTCGTTTGGAGGGCAACTTTACGAAAAAATGCACCAATAACTCTTGTTAATGCAAAAGATCAAAATTTATATGCAATTCTAAGTGTCACCACTCGATATCTTTTACTAATAAGTGACAGTTAACATTAAATGGATTGTATAAGAAACCCCGTATAATATGCAAAAAGCGAAGCGCATATTATACAGAAACCCAAAAACCCTACCTTAAAAGTTGATTTTATTGGTGGATGTTCTTTCAGAGGCAATAAATTATTGAAGCAAATTTGTTTTCTTCTATTGCTATACTTGTACGTAGAAGATTGACCCGCTACATATTCGGCAAACCTAAGATTATTATTAAGCAAATGTACGAAATAACGAATAATTTCGGAGTTTGCTTTGTAATGGCCGGCAAAGAGGACGAATATTGGCGAAAATTAAAATTGCCAAAAACAGTGCAACGAGTCAACTAGCGACAATGTTACCATCTTTGTTTAGGATTTGGAACACTACACATTCGTGCTACGGACCATAGACGATAGAAAGTATACAGGCTCCCAGTTACCTGTTCGGGCGATTGGGTGGTTTCCGTCTGCGGCTGGACCTCCTCTTCATTGTCGATCGTATAATCGACCGATGAGAAGGATATCTGCGTTTGAAGACCGGGGGTGGTAGCCGACTGTTCGCGTTCGATGTCGAGGTAATTGTGGGGCACGTAACCCTCTTCGCCGCGGTAGTTGCGTGCCCGCAGCCACCCGTCCCCGTCGCCCTCGCCTACCACTTCGAGCTGTTCGTTCTCGACAATCGTCAGTTCGTCGGGATTTTGAGCCTGTGCGCAAATTTTTATTTTTTTTTCCTTAACGACATTTGTACGGGGAGACATTGTTCAATACAACCCTGTTCTAAGGGCATGTCGACGCAAATAAATCAACGTCAGAAATTACTGTAAGACATATACCGTATATGAATATAAAGCTGTACATTTCAACAGAGGTCCGCTGGACTGAACACCCCCTTCGAGCGCGAAACCGTCGGCGGCGACCTCTGCCGACTCTTCCGCGCCCCAGTCTACCTGGGTAGGATCGTCCCAGCCCGCCGTCAGCTGTTCTATCCTTTGTCGTTCTTGCTCTAGCACAGCTGTAAACGAAACCAACCAATCAAAGAACATCCCATAACCGCATTCTTTGATCTAGAGCTGTCGGCGGGGTGCTGCTGCTGATTATCAATGATCCTTAACAATGTTATCGTTAGAAGAAAAATAAAATGGCTCCATCTATCGTAGGAAAGTGGGAAGGGAACGCGAAAACCTCAAAATCGTTTGATAAATAAATGAGGGTGTGTAAAGCTCGTTTGAAATGGCGCAATAAAGTTTGCAGGTCGAAAGGTCAAACTATTGCCTGTGATAAGTCTTGCATGTTGCTTGTGTGATTTTAAGAACGAAAGAGCTAATAACACCACAACAACGTTGACATTTGGTTAACCAGAACAATAAAAATTGGCAGCTGGCTGCTACTCGCTGGGTTATATTTCTTGTGCCTTGCATTGCACTGTAAATTTTATTGAGCTATGTCAAACGGCGTTAAAGAACGTTATAGAAAAATAAGATCAGCTATTAAGAAAAAACGGATACGGATGTCGATATGCTGTAAGCTGTGTGGCATAGCATATTTTCGGGAAACTAGCACAACTGTGTGCAACACGTACTATAACTATGAAATAAAACACGTGGAAAGTACTCTTACCAGTGTAAGATGCGCATTTTCTTTTGGGAAACGCTTGTTTGTTTTCTTGTCAAAAAACTAGTGATCACTGTATTACTATTGTGCAACGATTATCATGCCAGACATGACGTGACATAACGGAATCGTTGCCTACCCCACTCACCGTCGACCTCAGCGGTTTCGAATTGGTCCGGCAGGTTGTCCTCCAGGTCGCGGTCCGTCTTCGCTTCCGTCTGCGCAGCGGGTTGCTCACCGTCCGCGAAATCGCTGTCATAGAACGAATCCGAACTTGGATGATCTGACAACGAGCTAGTGGATCTCTGTATGTCCTGAACGTTGAGCGATTCCGCTTCCTGGAGCCATTCGTCGACGTTGACGCCGCCTTTTCTGAGGTATTCTATACGCGCCTCAGCTTTAGCTTTGGCCGTTTCTGATCGTCTGATGTTTTGCTTTAGTTCCTCCATCTTGGTCTCCAAGTCAGGTCCGTTCGGATCGTTGGGATCGGTCTGCACAATGCACACACACAGTGCGTTGAGCAATCGAATAAATAAAGTAATAAAATGCATTTAAAAAAAACATCCATAATTGGAAATTGTCGAAATCAAACTAATCGTTAGCAAAAATAAAGTTTGTGCCGATTAAAGCACTATTGATTGGATCGTTTTGTTTAGTACCAAATGTCAGTCTTTTGTAATATTATAAAAAAGAAATAATTAAAGAAAAAAAGAAAAATTGCATTAATTTTTTTGCATACCTATCTAAAATTCATTATTAAGAGACACAAATAAATTATGACTCATTTGGACAAATATACCGGGTGTGCCAACAAGATACGCTAATACTTAATCGAAGAACAGCTCAACAACTCTGTTAAACTCTGAACTCTGTTAAACTGAGCTAAACTGTGAATAAAATGACTGAGAACTAAAAAAAATTGAATCTTGGCAAGCATTTCCACTTTGCGGATTGTTCTTAATGTCCGATTTTCCCTAATTTATTTAATTATCCGCTATTTATTTAATTTATTAAGCGCTGGTGAGAGGGTTCAGTAACCTTCAATATCCTAGGAACGATGCCGGCGGTAGCGTAGCTACTGGTAAGGCCACCCTTGGCGGTAAGGTCTCCATGGATGAAGGTGAAGCTAAAAGAAGTCCACAACAGCAGCGCCTGACCCAGAGTGGGCGGCTGCAAACGGTGTTCTCCATGTTAGGAGCGACCGAATTAGATACAGGATAAGGCAACGGGAAACCACTACAGTGATTATTTTCCCAAGATAACGCACATGGTTGAAAACCTAGAATCGACGGCCGTTAGTCCGGGGCACGCCTTCAGTGGAGAGACGGTGATAAGAATCTTCCCGTCAACCAATTATCAAGGTAAGTGTTTTAAAAATAATATCAGAATCGCAACGTGGAATGTACGTAGTTTATATCAGGCAGGAAAGATGGATAACGTTCTTGCAGAATTGGAGAAGTTGAGCATTGATGTGTTGGGTGTGCGGATTCTGGTAAGAATACTGCACTACTCGGGCAACGATGTGAATCACCACTACAATAGAGTCGGAATCATGGTAAATCAGTGATCAATTGCTTACACTACTCCGATAGGATCATTATGATTCAGATCAAAACGAACATTGGTAAATTAAACCTTATACTCCGGGATATTCTAAAATTGAGGAAAGAACGTGACTTAACTGTTATTATGGGCGACTACAATGCAAATATTGGAGAAGGCAGATCTGAAGACTATGTTGGTGCATACGGTTTAGGAGAGAGAAATGAGCGGGGTGATCGCATGTTCTAGTTCTGAGTAGAAGACTTGGTGATAAGCAACACACTATTCAAACTGCCGAAAAGGAGGCTGTACACCTAAAGCACCAGGAGACAACAAAGACCTTTTAATTAGAAACCAGATAGACTACATTTTGGTGAATGAAAGATTTAAAAATGGAATAAAAGCAGTAAAAGCTTACCCACACACTTACTTACCCGACCACAACCCCATACTTACATAGACATGACCGACATAAAACTACAATTAGTCAAACAAAATAGCAAAACAGAACATATACATATTCATAGGCTAAAAGAGCCAACTATAAGAAACGCTGCTACCAACTTTTTAATTAAAAAATTTCATAGGCTACATGAAGGATTCGATACCTGGGATCAGAACACAAAATGGGAAAAAGTTAAGGATACCGTAGTAACAACACAAAAAGGAATAGTTGGGAAGGACATGAGGGTGCTAAAACAGAAGTGGATGACACAAGAAGTTTTATTACTAATGGAAGAGAGAAGAAAACATAAAAACAATAACGAAGCAGAAAGAAGTCTATTAAAAACACTATTCGTAATATAATCCGCGAAGCGAAGGAGAACTGGATGAAGGAAACGTGAAGAGAAATAGAGGACCTGTAACGCAAATACGATAGCTTTAACATGCACAAAAAGATAAAGGATATATTGGATCGAAAAGAGACTCACGTATTTTAAGAAACGAACAAAATTCAATGATTTTGGACATCGAGAATAAGCGGAAGATCTGGAGAACTTATATAAAGCAGCTTTTCAATAACCAACGAGTAACTGACTACCGAGACGTATATAAGACTGGTAATATTCCCCATGATTGTTTCTGTCTACTTTTGTCCCAATCCCAAAAAAATCTCGACCATCTAAAAGTGATGACCACCGACTCATAATTCTAACGAACCATATTCTGAAAATACTCCCAAGAATCGTGCACGCTAGAATACACAACATCTGCGAAACTGAAACCTCTGACACGCAATTTGGATTCCGCAATAAGTTTTGTGTGCGGGTTCTCTCGAGGATTTACAGAGACTATTAAATTAAAGTAATGAAAGCTAGAAAAGATTACGATCTCAACATGGACATCAACAAGACTAAAATGATGGCGATAGCAAAAAGGAAGCAAGTTCATCATAGACGGGAAAACAATTGAACAAGTAAGACACTTGGCACCATAATTAATGAACACGTTCAGCATAAACAGGAAATGCTGGCACGCATTAAACAGGCAAGAAAAGTCTTCATAAAAATGAAAAAACTATTGACGGCTCCGAACCTATCACTAACAGTAAGAACAAAAATGGTCCAATGCTTGCGTGTTGCTTTTTGGCTTGGAAGACTGGACGCTGAAACCACAAGGAGGTTGGAAACTTTTGAAATGTGTGACTTATAGACGCATGCCGAGAGTCTCGTGGATGAGTAGAACTACAAACGAGGAAGTGTTAGGAAGAATGGTCAAAGAACTCGAAAATACTCTTTACCATTAAAAAACGCAAACTCGAGTTCCCATATATCACGCGGTACAAGATATGAGCTGCTGAAACTCATTATGGAGGGCAAAATTGTAGCTAGACGAAGCGTAGGACGCCGAAGAATCTCTTTGTTGCGCAATCTTCGAGAATGGTTTGGCCTATCGTTAATTGATGATCAGCAACCTCCAAAGGAAAAGCTGATATAAGAAGAAAAAGAATTAAATAAATGGTAAATTTATTATTAGGGACACCAAACGATTGAAATGGATTATTTACCTCTATTACCTTTTTACAATACAATTACAAACTTATCCACTAGCTGACATTATTATACTAGATTTGGTTATTCTTACTAATTTTCAAACAGTTACCATCATCAGTTATTATTATTTATCCAACTACCCAAACTAGAAGTCGAACACTAACTTTACGGCCATTTCAGAAAATCGAAAATAATTTTCACCATTTTTTTATTATTTAAATAGTCACATTAACTTCGCCAAAGCTTCACCTTAGTGCTTAAATGTTATTGTTCATATATCGTAACAGTACCAACTTCAGGTTTACAATTAGTCACGGAATGTTTTATATAACTACTATTATTTATAAACAATAACCATCTCCGGGAGTGGCTAATAAATAATAAAATAGCTGTTCTCCGTTTAATGTTAATATGAATGTGCTGGGCTCCATTTTTTCATTGCTATAGTTATCTGTATCACTGTAGGCACTCTTTCAATATCTCTTATATATAAAATATAATATAGTGTAGTATCCATAATCTAGGGTACAGCCATTTTGGCCACACACTCCATCGTAAATTGCTAAATTAGGTTGAAGTTGTATAAATATTATTAGCGTAATGTTAAAATGCACAAACAGATTATTCAGTCATTTAATTTGGTTGGAAATAAATAAATAAATAAAATAAACATAAGCCATGTAGATGGTCAGGATATAGTCAAAACGTTGTCGTCGACAAAAATGAGTTACCTTCTGTCCGCTCTCCCTTAACGCGTTGTACAACTGGAGCTTCCTGACGTACTCCTTGACGTTGTTGTTTTCCCTGGCAATCTTCGTCGCCCACCTTCGCGCCTCTTTGCTCAGGGTCGCGGCGGCGGACTCGTGCTCCGCGGTCACGTGGTCTACGGGGTCGTTGTCACACGGTTCAAACTCGTACTGTATGTGCTGCTTCAGTACCGGATAGTACAAGTAACAACATTGCAGGTTGTACTCCCTGGTGAGTTGTTTCGCCTGGTCCCGGATCGTCGTGAAGGAGTTTTGCATCGCCGAGCAAGTGAGCAATTCGGTACGACCTACGGTTTGTTCGGTTATGAGTAGCGGACTCGACTAGGCATTCAAACTTTCTGGCTCACCTAAGAGAGAGATGTATTCCGCCACTTTGTCGTAGACTCCGCTCTCCATCGCGGTCATGCCCAATTGCAAATCTATGACGAAGTACCTGGGCAATAAATAGAATCGAAGTGTATCGTTATTAAATTGCCCAGGCGAAACATGCCTATGCTTAACAGCAAAGTTCTAGAAATGATGTAGTCGTATTTTCTATAGAGAAAAAGAACGAACTATGACTAAAGCGTACTAAGCGTACTATAGCAGATACTTCGATTTTAAGAAAATAAATTGCTTGACATCAACGACATTTAATTTGTTTTTGAGCTTTGGCCAAAATCATTGGTTGTTAGCATGTATATGTGAATCATTTTGATCTTTCGCAGTAGACAACGAACTCTTCATCAAATGTCAACATTAAAAATTGGTGCTGGTGGACAATTTGTCTTTGTGTTTGTGACACAAGTTTTAGGGAAAGTCAGCTTTCTTGTTGTTTGTCTATTCTATTTTTGATAGGTAGGTCCGAATAACAAAAAATAACCTGAAATATTAGGTAGATAGATCGTATATCAAACCGGTACTCATATTTTACCCAGTAAAGAAATTTTTGATATTAATAAACAAAACTGATGGCGGTGCACATACGCATATTCAGGAAATGGAAGTGTCTTTAAGTAGTACCTAGCTACCTAGATCACTAGAATACGTGCATTATTACAAATCATATTAATTTGTTTAAACAAAAACACATTATTATGTATACCTGGCATTTTTTGAATTGTTATCAAATTTTGGTTGCCCTCATTTAATTAAATACTTTTTCCCTTATTATATATTGTTAGTTTTTTTATTATTTTTGAAAAATAGTTTAATAGTAAACATCCGTTACAGACTTAATGGCAGTTGCAATATTGCAAAATTATCTTGCAATCTTCATTATAAAAAATTCGAATTCTTTCTTTCTAAGTGAAGAGTTTTTACACCACCACGGGTTAACTAGCACTTTCATAATTGTGACAATTTAATTAACAATCAAGAAAAACACAAACGAAATTCCAGGCTGTTTTGATATATATAACAACAAAGACCGAATCTAGTAACGTGCGTTGTCCTGTTCCTTCTCTGGCAGAAGGGATGGGAAAAAGGATACTAAAAAACATTTTTTAAAGCATATACTAAGGACTGAAAGTAGACATTACATGCTGTTTATAGCAAATACTTTGCCGTTAAGCTGCCAGACCTGATCAGACTCGTAAAATTGGTAGTTAGTATCTAAGTACTTCCTTTCCAATTCAATGGGAAAAAGTGTACAGAATTAAAAGCTCACCAACCGACTATTGCCACAAACAACTGAAACAACATTAGTTCTAGTTGTGTTCCCTCCTTCAGCAGTAAAATAGTCAATACAATTCGTTACAGAATGGTTACAGCCCCAATACACCAAAAAAAAGCCCGTGCAATTCATATACTCTACCTAGTCTGATGAGCGTTCGCGGCAGCTAAACACAAGAGATAATCGTTTCTGGCACCGGTCGACTTTTCATCCAGCTGATCCCGTTTCGTGGTGAACTTGGCGCTGTTCTTCTGTAACGACGTGATCGACTGGAAAAACGATCCTTTCTTCTTCTTCAACCTCGAATAAATAAACTATGTTGGTCGCCGAACGAAAAAGCACGGGCGACTTACTTCTCCTCGATGTCTCGCGCTTTATCTCTAACATCGTGCGCGGTGTGCTCTTCGTCGAAGTAAAACTTTTTCGTCTTGTCCAGGTCCTGCACGCAAGTCTGCAGCTCTTTCTGTACCAGCGCCAGCTGGTCGGCCACCTTTTTTGCCATTTGCATTTTGTGCGCCCGCAGCACCTTGGCATCGTCCGCAATCTGCTGCTGGAAAACTTCCACGGCGGCCAGTCTCGCCCTCGCCAGTTTCTCGTTTTCTTCCAACACGGTACGCCACACGTTCCACATGTTCCTAGAAACGATTACAGAATCCAGTGGCGTTCGTAGTACACCATTGGGTGCGGATCTGCAAAGGTGCTTACCATTTCTCCTCACCTCCCTCTAACTTGATGTCGGGAATATTCGGAATCTTCTTGTTCAGGTACGCCGACGAGATTTTGAGCAGCGCCTGGAATGAAACTATCTAGCAAATCGGAACCGCATCGCGGAAACTTAACGATCACGTTACTTCTGAATAAGATTTTTCGATGGCCGACTTTTTCAGCGTATACGTCCTGATGTCCTCCAGCAAATCGCACTCGTGTTGGTTCTTCAAAATTAACTTGTTAATCTGTTCCGAGTGGAGATTCTTCAGGAACTTCGCATAATTTCCCTGCAAGAGGATTATTCGATTTCCATTTCTGGGTTGACAACGCCATCAAGCGAAAATTTTGCTTCGTTAAACCATTGTATTCAATTTCTGGTAGAAGTACATTTGGAAGTGATCTCTGGAGCGCAATAAAGAGAAAACATTGCAGATCTTACCAGGAGGTCTAACGTAACGGGAGACAACTTTAAAAGAAATCCAAAAAACCGAAACATTAAAATCTTATTTTATCTGTGCGTACCTTTCGTTCTTCCCGTCCGTGGTCGAGCATGTTTCCAATTCTTCGATGAGTTTTAACAAAATTAATATCTACCGATTGGATTGTTAACCTACTTAATTCACCTTATTACGTGTGATTCAATCATTCGGGTATGATAAGATTACATAAAGTTTGATTGTGCGATGAGCTCGCAAAGATCGATAAGTTTGGGTTTAGATAACTTCTATCTAGAAATGACTTAAAACTTAAAACCGACATAAACACGCCCGGCGGGCATAAAACGGAGCCAAGATCCACCCACCTTCCTCGGAGGAGGTTGCATCTCTCCCAGTTATGGCTACGTCGTCTTCAACCATACACACCCACTGCGGGTTCTGGTTTTACCGTGACGAGGAACTCATCCGCACCCAATACAAGACGATTACCAACGCCGCGAAAGTGGTTGCGGAAAAACCACCTAGTATACCTGCAGAACCTCTTCGAGGAGCAGTTTGTTAAATCGCGATCCCGACGAGCATATTGATTGCTTCTTACACGGCGGTCGACGGCGGCGATTTTGAGAGGCGGCGGCGCGGTGTCGCGGCGGAGGCGGCCTCCTATCGACTCGCCGCCACCGCCGGGGGTGGGAGGCACGAGAAAGCTCAATGGTGTAAATTATATGACGGATTGCTCGAACGCGACAGATCGGAATTTAATTTTCTAATCTCTTGTAGCGGTTGATGTTTGGTGAATATCGCGCGAATTAAAATTTGATTTGAATTTACATGGAGCCATCTATCGGCGGCCCATGGATTTTACGCATATCGTGGGCGGACGCGTCAGAAGCAAAAGGATCGATGTTTGTATTACGGTCAGATAAATCCAAACGAGTGATGCCATTTAAAGATTTTTAGAGTTAACCTCGGCCAGAAATCGCTAAAAATGTTTCCGAGATGTCCAATAAGAGGGCGCAGCTTCTACCACCGACACTTTTGAAACCCATTTTCCGGCATTTTTAGAATTAGAAGTTTGTTAGAATCACTGCAGCGATCGGGCGCCCTTTCATACTGTTAAAGCGTCCCCTTTATGTTTTTTTGTGAGCTCTCGTTTAAAATCTTTCTGGTTTATGTCCATGATGAATCGCTGTGACTTATTTTCTCACGATAACTTACCAGGAAGCCCTTTTTCCTAGGTAGTAATTTTTACCATTTTTAATAATGTAGGTATTTAATACTAACCTTTTTGGTGTATCTTGACCCTTTGAACTTGTCTCGTGTGGCTCTGGTCTTGTAAAATTCTCGCATGACTTGGCCTGATTGTGATAACCAGGCTCAGGATACAAAATCTTGAACTTTTCAAACCTCGCTTGTAACAAATTTTATAAAAAAAAATGTCAGACACTGACATTTCTTAATTTTGTAATAATTAATAATCCCGAAAAAAAAGTAAAACTGACAGATAAAAGGAAATATTGCAGGTGCAATCAAATCCCAGCCTCTTAAACGAAGGTAAAAAAAAATAAAATAACCCAAAACATATTTGGTATAATCCGTATACAATCTTCTATGACAGACGTATTAATTTATAATTTATTTTTTGTCCAACACATAACTGATATCTTCAAGAGACGCTGGAAGTCGGCATGTTCTAAACAAATTCTCAAAACGCTTCATTTAATATTAAAACTCGACGTACTTGGAATTTTAATATTTTGTACAGGAGCGTCGCTTAAGCTGTGAAGTAAAACATATTGTAAATTTATTTCTCTAAGATGTATCTTGCGAAGGAGTCATTATGGAACAAAGTAACGTTATTTTTCAATATTTTATTTACTGTACAATATCTTTTTGGCACATCCAGAATAATATAGCATATAATACATCGATCTCCCTCTCGTGAAAAGAGCTGCCCATGGAAAAAATTAAAATTTAGTTTTGCTGGTATAGATACGGGAAGAATGTCAAAAGCGTGAACTTGAAAAACTAACTTTATTTGATTTTCAACGTGTAAAAATTGTACAGGTTAACAATAAGTATATACTGGCATCGAAATGAACTGGAAATGTTTATTTCTTATAGACGTAACTTTCCGCACCGCCCCTGCCGAAACCGCCTGGTCCGAAGAGCGCCGAGTAACACGGGTTATGACAATAAGGTTTTCCTTCTTTTTCCGCGTGCGAGCCCGGAGTGAGGGTCTTGTTGCACTTTTCGCACCGCAAACATCCCGAATGCCAGTCTTTGCCCAGCGACGTCTTCCTCTCGGCTAAGAAAAAAAGAAACGAAGAAAAATAAATAACTCTACCAGATACCTTCATATATTGAGGCAGAGGCTATGCTGATAGTACAGGCAATTTGGTAGGTATCAAAAAATGTTGAGAATATGCGCCTTCGTAATGCATTTCAAATCTCGTTTTTGAACAATTAGATTTGTCATTTCAACCAATAAGACATAGCCACATTCAAAAATCAACATGGCCGATGACAATTTTTAAGTTGTTTGGCAGTATTTTGTCGATATATTCCCAGATTCAATTAAATTGTTTGAAAATAAAAGAGTTAAGTAAGCGTGTTGTAACCGCTTAAAAAAATAGCGCAAAATGCTGAGTCTGAAGGTTGTGTGTCAAAATATTATAGCCGCATAGTGTACTATAATATCTCGTCTTCATATTACGCTTTTTTTTTAATACAAGCGACAAGATAAATATTATCCCATGGTTTTCAGGGAACGATAAGTTGCTTTTTAGTTTTTTAAGGTGAGTTTAAATGTTTGCCAAGAAACTTAAAATTGTTGACCGTGCTGTCCGGTTAAATAAAATAAAAGTCTGGCCTCGCGAGTTCATCTTTTTGATGTGGGTCAGCCCGATCCGAAAACAAACACGCTCAAAGCCTTATACGGTGCGTCCGCTTTAAATAAAAAATGATTAATCGCGTAAGGACAATATTCTGGTCGGTGACGTAATAAAACAAAAATATTTACACCCGTCTAACAGCGCTACATTAAAATATTTTCAATCGTAAACGGATAACAACGTTATCTCTGTTGATTATAATTCCGTTCGCGGCGATGCCAGCGTTTCCGGGGGGTTCGGAAGAGAGCGGAGGGGGCTCATTGGGGCCGGCAAAAAACGCGTATACGAAACTGAAAGATTCGATGCCGATATACCTGGCGTTTTCGTTTCCGATAACAAAAAGCGAGAGGGTGTGGCCCGAAAAAACGACGACCTCAGAAAGTACAAATCGCACCGCGAAAAACTCACAAATTAATCAGATTAACTCGGAACTCACCAAAGTAAACGGGTTTTTCACACTTTGGACAATTGGGCATGATGATATGTATCGTCGACGATTCAAGTATCCACCCGGACGAACTGTAAGTAAACTTACAAATGCGCGCAGCAGACTCGACTTTACTTTTTAAAGGTACGCGTTGTGATCGTTCGGACAGAATCGGTACCGACAAGTACGAACGATGATTCTCGGATATACTGCCCTACGTGAAAAAGGGAATGCCTACCGTGTTTGGTAGAAAGACAAGATTTCCGTCCCTGCGTTTATAGAGGTAAGATCATCGAACCAGTAAAAAAATAATAACGAATTACCCTAGGATACTAGAGAGGGGACAGAGAATTGGGTATGAATGAAACATTAAAATTCGTCCTTGGCGCGGAATAACCTCTATTTTATTAATTTACTTATTTATACATTATTTTTTCTTTTTAAAACAAAACACTAACATTGTTTTTTACTCCTCGTTTTTTAGTTTGGGTCATATTTTGCGGAAATGGTAAAACAAGGGAAAATGGAAAATTATGTTATTGTTTTACTATAAAGGGTTTTAGTACTAAATATCTTATTATGGGAGTAGAGTATTTTGTTTTGGTTATTTCAGTAGTTCGCATTGTATTGTATTGCATTGTATTGTTATAATCCAGCTTAATTGCACAGCTAGATTTATGAGTGTTTGTTTTAGTCTATGTTTATCAAGAAATTCAGTGGTACTGTTTAAAATAAGATTACTTAAAAGGACTAAATACATGTCACCAAAAAAAGGAAATATTTTGATATCTGTTTAGGTTTTATTACTCCTAGTAATGCTACAGGTTGTGTTGTTTTATATTTTTAACTTAGTTTTATTAATTTTGAAATAAAACTGAATAATTTTAAGATAATTAGTTCGTAACATAGCTGAAGGTGGCGCTGGCGAGAACGAGTTCGATATTTACCAGGGAATCTATAATTCTCTTTTATGTTACTTTTCTCATGAATAAGCTTCATTAATGGAAAACGGGGCAGACAAGATGCAATTTCTACATAAATTTCTGCGCGTAATTTTTGCAAAAAAAATGTGGATGACTAAAGCTATACTTTTGTAGAGAAAATTTTATTGTCGCTGTAAAATACTAAATTTGAGGCAGGAAAAACTTAGTGGACAAAAGGTTCCAGTAGAAACTGCAGTACTTTGCCACGAGGAAGTAATTCCAATCTGATTTTTAGCTTCTCATTTAGAACCAGTCCAAATCCAGAAAAAATTTAATGGTTTATTAGAAGTTAAAAATATTATTATGTAATGGAAGAACCCGGGTGATTTGCATCACAGTACCTACACCAAGTCTAGTGATTCCATATAGACGATGAAAGGGTAGTCTTTTAAATGTTCTTTTGTTGTTGAACGAGGAGGTCGGCGACATTCATATACGAGTACATGCGCACAATTTATACCTATGTCTAAATGTGTAATTAATTAAATAATTGAAGTACCGGCGCAAACATCACGGACAAACAGATATATCTCGCAAATTGTTTTTACGAGCTTTATCAAATATTGAATAAGTGCAATAACGCTCGTCGACAGTAATTTTATTAAATCAGCGATAAAAATAATGTCATTTGAGGGTCGGATTTTATCGGTATAGGTTTAATCCCCGAACGCGGAACAAGTTTTATCACCAAATTTCCGAAAAATAGTGACAAAAATGTAGGTGCGTTTTTTATTTAGTGAAAATATATTTTTTTCGATAAATCGTCTCACTCTCCGTAAGCCTCAATATTTTTGTCGACCGAAGAGTTGGAGGTCTTGGATGCGACTCATGTACATATAGTTTGGATTTCTATATATTGTCTCAAGAGGCTTCTCGTAGTATGGTATAGGCTAGTTTTGGAAACTCAAATACAAAACGAGTAAAGGAAATGAAATCCATCAATTTAAGCGATTTTATTTAAAAAATATACCTTCGACGTCATTTACATTTATTTACGGAACGTGCAGATTTGGGGGATGATCCGCCGCTGGGCGCGCTGTTGCCGTACCTGCTAGTATCTCCATCATTTCCAGGACAGTGACAAACGATATTCGACCGAATTTCTTCTCCCCGCAGCTCCCTCGCTGACGACCTGGACGTTGGTAAATCTTTAAACACCAACACGATTGCAACCGACTAAGCTTAAAATAGGGCCTCAAAACCGTCACCCTTTATATCCTCTTCGTTCGTTACCCCGTCATCGGTCACCATTACTTTGCCATCAGACACCCTTTCTTCGTTCTTTCCCACGCCACTGTCCGTTTCCAATGGCCGGTCCCAGACGAATATCGCGCCGGACGCGCACGCGCTGACCATGTGCCTCCCGTCCGCGCTGAATCGTACAGCCGTTACAGCCGCCGCGTGTCCCGCCCCCATATGCGTGGTCACGCCTAAAAGTGACGTGAAGAGTTGCGCAGGAAACAAAAGTTGAATTTGATGTTTCTTTATCTGTACTTGGCACTAAGTATAATATACAGGGTGTCTCAAAAGCGTTCCGCTAATTTCTAGGGTTAGCAGAATATTAAAGAATAATGTTCGTGTGTCCGAAAATGCCTCATTCTCTGCAAAAAAATCGTTTTAAGGTACTCAAGTGATATTTAGTAAGGATTAAATTAAATTAAAGTACATTGGGTCACAAAAGTTAGCAATATTTTAATATGTTATACCAGAACGTCGTTTTTTTTATAGTGTTAATTGGTTCGGCAGAAATGTTTTTAAACAATTTGCATTAAAAAATGTACTCTTTGTACCAAAAAAAGATTTGGAGTTATTTGAGGTTTTAGCAAATAATCCAAAGTTTACAGAAAAATATACTTTGTGTTGTTGGGGTGACATTATACAATTTACAAAGCAAATCGAAGGACCAATTGGAAAAATACTCGTTACAATCAAAAATAGCACCGACGATTTCCACTCAGTGTAATGACAGTGACAACCGAGAACATATCAAAGGAACTTATTGAACGGTCCCAAGAGGTTCCAGATTATTTTTTGGCACAAATATTGCTAATTTTATAAATTCAATCCGCAAAGAATAGTGTGTTCTATTTTCGGTCCTATTTAATAAGTTCAAAGATGAAAAAAAAAATATTGAGCAGTCATGGTACAAAAATTTATTTTTAAATGTTAGTGGGACGTTTTTAAAACACCCAGCCGAGTTCTGTCCAAATTTATTGTAAATAATTGTGGCTTTGTAACTACCACTGATAGATTTTTCTTTTAAAACTACAATGCACCTGGTATAATAGGTACCTTCTTGGTAACGCCATAGTTTAATCATTTGGTCGTTTCCCCCCGTGGCGAAACACACGCCGTCGGGCGATATGTCCAAACTGTTGATTGTGTCTGTCAATGAACCCTCCAGTTCCCTGACCAGGCAACCGTCGAGCACTTCCCAGTAGGCTATTTTGCGATCGGAGCCGCCAGTCAAAATTTGCACTCCGGTTGGGTAATATCTATACGAGAACTTTATCTTTTAGAATTTTACTATTATATTATTATTTCTATTATATTCCCCAAATCCGCTAAAAATTGATGCACTGACAACCTTGTCTCAAGAGCTTTCAAAATCATTATAATTATTATGAGCAAAACATTCTGTATTTTGTAGCAACCCTCATCTTGCATTTAAAATTCTTGATTCCAAGCAAAAAAAAAATTTTTAACAACGATTTATTGAAACGATTGTTTACTTCAAATCGAGCTTTAAATGCTGTAACTTGCCTGACACACATGAACAGCGTATTGGCAAATAATATCTGTCTGCGACATTGCCTTTCCAAGTCCCAGATAATACACGTACCGTCCGTACTGGCGCTGGCCGCCTCCGTGTCAAATTTGTTGATGTGCACAGCCGAAATCGGACCCTTGTGTTCCTAAATCGATTCTTAATATTTGCCTCGTACAGCATAGTAACCGCCAATTAAATCGCATTCATTCATTCATTCACACCAACGTCAATGACTATCCCGGATTAAATCGCCCTTTACCTTTAACGTGCAAACCAGTTGTTGGCGATGCGGCGAAATATCCCAAAGACGGACCTGCCCCTCACATCCACCGCTTACCAATGTCTTACTGTGCGACGTTACCGCCAAAGCGGAGACGCCCTTGTTGTGTGCATTTAGCAACGCGTAAATCAAACGGCCTGTGAGCGGTGTAAACGACCTGGGAACAAATTTATACCATGGGTTGGCAACACTGTAACACATTATGCTTGTTCTTTGGTTTGGCTTTGACCTTTCCGTTGTCGTATTCTCTGGTTAAATCGTTTGATAAAACCACATAGCTGTTGTTAGTATAGTTTCACTGGTGCGGTAGAAATGGATACGTAAAAATGGGAATGATGTGCATGCCTCTAAATTTTACGATCTTCCCATCTTTAATTCGTTTATATTATCCATCAGCTGATTAGTTTTATTGCCTTTTTGAATGGCTACTAAGCAGTGAAATCAACTCTCAATATTTCAAGGTTATCTGATGCGTCGTGTCCATATAGATGTTAGATAATATATATAGTGGTCCCACTAGGGCAAAAATTGATGCGCCCCAGGCGGCATTGATATTTTCGTATAGAAGGTAACGATATTCCACGCATTTCACCCACTAACCTGCACATTTTCTTTCCAAACAGAGATATCCACACACTTAACTTGTTTTCCTAGAACATTTAATGAGATCCAGGCATATTTTAAGAAAATACAACCGTAAAAAGGACATATGCAAACTGATTGAAGATCTGTCAACGGCCATGTTGATTAAATGTCTGAAGGTCATTGGTTAAAAACAAGATTTTTAAATCTCGCGTATGCGTATAAATTCCAGTATTATCGGCATAGATAGGGCTTCAAGTGAAAATTCAAGAACTGTAAGTTAATGTTTTACATCACTTAGAGCTGAGCTAGAAACGCAATGTGGTTTGTTTTGAAGATTACCTGATAACACCGTCGTTCCAAGCCGTGAGAATGGATTTGCCATCGCTCGCGAATACCAAGCTCGAGCACGTGAAATTGGGCACGCAAATGCGCAGCAGCTCTTGCATGGTTGCCATGGACCATACTCGCACACTGTCTCGGCTCGCGGTCGCGAATACTTCCGAGAAATCGCTGCAATTTAAAGGTCAGTTTGTTTTTTTTATGTTTCCACGTTTCATGCTTTTGCGACAATGGCGCCGATAACGCGCGTACCGGGGAAAAGTTACGTCGAATATGGCCGAAGTGTGGCACGTGACGATCAGTTCTGCGCTAAACGTGTTTAAGTCGACTGAGTAAATTTCCGACACCGCAGTGCCGACCAAAATGTGATCTTCGCCCCTGAGCTGCAAAAAATAGACAAAGGGATCCGACGTAATCATACATAGATGCAAAAGGAAAGGATGGACAACTATCAAATTTCGAGTAATCTAATCGTCTCTTATCTCTATCGACGCAATGTTGCTGCGCAGACCTGAATTGACGTGACTGCGTTATTCACATGAGCGGATTTTAATACCCGCAGAGCGGGAACTGAAGGCAACCTTATGTCGTTCTCAACCGCGCCGCCTTTCCTCTCGGTTTCCTCGACGAGATCGAGCGTGCCGTCACCGCCTCCTATTATTAAACGTCCGCTGAAGAGTCTCCGGATCGAGCGCACTCCTAACGTGATGTATTAATCCGATCAAAATCCGCCAACCTATATAAAATTGTTACCCAATTGATAAAGGTCGACGCTACCCCGCGGCAGCTTTTTCTTTGTGATTTTAGCAAAACAGCCGACAACGCACGGCGTCTTGGTCGGTTCGAGTATTTCCGCGTCGTGGTGGAAGTTGAGGCGTACTTTGAGCACATCGCCCGTGGTCGTACCGCAATAAAGTACCTAAACACGAGATTGATTGATTGATTACGTCATCGCGACGTAAACTCGCGCCGACCTCGTCGCGTTCATCCGCGTCCATGCACAGAATATTTCGTTTCAGTTTGGCCATGGCGACGTCGATCGGCGCTATGGTCTTTGCGTTCTGGTCGATTTTCCAAACGGCCAAGTGGCAGTCGCCGGCGGTAACGAAACAGGCACCCCGACGCATCATGGGCAACAAAACGGCCGCGTCTCCTTGAACGCCTCGTGTAGCTTGCGCCCCGCACACCACGTGACCGGTTGTCATGTCCCAGATAACCACTGAGCCGCAATCTCTGCCCCCTGACAATGACGTAGCAGTTTGTGACTTTAAATAAGCATCATTCTCACCTAGAGATAATAAATAGGATTCGTCTTTGGAAAACGCTAGAGCTTCAACTCTAACTTTGTGATGTTCGTGTTGATTGAGGGCTTTCAATTTGTTAAAACTCCAAATAATCACCCGGGCCTGCGCATAACAACAAATAAATACGGAATAACATAAAAGTGCGCGATCTACTTTGAAACCGATATGATTTATCTGGCCGCTGGCGACGTATTCTCCGGAGCGCGACACTGCAACGGCGGAAATGTTATTGGTGTGACCGACCATAAATGCTTGCTTCTTTGTGGTCCATTCCTGAACGCTAATTTTGTTTCCAAGTGGATATAGGACGTGTTTCCCATTGGGGTGCACAAGGAATCCATTAATGGTGTTTCCTACTTTATTTAATGGAATCATTATTGTTATATATGGGAAACTTGTTACCGTCGAATCCTATAATTGCCTTGGGGCGGAGCTCTTGGATATCCAATTCGTTTTCGCACCGCTTTGACATTTTTAATGTGTGGTCAATTATGTCGTTGGCTCTCAACGTCGCTATAGCAACAAAAACGGCAAATCGCTAACAATTTTAATCATATTTAAAATATTAGATCGATATCCAATAATTAGACACCGAGATTTTGTGGTCTGTAAGTAACAAAACTTCAACGATTTATCTATGGTTTAAAATAACTGTTGAATTTTCATATCTTCCGATAGACATTTTTTTCCACGATGTGTGAGTACTTTCTCCAAGATAACAGACGAGCAACGTTCAAGAAATGGGTTCACCCAAATGATGCCCGATGTAGTGCAAGTAAGGTAAACGATTCTAAAACTTTTATTTTCACTAGATATTAACTTATAACATTTGTAGATGGCGGAAGCCGGATTTATATTTACGGGTTCTTCACGCGATCCAAACTCGGCTCAGTGTTTTTTCTGCTATAAATCCTTGGATGGGTGGGAAGTGGACGATGATCCTTGGCAAGAGCATATCAACCACTCTCCAAATTGTGAATTCGCCAAGATTCAAAAGCCGCAAGATGATTTAACTTTAAATGAATATATGGATTTGGTCAAAAAATTTGGCGATAGTCTAATTAACCGAAAATATGAAGAGATAAAGGATAAAATGCATAAAAAATTCGAAGTAGCAAGGCATATAGTTAAAAATCATTCATATTAAGCTTATTAACCTTATTTTTGCATTATTTGTATTAATTCAAATTTCAGTTTTAGTTATTCAATAAATTTATTAGCATACTCTTACTATTATTTGTGTTAAAACTATGATAAAGCTGAAAGTATATACTAAAATGGGTACAAAACTGAAACTTGATGAACTTGATCCTATTCCTGGACAATATATTGTTGATTTGTCTCCTAGACTTTGAGTAGATCCAGATATTTCAGATTTTCCACTACCAGAATTGCACAATGCTTCTTTGCAAGATCGGTAATAGGCCCTCTGTGATTCATCTTCAACTACACCGTCAGGTACAACTAATTTATCCGCGCACGATCGTGAAATTGATTTCAGTTTGCCTTGTGGATCCTTTGTCAAACAAAATATTTATTAACCCCATTTTGATTTTCTCATTTAGTATAGTAAATGACTTACTTTGTAATCAATACGAACTATGGTACAATATTTTTTGTCACAATCTGTTATAGCATTTTTTCCTAGTTTGGTGACATCGTCAGCACAAGACTGGTCAGTGTCATCTTCTGTACAAGAACAGGTATAGCATTTTAAACCTGAAACTATTTTAAAAAATTGTCACAATGATATAGTCCATTTATGCTGTTGACATTGTTAAATCGTTCAAAATTTCTTACCTGACCCATGGAAAAATGTTAGGAACAAAGCAACTGTAAATAGTTTATGACTGATCATTCTAACCTTATCTCAAAACCCAATTGCAGGAAGTGATCAAGTTTATAAGTGAGATAATCTCAGCCATTGTTTAGAATTTTACCTATGATAAGATTAAGAAAGCTGTCATATTCAGTTGATAAAATTGATGGATTGATATCACTTCACAGAAATCTGCTACGTTTATAATACACACACAAATAAAACAAAAATAATAACTAAAACATTTACTTCAAAAATCCTGCATCATGATTATAAGAAATTTGATTTAAGGTTTCTGTTAATGCTAAGTCGAGTCGGAGAGCAATTTGGTGTCCCAGTTTTAGAGACTCGATAAGGCTAACTGGTTGTAATGATCCGGCTCCTATTTGCAATACTGTGCTGAATTTGTCCCCAGAGATGGCCACCACGACAGAAGTCATTGCGCACTGTTCCTCGGCTGCGCTTGGATCCACTATCAAGTGCTCTCCAATTTTGCAAACAGTGACCATTACAGGTGCAGATTTCACATCGAGTTGCCGGCAATCAAAAACACTGTCTGATACTTCCAAATCTACATTATTGCCATCTACATTTATGGACTTTACTAGAGGCACCTTGGTGGTATGCAGCGCTGCTTTTACTGCTAAGGATACAGCATCATATAAGTTTCCACCACACTCTAGAATCTAAGAAGATAATTGCGGGCGAGCTTTTCAAAATAGCAGAGATTTACCAGAATATCTACATATATCTTAAAGCATTTCCTGCCTTTCAGAATGCATAATTTTGTTAAATCAAATGCTTTTGGAGACCTATAGGCTGAAGCCAATGTGTTTGCTAATTCAATCGCTAAATTTTCCCCGCCGCGCCCTTCAAAATCTGGGGTGGCATTCGCTGAACTAAAACCACTCACTTCAATATATATGCAATTTTAGTTAATAAGTGCCTAACCAATCAACAAAGAACTCAATTTTTCCCTCATAAGGCCTTTCTGGAAAAGGGACATCTACTTCTAATTTAACAGCGACTAACACATCGGTGTTAGCAAGCCTAAGGCGTGCCGAACCGAATGCATGTGTTACTATATCCGTTTCGAGTTCCATGTATCTATAATCTTCACGCTGTCTGCCATCTATCCGAAAATTCTCCTAAAACCACACGAAACGAGCATTAACTAAAGGAATTATTTATATTTTATTATTTAGAATATAAATTACCGCTACGCCGTGTAGAATAAAGGTTTTCTCGGCGTCACATAGCGACATTTTCTTACAAAATTTTTGTAAAGTATTTCAGTTTGTAAAAAGCCTCAACATATTTTAAACCATGGATATTTTCTTTGTTCTTCTTTTGCTTTTTACAGCACGTTTGGCAGAATTATATTAATGAGTTACTCATTGCCAACATCGCCCGATCGAAAATTCAGTTTATTGGAGACAATTTGGTTTGTTCTGTATTCTAATTATCTTTGCGAATTTGCCCAAAACAAGGGATAAAGAAGACGAATTTCAGATTGGCAAGCCTGACTTTTCCCGCTGAAATGTTTGTCATTTTTACGGCATACTGGAAGATCGAATCGAAGTAAGTTTTGTTTTGTTCTAAAGTTTTTTTGAAAAAACATGGATTTGCCTTATCGCGCAGAATATGCAAAAAGTAGTCGTTCTAGCTGTAAGGGTTGTAAATCAACCATCGGTCAGGGATCACTTCGACTTGCAGTTATGGTCCAAGTAAGATTATGATTTTATATAATATACAATGCACTTGTACTTAGTAGTAGTTTTGCAATTTTGAATCGTTGTAGTCGTTTCATTTTGACGGAAAGCAACCCAATTGGTACCACTTTAAGTGCTTCTTTAACAAGCAGAGAGTAAAGACGGTTGATGATATTGAACATTTTGAGTCACTTCGCATTGATGATCAAGATAAAATTAAAGAGAATGTTGGCGTAGGCGATGTCATTATCGTTCCAGACGCCAAGAAGGGTAAAAAGAGGAAGGGTGATAAAACAGATGCAGCTGCCAAAAAACTTGCATTAAAAGATTTCACTATTCAGTATGCCAAATCTGGCAGAGCCATGTGCAGAGGGTGCGAACAGAAGATTTTAAAAGATGAAATACGTATTTCAAAAAAAGATTTTGATACAGATATTGGCAAGCAGTATGGTGGGCAGGATATGTGGCACCATGTAACTTGTTTTGCTCAACTAAGGTCTAGCCTCGGATATTATGAGTGTGGAGATAAACTTCCTGGGTTTAAAGACCTAAGTAAGGAGGATCAAGCAAATGTAAAAAATGAAATTCCGTAAGTAAGTCTCATTAAAGACTATATCTGTTATATGTGTACTTGTACTTTTGGAAGTATTATGTTTTCAGTGCTATTAAACAGGAAGACTTTCCAGAAGTGAAAAAAGTGAAAGTTGAGGATGATCCTCAAGACAAGGAATACCGAGAGCAAAATAAAATTATCTTTGGATACCGGGACAAACTGAAGGATCTGAGTAAACCGCAGATGGTTGCATTGTTGGAATTTAATGATCAAGATGTGCCACAGGGTGTTGACAGGGTAAGATGGATTATTTTGGGTGGGGTGGTCTTAACAAGGCGGTTGTAATTTCAGATGCTGGACCGTTTAAGCGATGTCATGGCATTTGGAGCACTATTGCCATGCCCTAAGTGTAAAGATGGCCAGTTGGTGTTTAATAAAGCCGGCTACATTTGTACAGGTGTTTTAAGTGAATGGGCTAAATGTCAAAATATCATTAAGGAACCAAAACGTAAAAAATTTGTTGTCCCTGACGATTTGGCTCAGGAGTATAAGTTCCTGAAGAAATATAGATATGTTAAGCGGACGAGAATCGTAAGGGATGTGAACCCAACAGTGTCCGTAAAGAAGGTGGCTAAGGATGAGGCTGACGGGTAGTAAAGATGGTTGCCATTGTGACTTAAACTGGAGAAAATTGGCTATTTTTTTGTAGGCCAAAGGTGGTAAGGGTATTACCAGCCCTGTATGACATGGAATTTGTGATATTAGGTCATCCATCGAGAGGCAAGGACGTCCTTAAGAAGCAAATTCAAAGTCTCGGAGGCAAAGTGACCACAAAAATTAGTAAAACTGTGATGGCTGTCATAGCCACTCCAGAAATGGTAGAGAAGATGGGTACCCGAATAAGTGAAGCGGAAACTGAACAAGTATTTATTAATATGTATGTCTTCAACTCTTAAACCCTATTAAAATTGCAGGTTCAAGTAGTTCCTGAAGATTTTGTAGATCAGGCCAAAGACAGTGCGGGCAAAATTCCAGAACTGATTATTAAAAAGAGCATATGTACTTGGGGATCGGATGTAAGTCTAATAATAACTAAAAATATCTTGTTAATCTTTTGCCTTTAGCCCACTACTCGTTTACCTTCGGTGGCGTCCAGCAGCAACCAGAAATCAGAAAAGTCCCGAAGTCGATTTATCAGTTCTGTTCCAAGCAAAGTCAAGCTGAAACTAAAAGGGGGCGGGGCCGTCGATCCCGACTCGGGTCTCGAAGATGTCGCCCATGTCTACCAAAATGGTGAAGATAAATTCACTGCGGTGTTGGGCCTCACTGATGTTCAATCGAACAAGAACAGTTACTACAAGCTGCAAGTCCTTCAGTCAGACCAGGGAAACCGCTTTTGGTTGTTCAGGTCGTGGGGCAGGATCGGGACAACCATCGGAGGTAACAAGACGGAGGAGATGAGCACGCTGAACGAAGCGAAACGCCGATTTTGCGATTTGTATTTGGAAAAGTCCGGCAACAACTGGGACGATAGACACGATTTTGTTAAAATGCCGGCTCTTATGTATCCCATCGATGTGGATTATTCGAGCGACGCCCCCGAAAACTATAACATTGTGCACACAGAGTCCAAACTACCCAAAGCAGTCCAGGTAAGTGTACGCTTGTCCAAGAAGCGGGAGAATTTATAAGTGAACTATGGGATAATATTAGTAATAAACAACATCGCAAATAGTACAATCGCTGGGAATGCTGTTTTTTGGTATTTGCGGTTTTAAGTGGCCTGCAGTTGGCTTCTGTATCTCGACGAAACCGCTAGTCGTTCGCATACCTTATTTTTGATATTGAGTGATTTTTATAATCTCACATAGCGATATTTCGGTAGTTCGCTATCACTATACATAAGGAGCGTTGCAACACAGGGTGATATGAAGAAAACCCTGGATTGCAGGCACCCGATAGTTGTGTAATTTAATTGACGTGTTTTTTCAACTTAATCGCTTTGAGGCTGACCAGCCAAAAATACAGTCCACTTTGTGACACATTTCTTGAAGTAATCTTAATATTAGAGAATGTTTTTGGCTTTTGATCATGCTGTTATTATTCGGGCTTCAACTTAAATTGTTCATTATTGCACCAAATGAACCCTATCGAATACGTGGAAAAAATAAATGGGCCAGGTACCCTTGGTGATGTGTCAGTTGGAGTTTCACCTCCGCGAGCTTAACCGCTTTTCGTGTTTACCTAACCAACTAAGGACAAAAATATAATCACTTGCAGGATCTGATTAAGCTGATATTTGACGTCAACCAAATGAAAAAGCTAATGCTTGAATTTGAACTGGATACGGAGAAGATGCCGCTAGGCAAACTGAGCCAGCGGCAGATCAACAGCGCGTTCGGCGTGCTATCGGACCTGCAGAAAATGGTGGAGAAGGGGGCGTCCGACCAGAGCTTCATCGAAGCCACCAATCGGTTTTATACGTTCATTCCCCACAGCTTCGGGGCAGACGAGGTTCCCATTTTGAAAGATGCTGAGGTTATAAAGGTGGGCGCACCGGACATTTTCCTCTCTCGGTTTTAAGGGACGCGCGCAAATCGTTGCAGCAAAAACTGGAAATGTTGGACAGTTTAAGAGAGCTTGAGATCGCGTACAATCTGATGAAATCGTCGGGATCCGAGCACACCGTGGACTCTTACTACCAACAACTGAAAGCGGAGATAAATGTTCTGCACAAGGAACACGAGCACTTCCAGATTATCGAGGAATATATCAAAAACACCCACGCTGCTACGCACGGCAGCTACGAGTTGGAAGTGGAAGACGTACGTGGACGAAAGACACGGTCATCGTTTTCCCTCCAAAAGCGGTATAAAAAAAATCGTCGTTTCAGATATTCACAATTGCGAGAGAGGGCGAGGAAAAACGCTACAAGCCTTTCCGGAAGCTGCCCAACCGCAAACTGCTGTGGCACGGCTCGCGCACCCAGAACTTCGCCGGTATCATTTCTCAAGGGTTGAGAATAGCGCCGCCAGAGGCGCCGGTGACGGGCTACATGTTCGGCAAAGGTATCTACTTTGCCGACATGGTGTCCAAGTCAGCCAACTACTGCTGCACGAACCCCAGCAGCCCGACCGGTCTGCTGTTGGTTTGCGAGGTCGCCTTAGGCAATGTAAGTAAAAAGCGCTACACGAATTTCAGCATTATTATCTAGAGGTCGTTTGAGGGATGGCTGACTGTTCTTTGTATCCAGACTGAGTCTTTCAAGAAACATTCATCTAATTGGTGGTTAAATGTTTTCTTTTTTAATTATTTTTGAAAAGTTGTAACACCATTAAATGAGATTTAGGGTCAAGTGACGATTTTAGAAAAAAATGAGCTACACATCTGCTGTTTTATTTGGCGGCAATAGGAGCCAATAGTACTTAGATAATTTCGCAACAAATATTTAAATTTGATTTGATTGATTACTCGGACCACCCACTACAGTTGAGTGAAAGTCTCTAGGTTGATGTCATTTTGAGGTTATGTAAATTTCAAGTTTCTTGTGTTTGGACATGCCTACACATGCGATGGGTTTTGTTATGGATTTATGCATTGATTAAGAAAACAAAAATTAAAATAGTGGAAATTATGTTTTTGTTTTCCATTAAATCAGCAATTTTTCTGGTTTCTGTTCGATTAATGGGGTTGTACTGTATAACGAATTGAGTAGGTTCATGAGAGACAGCACGCAGACTATGTAGTCCAGTTGCCCAAGGGGAAGCATAGTGTCAAGGGCGTAGGTCGGACACATCCCGATCCGTCCTACGTAAAGGAGATTGAAAAAGTGGAGGTGCCATTAGGCAAACCGGTGCCGAATCCAGGAACTGAAGAGAACTCTCTGCTGTACAATGAGTATCCTTTTCTTAAATGCGCTTGAATAGCTTCTTTATAGAGAGATTGATCCTTAATGCCAATGCAGATATATCGTCTATGACATTGCTCAGGTACGCATCAGGTACCTAGCAAGGGTCAACTTCAAATACAAGTATTAAACATTCCCCTTGAATTTTCGAGCCATTTTTACGTTTTGCTGTTATTTTGCTAGTGGAATTAGGTTAAGAGTTAGGCTGGTTAATTTGTGTTAAATGTTTTTTCTGCATAATAATAACTTGTATCCCAAATCTACCTATCAGTTTATTTGAACTACTTTGTTACAAAACTGGATCAGGCCGTAATCGCCGTGCCACATCCACTCCGGGTTCTTCGCTTCGATAGATTCTGCCACCCCTTCTTTTAACCCCACAACAATATCGGCCTTGATGGTCCTCAGAATGCACAACTTACTGGGGTGGAAGCCCTGGAGGGCGAGTTCGACGGGGGCGGACGGGTCCCAGTTTATTTCGCCGAACAATTTCCGGTAGTTCAAATCGCCTTTAAAGAAAATCACTTTTGCCTGGGCCAGTTGCTTGTAAAGGTCTGGCGAAATGCTTTCCATGTATTTAAATTCGAACGGAGACGTCCAAAATGAGTTTTCAATTACTGACCAAGTGCCGTTTTTAACATAGCCCTCCCACTTATGTCCCAGTTCCTTTAATTGTGAGATGTCACTGAGCTTCAATTGGTTAATTGTGTAATTGAAATCGCTCATAGTTACGTCGGATATAAACCAAGGTATCGTCTTGACGTATATTCTAATTTTTCCCGCTAGTTTGGTGCTGATCAGGTAATCGGCCAAACACAAATCGGTAAACACTTCATATCCAGAATTATCCAAAACAATATCTGAAAAATAAAGGTTTGCCATGTGGTCCACGTTTTCCCATGACAAACACGTTACCCACTATATCAGAAGTGGCGTTTTTGTCCGAGATCGCTTCCCATATTTTATCGGAATCATTAACTAACACAAACTTCTCAAGTGAGGCGGTGTCGAACAATTTTGCGTGTTCCGCCACCTTACCTAGAGATATGGACAGGTCGCATTTGTTTCCCCATAAATTTAACTACAAAATTTACAAGATCTAATATAAAATCGGAGATAATTTAATTTTACCTACTTCTAATAATGAAAGAAATACATCCCTAGAGGATATAGAATTATCTTGCAACATGTCCACTAAATACTGCCCCATTTGTGTCATTAGGGGTAAGCTCTTCTCATAGGCTTCAATCTTTGAGCTTTGAAAGTAATCGAAATCTCTCAAAGAACTACTGCAATCAAACATTTTGTTTTTCTTACAAAATTTTTAGTTTAAGAGAAATAAAAGGATAAAGTTACTTTATTATCTTTACTTTTAGCAGAAGCTTACGTCAATTCAAAGACCTCTTTTATCTTCCTGTACATGTAGCATTCAGTCAGAAGCCAAATTGTGTTAAAATAAGTGGCGTGACCCTCCTCGGTGGCCTGCTTCGCGATGTATTCGTTATATAACTGAATATCTGGCGCATCACTAGTCAAGTTTCGTAAAGGCTTATTCGTCTGAATCTCATATTTTAACTTGGATAATTCTCCAATGACCATTTTCAATTCCTCTGCTGATCGCTTAAAACGGAGCCCAAATGAGGACAAAACGTTTGCCAAACGGCAAATTCAGTACATCACCAAATTCTATGCTGATTTCAACTTTTCTACGAGCTAAACCGTCGATGAGCTGAGTGAGAATTACGGGCATACGATTTTTGACTGTGTGGAATGCGAAGCTTCTACGATTTGATTGAGGGTATTTTATTTTAAAAAGATATACCGTTACCTTTTGTAAAAACCTGATAAATAAACATTCCTGGGCGTCTTGACATCCATACTCGAATCACGACATTCGCACATCTCTACCAACCCTATAGCAATAATTAAGCTTCTTGCAGTACTGATTAGAATCATACTTACGCGAAATGTAATTTTCTATAAGAAATAATTATTTTTAATTTTCAAAGGTCATTTCAAAAGCAAGGTCAAATTTGCATTTTACCAGATATTGATCTGTGCTATTCTGTGATAACTTCGTTACCTGCCAAATGTTCAGCCTATATTCTGTGGTGTAGCATTGCACGTGGCGGGTTAACCTCCGTTCGCTCCTAACAGAACCTATTGTTTCGTCCCAAAACCTTGGATCGTTTTTTTTCATGTGACTCTGTTTTGGTAGTGTTTGACGTTCGTTTTTAAATGCTTATTTAAGTTCTGCCGGCCCCGTTGTTTTGACCTTTCACGCCGGTATAGAGGCCGCATGGACCGTGATGGTCCGTTGTGAAAGTGGGGGAGATCGTATTTTTTTACGTGTTGGTCTGTAATCGAAAAAAAATCCTCGATTGAAGTCGGTAATGGGCGAATGTCCTTAGTTGACATGCTTATTTTTAGGAAAGGTAAGAAGAGGAAGAAGTTCAATTCAATTATGCGTTTTACAGAAAACTGTTGGGCTCGACTACCAGGATCATTCGCCCATTGCCAACTTCCATCGAGGATCTAAGAAGAAGAAGTTCTGTGGTTAGAACATTGATAAATTTTTTTTATACTCCCGTAAAATACCTAATTAGCCACCGATCTATCGTGCGGGAAGCGTGACTTTACCAAGTCAGTTTCGTTCCCCATGAATCCGAGCCATTTCGGACATTTCCGGTATTTTACCGTACGGATATGGGAGCAATCGGATGTTTTCAAAGATATTTTCCACGCTTTGAATTTTGACGTTTGTCAGTTCTGACGGTCATGTCAGTGAATGTATTCGTGTTTTTTTGCAAAAATGTCCCCAAAAACTAACGGTCGTAGAAAAAGTATAGTATGCAACACGTTCCGTAAACTTTTTAACTCACTCGTTTATTAAAAACTCGCTCCGCTCGTGTCAAATAAACTCGTGAGTACGCACGCATAACATACTTATTTTCATCTAGGACTTCGACTTATTAACAAAACAATTTGGTTTGGATCCATGCAAAAAAAAACTGCTTCCACAACCAAAAATATGCACTAAAATAAACAAAATATTACTAAGTCTTTTTATAATTTATGAAGACTCAATTAACATCAAAATACTAGATAAAACGTTTTGGTTTGTTCTTTCTGTCGATGATGGGAGGTTTCTTGTTTAAGCTGAAGATAACCGTACCACGTCTGAGATAGACCGCGGTGTAATCCGTGTCTTCTTCGTTTGCTTCTTCTACGTCATGCAACATGGCTAAAGAGTCATGGTTTTTGGGACTAAGCATCATTTTTTCCTGTTTACCTGCCAGCATATTTTATATATATTGAAGCACAAGGCCTAATATGGCGGATAGTCAACTTAGTACTTACTTACGTACACTACCTCGTCGTAGCAGTCCAAATGATCGATTCCAAAATACGAGTAAACTTGCTTGGGGTATCTACAATCCAGGTATAAAATGATAGCTGACAAAATTAAGCAAGCGGAACCTGAAAAAAATGGGTTTGAACAATAGCACCACGGTTAGTCCCACTACGAAAATACCTGAAAAAAAGGTAATCCAAAAAGTAGGTCCGAATCTAGTCTTTATTATTCCATCATCGAACACGATCATAAGAGGTGTTGGATTCCTTATAGACATCCATAGTGACACAGAAAGCAATTGTAAAACTCCACAGCCCGTTACACAAAATGCTCCGTAGTTTATAATCATCCGAAAAAAAATAATCCCCAACAAATAGACAGCAAAAGCTGTCCACATCAACAAATGGACGTACCAGCCGGCGGTGCGATAGTATCTACTATGGCGAAAGCCCTCTCCGTCGATGACGAAATGCTCTACAACCGACAGTAGCGGGATTGGGATACCGCGGTGTTGAGCTGCTAGAAATTGTTGTTGCAGTTTTCCGGCTGAAATATGAATTGTTTATGAATTGTACGGTATTTTGTAAGCAATATTTCACCAAAAGGACCGAATCCAACTCTTCCTTGATCCCAGGTCCATTCAAACCGTTCATTATAATCGGTTTTACGATTATTTTGTGACATAATTGATTTCAGTGTTACGTTCACGCCTCTCAGATCAATTTTTATCCCTACCAGTTCTTTTATTTCGTGCGACTGGTTCGGGTAAAAGGGAGTTTTGGTGCCTACTTCCCATTCGTGGCCAAAATTTCCTACTAAGGAGCCTCAACGTTATAGCGAACTGCCTTAATAAACGTAACATACTTACGCACGATGAACAATCCAATAACCAGCTGAGTAGATACTCTAAGATAGACGGACAAATTCTAGAAGAATAAACTTCGATTATTTAAAATTGTTATAAAGCTATTTATTGCTGATTATAAAAAGTGGTCCTGTGGCCTTTGTAATTTTGCCTAAATAATCAGCGGTCAGCTGAGCTCTGGTTTTACAAGTTACGTGGTGGCGCGAATTGTGCAATTTTGAACTAATTATAATTTAAAATAAAAAATAGGCCTTACTTGCTTGCAATTAATTGTCGCAATGGACAGGCACAGCGACAATGTTAAAACGACGAAAGCGGCTATTATTCCAGCTTCCAGAACGTCCACCGTTACGGGAGAAAAATTTGGCGGGTATATGGTCGAAAAACCCTCTAATCTACCGTACGAAAACCAACCCGGCATTTTGATTTTCGTGACTAGGAGTGTATGAATTGCGCGAGCGATGTTGTGTTTCCGCAAACCGCAGTGACATCCTGTATTTACGAATGCAGTAAACAATATTAAATTCCAGATAACGGTTTAGGAAAATAATAACTATATAATATTCGCTGCAAAAATTTATTAAAATGAAATTAAGCAGTTACAAAAGTGACGTGTTAAAATATCTGTTTGACGAACGCGCTGAATGATTCGAGTCCGGGTTTGTTGACGTTAAAAAACGGCAAGTCTTCGGCGCCTTTCAGCCACTTTGATACGTTCGAGAACTGAGTGGCGTCGACGGGTAGAATGGCGGCTAACGACGTCACTGTCGACAGCAAACTTATGTCCGCAATAGTAACGCTATTGCCGACCAGCCAAATGCGATTTTCTAGAAATTTGTTTAAAAAGTCGTAGACTTCTAGTATCGCTTGTTTCTGCAGATCCGTGAGGCCGCCGGTTTGACCGTGGAAAAGCACCGCCCTCTGCAAACGTAACGAGTCACTTTTTTCTTCTAAATTAATAACAAATATGCATATAACGGCGTAATTCTACGTAAACAAATAATTAAAATTGAAATAAATTATTTTTAGTCAGAAAAATGGCACTCCGACCTGCTTTTTTAAAAAAGAATTTATTTCCCAAAAGTTCGACTTGCAAAATATTTAACAGCTCGTACTTTCGTAACAATAGATTTAAGTTTAAGAACTAATTTTTTTATTCACACGTCATCACATTGATTAAAAAAAGACATTTTAGATGAGGATGCGTACTTTTAAGCATACATTTGGTGCAGGAATTTGCCCTTCAGTTGACCACCTATATTTGTATTTTAAAGAATACCCCGTTGTACATGAGAAAGATACTTGCGACAGGTGTTCTTATTGCTGCGAAGGCGTAACCGGTATCAAAATGTAGTCTCGCATCGATCAGAGCCCTTTTCGCCAAGTCCCTGGGATATAACGAGTCGTCCTTGGCGTATTTGCCTACCAAGTAGGCCACTATCGCATGACTATCCCACAAAATGACCCCGTCATCATCCAATGTGGGTACCGTGTGCTGAGGATTGATCTAAAATACAATGGATAATTAAAACGCAACGGTGATATATGCATTGTCGCTTACTTTCTGGTACTCGGGTTTTAGGTGATCTCCTTTAATAAGATCGATTTCTCTGAAGTCTAGACTTAACCCTAATGCGTTGGCCGTCATCAGCACAGCCCGAACGGGTGGACTAAGGATGGTACCGTACAAAACGATCGGCATTGCTACACAAAATTCCTCGTAATGGATATATTATGATCGGGTCGCAAAAGTTAAAAGACGCTGCCCGGATAAAATTGTTGTCGTACCCGTTAGTTCTATTTATAGACTTAATCACGTTGTAAACTAGATATACGAGGTGGATTCTGTTGTGTTGTAAAATAAATTGAGGGTTCGAACAATTAGAGAAGTAGAAGTAACTTCTTATTTATAGGGATCTCGTTCATCCGTGATACAATTTTCCTCGGTTCCCGAAATAAGCGTCCCATTATTTGTTTGGACGTGCTCCTAACATTTGGTCACGTACTTATTAGGACCGCCCTGTATTTTTCTCTTTTCAAAAGTTACCTTCATATCTAATCTAGTTGTGTTAGTTATAATAATATAATGGATCTAAGTATTATAAATTGCTTTGTGTCCTATAGTTCTACAGTTCCGAATGAATATCCGATTGTATTATTATTATTGTATTGTATCATTTTTTGATTGTGACCGTGGCCGAATAAATAAATATAAGAATAAATGTTTCATTTTCGTATATCCTATATCCATAAATGTCTTAAAATCTTGTGTTAAATCGTTAAATCATAAAAAATAAAAATAATAAAATACAAAAAAAAACTCGGAGGGGCCGCGGGTTCTGATGGCGAGTGAGGCGACATAGGGTTAGACTCCTTGGATATATTAAAAGAATGCACAACACAGTGCTTAAAACGAATCTAATCGCTTAACCCATATTATCCCAAGCCTAAAAAAAATTAAAAAATACTTTTTTGCTCTGAAATTATTTATTTAGTTGCACTTAAGAATACGTTACATGTGTCAAAAAAAAAACTCGAAACATACAAAAAAATACTGGAGCGTAGACGAACCACTGGAAACAAAACATTAAATAATATTTTAGGGCACATAAGGTGTAACATATAATTTGTACATAAATATACAAAAGTTCAAATTTGACAGAAAACAACTAAAAGTAGATTGTTTTCCAAATAGAACCTGATTTGATCCAAAAAAACGCATAATATTTTATGGTGCGTGAGCGAGTAACACCCGGTTTCATTTATTTTGTATTTTAGTGTCAACCACAAATTTTCAATTACATTTAAGTCTGGTGACTGGGCTGGTGTCTGAATAACATTTGGGAAGTTATAAAGCAACCAATTGCGGACCCGATGTGATGTGCTTTGGATCATTGTCATGATAGAATCGATAATTGTTACCCTTAATTAATTTTTGGGCACTAGCAACCGACGCTGTCTTAATATATCCAAATACACATATGGGTTCATGTCTCCTTCAATGAAATGCATATTACCTACTCCTGCAGATGACATACAGCTCCATAACATCATTCCACCTCCACCGTGCTTTATCGCAGCTTTTAAATTTTTCAATTTTAATTCTTCCTTATGCTTTCTCCATACTGATATTTTGCATCGAATCCAAATTAGTTTATTTTAGTCTCATCGGAAAATATTACTGAATTCCAGATGTTCAAATCTTTATATAGTGAATGGCAATCTCACACGTCTATTTCTTCTACTAATGAAAGGTTTATTTCTCGCAGTTCGACCATGTAAATTAATTTTTCGCAGGATTCTTCGAATTGTTTCAGGGTTACCTTTTTCCAAACTGACTTTCCACCGAGACACACATCTTTGGAGCACTTTTTTTTCACGTTCATTGAAGATCTTATTTGGAGCTAACCTTGATTTATTCCCGACCCTATTTTTGTTACAGTAACGCTCAATGATATACTGAACAGTTGACGGACATTTATTTACCATTTTGGCATGTCTCTTTGGCTGTATCCATTTCTGTGATGAGTAGTAATTAAATTTCTCTCAGAAATTGTAGTCCGACGACCCATTTAAAAAAAAATCGTTTTACTGAACGAAAACGTGTTTTAAAACGTCAAACTAAACAATAAACAATTGCAGTAATAAATAAAAGCCATGCCAAGTCAAACTGATAAGTTTTGACCCCGGTTATTATTTTTGCATCATTTAAGCTGTGACGTTAATATTGAATATGCTTTAATTAATTCTTTATTGTTAACTAAGTAAGGCATATTTAAGTTTTTAATATCAGAATCTACTCCTAACATTTGGTCACGCACTTATTAGGACGGCCCTGTATTTTTCTCGTTTCAAAAGTTATCTTCATATCTAATCTAGTTGTGTTAGTTATAATTAATTTAATGGGTGTAAGTATTATAAATTGCTTTTGCTCTGTGTATCATAATTCTATAGTAGCATAATTAAATTATTTACTTAGATGTTAGTTTGTAATTGTATTGTACTGATGCTGATTGTATTATTATTATTGCATTGCACCATTTTTGATTGTGATTGTGTCTAAATAAATATATGAAAAAATAGTTTCATTTTTGTATATCCTATATCCATAAATGTCTTAAAATCCCGTGTTGTTGCTATAGGAATAAGTATACCGGTGATCGTCAAAAAATAAAAATAATAAAATGGCGAGCGAGGGGAGATAGGGTTAGACTTCTTGGACATATGAAAAGAACACGGTGGTTAAAACGAATCTAATCACTTAATTGATTATGAAAGGCATTCCAAAGATCCGCGACCCCCTAGATTAACCACAAAATAGCCAATAAAAAATAAACTATTGAAACTATCGAAAAGTAACTCATATTGTAATACGAGAAAACTTTGTTTATTAAATCAACTAAGATATTTAATAGAGTACATTAAGTTTAAGTATTTCCGAAACTGGGAAATATAGTAACAACGAAAAAGAATTTTTGCAAGCTTTACCTTTCTTCTAATTTAATCGTCATCATGACTCTTGCAGTTCTTGTGAATTAGTTGCTACCCGGTGTATTTTTATTTTATGATAAAATGCTGACACTTTTAGTCTACTTTCGATACGCACGCCCCTTGCGTTAAAGAAAACGGCTCGATTTCCATTTGTAAATTATATTTCGAAAAATATTTGTGTATCATAACGTTAAAACTATAGATATCTACTGATTGTACGGTGCAAATATGTAGTCTTCGTTTTAAACACAGCATATATTAAAGCGTTCTTGGGTAAGTAGCACAGCTTCACTTCGAGTTTGAAGATAACTATTGTTATCTTCAAACTTCGACTTCAAAATACATAGTTATTTTATCCACAAGTTCAATATACGAGACGCCAAATGTTACTCGCAGGTGGGCACACTGTGATGGTCGTTTAAGTTGGTAGTACAACTTTAGTATCCTGAAACTTGTTACGATGGAAATCTCGAGACGTCTCTCGTGCTCAAGAAGAAAGGAGCAAGAAAATAAAACTTGAGGCCTCTATATAGCGCAAAGGAAAGCAAATTGTCAACGTTAACCGTCAACGTTTGGCATGAAACCCTTGAATGCATCGAAGCCTTCGGAGTTGACTTCGTCGAAATAGGGCAACTCTTTGCCGCGGGCCAACCACTCTGTCATTTTGGGAAACCGCTCTGCGTCGATCGGGAAAAACAGTTCGACGGTCGCAACTGTGGCAAGCAAGCTCAAATCCGCTATGGTAATGTCGTCTCCAACCATCCACTGATTGTCACCGAGAAACTCTTCAAGAAAGCCGAAAGCCTCGATCAGCTTGTCGGCGTCGTCTTCGGACACTTGAGACTCGCCCATGAACAGCGGCAACTTGAAAAAGGTCACAGATGATAATGGATCTTCATTGAAGTATACACAATTTTCTAAATAAATTAACTTCAATGAAAGGGGAAACTTTACCTCAATACTCACTCGTATAAGGTGCTCTTTCACTTAACGCAAAACTACAACTACAGATTAGAATTTAATAAAAATTTAGTATGCAAGTTTGATAAAAAACTCCTGTGCCATATAAACTAGAAATCTGATAGCTATAGATCACGCAGCTACACTCCTTTTCATTGATTAACCGATCACTTCGTGTACCACTACTGTGGGTGGGTGGAAAGGAGAAATAAATAAATACATAAAATAAAACGTCATCTGCATATATCTGAGTAATACAATATTTAATTAAATCAGACAATATTCGTATACAGAGGAAACAGGACTAGGCGTAACACGGAACCCTGAGGATCAAACTCTAATATTGACATTAACATCCGAAGTTTTATTTCCTAGCACAAAGGCTTGCCGTCTCTAGCACAGATAATTTTCAAAGATTGTGATTGCCGCGTCACTCAAACCAAAAAAAAATACGATAAAAACTTTGCAGAATGGAACACCATGTATGTTATTTTCTTTATGGATTTCAGGAAAAATTTCATGGGACTTTATTTACTTATAGAGTTAAGGACTCTGGAACTGGCCATTCAGATCATCCGATCTGTAGAACTTGGATTTTACACTATATGTCTGTATAAAAAACTAGGGTACTCTTTTTAAAACCAGCTACACACGATCCGGCAGGTCTGTCAGTTCGAACTGAATAGTCCGCCTGAAGACGGGTCGCCTAATGGACTGACCACGCATTCAGGCAAATATGAAATATCAGTCCATCATGGCCTCTACCACAGCGACGCCTTAGCACTTCTTGGCTTAGTAGTTGCTTTTGTAAAAAGAAATAAAAAAAACGTACGGTATGGTGTAAAGATTGATTGCAAAAATGAAGCGTTTGCCTAGTTAAGTGTTTTAACTAACAGTTCGACCTGAACATATTCACGTTCAGGCGACTGGTCTTCAGGTGGACTGTTTAGTTCTAACTGACAGGCCTGCCGGATCGTGTGTAGCCGGCTTAAGCCTGTACAAAATGGAGATAAGTTATTGAGTTGCAACAAAAATTTCCTATAGAAAGAAGCAATTATTGTAATGATTTTGTTTACCTTTATTTTGTATTTCTTGTTTCTTGTGTGTTTCATTTCAATTTTTATTTAATTTCTTAAAACAAAATTATCATTCAATGCCTGCCAAAGTCTAAACACATTAAAACAGAAAATGTAGAATAACAAGGAAACCGTTCAAAATGGGTTTAGAAAAACACATAATTAATTACAATGCATTGAACATAAATAATTATACAGGTCGTCTTATTTGAAAAAAAAAAAAAATATGGACACACCGTTTGGGATAAATTATTTGCGATTCTTGTTTTTCCGTGTGCACTAGAGGTGAAAATCGAAGGACCTCGAATTAAGTGATCAAAGTAGTGGATTCCAGGAACATGTTATTTTTTTTCCAAATCAATTTTAACTATAAGAAACTTTGAGAAGCGTTGAGAATAGGCATAGTCAAAGGCATACACAATCAATGCAGAATTAAATTTAAAAAAGCAAAGTTTGGCATCTTCGAAAATGAGTGTTAATTGATTGGTAAATTGTGAACATCCTGTAAGCGATAAGTCAAATCTCAATATCCGTTTACAGTATGGACGATTAGCACATTGTTTTTAAATTAATCAAAAAAATAAAAGAAAACTGAATTCCGCATAAAAAAAACTACGGGATGACACATAGACTTTCAAAAGAAGCAGATTCCATCCCAGTCGATAGTCTAGATAATATATTGATAAAAAAAACAAATAACCATGTGTGCAATACTCACGAAAGCCGTTTTGCACCGCTCGAATAGGACGCCGTTTTCGAAATGGAGCCTCTGATCGATCAGCGCCCTCTTCTTGACGTCGTTCTTCGGATACATCGAGTCGTCCTCGGCGTATTGACCGACGAGATAGCCCGAGATCGCGTGGCTATCCCAAACCGTAAAGTCTTCGTCGGCGTCCACCAAAATCGGAACAGTGTGTTGCGGATTTATCTAATCAAAAAGTAGAAAGTACCACTTCTGTAGTTCAGACGCTCTAGTAATTCGGATTGCTCTATAAACCGGACATGTTTAAAACATTTTCCTCTATGAGCACAGTACATTACAACGTTTCATAAGAGAACCACAATTCTTTTCCAGTTTTAACAGGTTGCGCGACGTAACCTTACAAAACATTAACTTATAGCAACAAATTTAAAATATTTGACAGTCTAGATGAATGCGAAAGTATCCGCCAAAGCAACAAATTTTAGAGTCCATGATTTTTGAAATAAAGAAAAATGATGACGTCATAAGAAACGTTGTGTCTAAATCACAACAAGGAACAGATATGAACTCAACGAATTTTCGCAAAAGTGACTAGAAGGTCCGAGAACCGAGAGTGGAGGCTCCCACATACAATTGCTCTTTACAATGAAGCAAGCAGTAAAATATAATGACGCTGCCAGGTCTGATCATTGAAACTGAAAAGACTAAACGAAACAGCGTTGGAACTAGCCAAAAATAAGTATAATCCGACACTGACCTGAACGATGTGTCTTCGGACTACTGAAGTTGAACTGTATATTATGTAAGCACACTGAGAGACAATCTTCGCAACTTAATGAATTTTTTTTTCTCTTTCACAGTGGGAAATCTATCTTCATTTAATGTAACTTAAATTAATGCTAAATCTCCCCGATTGGTTTGTAAAAAACAAACTTTGTCTAAACAAAACCAAAATGGGTTTTACAAATTTTACAAAAATTAAAGTTATCTTGTGAAAGTAGGATGGAAAATCTATATCACAAGTTTCTAATACAAAAATGCTAGGCTTTGTTGGGTAACACATATTTACATACTGTGTCTCAAAAAATCAACTGTATGTTTTGCTTTGTACAGAGCAAGTTAAGAACCAAAAAGTTCTTTTATCTTATTATTACTCATATTTTTTTCTCTTTCTTCTCTCTCATCAAAAACAAGTTTAGTTCTGTTTCAGTTTTCCTGGCGTAGGTATATGAGTCGTTTTGTTGTGTTGTGATTGTTTCTCTGCAGTGGTTACTAGCGATAGATATCTGTAATTTGTGCCGACGTCATTGAACATTTCATATTATTTATTCCTTTCGTCTTTGTGATTATACATTATCGGTATTCTTTTTTGTAATTATATCATTTAAAAACATTTTTCATTCTGAATTTGAATAACCAATATTTCTTTCATTAATTCTATGTTACTATTGGCGTTAGTCCCCAAATTCCAGAATTGTATACCCCCAACTCTAATTATTTAAAGTGACATTTTTCATTTTTCACTCGTGCCAAAGCAATCACGTGACTAAAGTGGCATTTGATTAACTTCTTGCATATTAAAATTATTAAATTTCATCCCAACTTTTAAAATATAAATGAGATATACCATTTAACAACAATAAAATAGTTTAAGTAAAACTATTCCAGTAAAGTATGTTAATATTAATTTGTAATCTAGCCAAATTTAATTGCTGCAACTGAAAAATACGAACGTGGCAACAAGAAACTAGATCAGTAAAAAAATTATCTGCCACTAGACAAAAAAAATTGTACTTGACGAAAAGCAGTAAGGGCAGCTAGAGATTTTTGCTATTTTATTACAATAACAAGTCACTATTGCTGTAACACTAGAAAAGCCATTGGATACATGGGATTAAAAATTTTTGTTACTACATTTTTTTTTGGCTGAGGTATACAAAAATTTTCTCTCAGCGTAATTAAAATTAAAATTTTTCTAACTCTCAGGTAACAAATTATCTCTTTTGCCTTTTTGTATTTCCTGTTCAAAGGTCCGAACTTACGAAGCAAATAATTTGAAAACCTCGCCTAAAAGTAAACTAAAATGTCGTCCATATAGATAATGTGATTTTTTTCATTAGTAATTGCTCTCGGAATTTCTCAGTGAACAAAATCGAAATCCGAGAGTCCTACCTCTAGCATTTCGGGAGTCTTCAGTTGGTCCTTGGACTCCACCGTCTCGAGATCCAGTTCCAACCCTATAGCTTTGGCCACCATGATCACCGCCCGGCATGGCGGGCTTACCGCCATGTAGTACAATTTCGGGGCCATTTTGTTTTCGTTATACGGAGGTTTCGCTTGCCGGGTGGATGTTTTCAACTGAACTAGGATGAGCGAAATAACATATAGAGTCCGACGATGCAGCGTATCGATCCCGGATTGAAAAGTCAAGGTCCCATGGGAATTGTTGTCATCACGCAACCATGGATTTTTCTGGGAACGTCATTAATCGACGGAATTTTGATCAATAAAAAGTCCCGACTCGATTACGATATTAAAATAAAAACGGCAATAATACCGGGTCGTAGCAAAAGTTCGGATAGTAACGTTCCTCATTGGGTTTGTTTATGTGGTCCGTTGTTATCGATTCGCAAACACTGTAGTAATGACATTCAAGTGGGATATTTGTAAATAAAGCAGTAAAGATATTTATGTACTTTATTGACAAAAAGAAAATATCAGTTGTAGCACCTGAGTACACAACAGAAATAGCTGAAATTTCAACAAATAATTGTATATGTAATTAAACTTATGTAATTTATTTACCCACAGTATTTACATGAAACCAAACAAAAAGCAGCAAGTACAATATCATCACATGTATCTCACAATAAGTGGCACCTAAATGCAAGAAGCATTTGTATGTGCCCCATGTTAATTGATTAAATTTTAACAAAAAAATATTGGATTCTGTTTTATATAATTTCATTGCATAGTATGTACAATGGTGCGTAAGTATTACTCCCAACATCTAAATCTATTACAACAAAAATATGTGCAGTATGGTCATTCAAATAGAGATGGCCATCTTTCACTGTTTTGCCAGAAAAAGGTTTTGCAAGCTTCAATATATTTTCTAGAATTAGTAATATTTTTTCTGTCTTCTGGTAAAATATTATTTATTTTGGGACCAATATAAGCCTTCGTCTTATGAACATATTCACAGACAGTTACTATGTATATAGATCTAATTTTAAAATTTCTTGCGAAAACACCTTGTGAGAAGGATATCGTTTCTTTTGTTCCAAAATAATTTCGAGAATACATTTCTGTATATTGAGCTTATAAAAGCTGTTGTTGTATAAGCCTCCCCAATATATATATATATATATATATATATATATATATATATATATATATATATATATATATATATATATATATATATATATATATATATATATATATATATATATATATATATATATATATATATATATATATATATATACTATAAATAATAAATACTGTAAAATGTGCCTGTACGATTTTCCCTCGTCGTAAAAATCCTGTTGATTGCGCATATAGAATGGATGAATGTGTGTTGAAGAGAGTGTAAGTAATAAAAAATTTAGATATCTTTATGGATGAATCATTGGGTTTTGAACGGCACTTTAAGGATGACAGCCGGTCTAACCGTATGTTGGGTCTGGTATGTTTGGAGATATTGAGAATTTGGGATGCATTGTCATACTTTGTCGGTCCTATCTTGGAGTATAGGTCAACAATCTGGTCTCCTCTTTAGCAAATTGATGAACACCGAATGGAGGCCGTGCAGAACAAGTTTACAAATGGAGGCCATTGAAGTCGTTTTGCTTCATGGAATGTAGAAAAATTCTAGAATTATGTTTTGTCTTTCGAATGATGAACGGCGCTATTGATTCTCCTTGTATTCTGCCAAGTTTTAATTTTCATGTCCCTTCTAGAGAATTAAGAGGAAGTCACCTTTTGTCTCCTGTACTGTACTGTACTCGACATGCTCAGAATATGCCTTTAAATAGGCTGGTCTCCTTTGTAAATCAATACAATACAAAGACAAATTTTGTCAAATTGATTTCAATTATATGTAGTTTTCTACTTTCCATAGTTTCTTATTTGCTTTTTGTTATTATATCTTAGTTTAAGGTACCATAAGGTTATTAATAAGAAAGATAAATTTGTAAAATGGTGTAATCGCTGAAGGAAGAAATAAATAAAAATAGATTATCTAATTCGTAAATTAACTACATTTTAATTATATATTTTGAAAAATATATAAAATCCAATTTTTCAAGGAAACTTCCATAGGCTACTGTAATACTATTAACTATTATCTTCTGGATTCATATTGCGGTTTCATACTGTTGGTTTCTTCAGAACTTAATTGAAAGCCCGGCGCAGGAGGAATCCAGGAGTTGTACAAATATATAAAAAAACACTTTCGTCGATTTACTGAAAGAGCGATGTCAGTTTTTTTTCATTTTCCTTTCATTTATCTACTTTATATATCTAATCAACTAATGGGGCATGCCATTTTTATCACTTGTTTTATTGTTTCGAATTCGTTCTGTACCTTCCGTTCAACTTCGCTAAGTATTCCTGTTATCTCCCAAGTGCTATATGAGAGATAATGGCGATAATCTCGGTCATTTTAGCGATAGCTTTTAAGATCGAAACAATTTTCTCCGAAAATGCCAATCGTTTTGTACGGCACCATCACCAGCCCCCCGGTCAGGGCGGTACTGATGACCGCCGAGGCTTTGGGGTTAAAGTTGGAGTTCAGAGAAGTAAATCTGGTCAAATTAGAACACCTGAAGCCCGAATACTTAAAGGTAAAGCGAACTATTTCAGTTGCCGATCTTTTTCAGTATGGAAGTGATTTTAGATTAATCCTCAACATACGATACCTACGTTAGACGATGACGGGGTCATTTTGTGGGATAGTCACGCGATAGTGGCGTACTTGGTAGGCAAATACGCGAAGGACGACTCGTTATATCCGAAGGACTTGGCCAAAAGGGGTCTGATCGACTCCAGGCTGCATTTTGACACGGGCTACGCTTTCGCAGCATTACGGGAACCTGTGGCAAGTTCTTTTTGGAACATTTTATTCAAATATTTAAGAACTACAATTAATGTTTCAAATAATCGGCATCTTAACTGAATACAGGACTTCTTGAATGGTTGGTGGTGGTCCCAGATCAACTTCTTCATCTTCTTCTTCCCCTTGGTACTATTCCTCACCCTTTCGTGCTTGTTGTAATTGTTGCTTGAAACTGCTTTATCTCGGTAATAAGTCCTGCATGACGATAGGAGTGTTGAATTGTTTCTGCTGTCACCTCTTTCCCAGATTTACTAATAAAGTTGACTACATCTGGCATATTAATGGAAAATATGTCTTCGGACTAGATCATTTCCATTAAAATGCTTTTCCTGTATCGACCCTTAAGACTTTGTATTACGCTCTGGTCCATCGACTGTAATACATTTGTTATTTTGGGGGTGTATGGCAGTTATCTAAGGGAAGTAATATTTTCCTCCTCTTTAATTCTGCATCCCATTTTCGTATCTCTTCTTTAAAAATTTATGATGTCATCCATACCGACTTGTTTGTAAGTGACCGGCAAATGCTTGATGTTCTTAAAACATCGTGGGTTAGTTGATTTTCCAATCACGACTAGCTTTTTTTTCTTTCCCACTGATATTGGTAACTACTAACACTACTAACTATGCGTACTTAAGAAAATTAAATTAAAGAGTTTTATCGGCGTCCTTTCGTAAAAAATACCAGTTTCTTCAACATTAAAAATGTCGTCGTCGTACTTTTCTGCTAGTTTTGGCCACGTCTTCTCCAGCCAATCGTTAGTGACGTTTCTGTCGACATCACGGGCTTCGCCACTTATCTGTCAATAATTTGTACCAGGTCTCTGTTTGAACTTCCCCAACTATCCTTCCGAAGCCTTGATATCGATAATGCCAAGCTGTTCAGCGAACTTTTCTGCTTTTAGTTTTACGATAGGTCCAGAGAGTGGTACATTTTTAAGACGTTGCTGATGAAACCACTGCAACATTGCCCGATCCAAATCTTCAAATTTTAGCTTTCTTAGTTTTTTACTAGAATTGCCTGCCGCTTCAGCCTGAATGATTTTTTCTTTGCACTTCCAAATCGACGTCCCACATCACTTTTCTTTTCTCTGCGTTCTATCCCTCGAATTAAAGCAACTTTATCATCTAGAGATAAAATTTTTCGCTTACTCGCCATGCTCACCGTATTCACTAAGTTAAATTAGAACTGACTGAAATAATGGTGTGCTTTTATACATACCGATAAAGGCATTAACATAATCGTCTATTACGAGATAATCACTTAGGACGACCAGGTTTTCGGTAATTAGATTGTTAGGGAAAGGAATTCTGAGAAGGTAAGAGACTCTATTAATTACAAGTCGGCCTACATTCCTTACTTTGTTACCTGATGTGCCATTTTTTTCTTTCGGTATAAAGAGTGACAAATTCGTTATACAGAGTGGATTAAGCTTTGTATGGAGACCCAATAGTACAACAAATTTTGTTCGTTTTACTTTATACAGAGTTTCGCTATAGGGAGTTTTCACTAATTATGATAACGTCGATGCTAATCTTAGTTTCGATCTTAAAAGTTTTTTTCAATATAGTAAAAAACACAATCTTAGCTAAATTGGAAAAAAACACAAATTATGCTATTTGCTCCCCCTGGAAGCTATAATTTTTTGTGTGATCATATTAAAATTCAATTGGAAAATGAAGATCTTAAATTTACAAATGAAGCAATGGTCAATTATGATATAGTGACCTCATATATTGAATTTTAAAGTACGAAAAAAACTCTCTGAGGCATGTATCCTGTCTAAAGTTATATACTGTATTCCATTATACAATCCATTCTTAACCATTATGGTTCGAGAAAGTTTGATCGTATGTCAGAAAAAATATTCAGAAATGGCTCAAAACTATATACCTGTTTCAATTTTTACTCACAATTGTTGCATTTAAGATTATGAAATATTCTTTGGTTGTTTAGTGTTTTGGTATGCAATTCACAATTCTCCTCGAAGAACGAAAACTTTCTGGATTTGCCCAGCAAAATTCTTGGAAATTTAAACGCTGCTTTAGCTATATTAAAGGTTGATAACAATTATAATAAATATTTTGAAAATTTGGTCCATTTATTGTTTACTGTTCTAAACAAATTAATATTTTACTTCGTTTGTATTAAGCGATTTTGTTTAAATCTTGTGCAATAATTTAAAATATCTCAATAAAGACTATTATTATTATATACATTGTTAGGGCCTGTTTAAAATATAGACCTCTACCAATGTCGAGAACCATTTGAAAAATCAACGGATTTTCTTTCCAGAGGGCGATCAAGTATCACGGTCAGCCTCGGGGACTCACTGACCTGCAAAAAAAGTTTATAGCCGACGTCTATGATTTCCTGAACAAATTCCTAGATAATCGCGTTTGGTTGGCCGGCGATTCAGTCACAATTGCCGATATAAGTTTGCTAGCGACCACCACGTCGCTCAACTCCGTCATACCCGTCGACGCAGCTCAGTTTCCGAATGTGGTTAGGTGGTTGGAGGGCGCCGAGGAGCTGCCTTTCCTGAAAGTCAACAAACCGGGACTAGAGGCTTTCAGCGCGAATGCGAAAAATATATTGACTGTGTAACTGGTCAATAAAAATTGATAGTTTTCTTAAAAGGGCCTGATTATTTGCAATATGGACCAACAGACGATGAGGTAGGGCGGGGCTTCAGTTGAGGTAAACCTCGAGCATCGCATTCATTTTCGACGTATCGAGAATAAGGTTTATTTACTTGGGAAGTAAAATTTCGAATTGTTGGAATGCTTTCAAATGAGTTTCGTCTTTGCGTTGTTTGGTTTAGGTTGATATTTCTTTAAAAAATAGCATTCGCGTACCTTTATGGATTCTTTTGAGTCTTGAACATTAATCGAAACCTACCCGCTCCAAATTTAAATACAAAACTAATTGCTCGGTTGATAGATTTCACACAAGAAACATAAATAACGATTATCCAACAAATACCCGCTTCCCATATTAAAATTTAAATATTATAAAATGTATTTTACAGTAAGATGTTGTTCTTGTGGCATTTGTCACTAACCAAACACCACAAAAATTGTTAACTAATTAGATTTATTATTTATATTTTTGTATATCAAAATTAAATCTGCAAATATATAGGAAATTCCTCCGAAAATACTTATATTCATTTATATTATTAACAACAGATGTTAACGCCAAGTTTTGCTTAGTTAGTGACAAAATTATTGTTTTAAATAGGTACTTTAATTTGATTTTATACAGTCGTCACAATACAATTCTACCTAGACTGACCCTGACTTAATGACGACATTACATTACATTACATTGGTAGGAAATCAGCTATAATTTAACTCCAGTGTATTATTCAAGTAGGCGATGTTTATAATCAAAAAGTCTAGTATAGAATCGAAGGCCTTTTTTAATAGACAAGTTTTTGCAATGAGTTTTTATTTCAAGATTTCTAATAACATCAGGTAGTTTGTTGAAAGATGTTTTACCACAATAGTTGATGAAAATATATGATTTCTTCAATTTTAAAAATTGATGTTGATATTATTTTTGCGTCGTCTATGATGAAAATGGTGTTATAGAATGTTACTTTTTAAATAAACACTACATATTAACATATAAACGATGGTCTGGCATCAATCTAGAGTGCAAACACTTGGCTTGCTTGTAGCTATGATAGGCCACCAAAACCACATGTTGTTCGATTACAGATTTTGAATTTCTCAGACAATAGATAGCTGAGGCTAATTTCCTTGACAAATCATCTATATGTTGTTCAAATATTATCAAGATGTACTCCCAGGAGTCTAACGGAGTCCGCCTAAAAGTTAAGAGTAAATATAATGATTTCAGTCTTATCCGCATTTAATATAAGTTTATTTGAACCGAACCATCCCTCAATGCCCAAGACACGTAATTTTTTAGGATCATCTGCAAAGTTAACCAGTTTAATATCCGCGTTCTGTGTTCAGACTCCCTGATAGGGTACCACCAGAGAATCCGGTCAGCCAAATAAATCAAAAAATCCTATAATATTCAAATCTATAAACAAATGTCAAAATTTTTCTATATATATATATATATATATATATATATATATATATATATATATATATATATATATATATATATATATATATATATATATATATATATATATATATATATATATATATACTAAAATATTTTTGGTAGGCAATCGCCCGGTATATTTATCTGCACGAGTACTGTATTAAACACGAGTGTTAAAGATTATTTTTAATCTGATAAACGGTGTTATTTGTGGGACACCGAAAATAATTTTTAATGGACGGATTGCGTAACACACACGTTTTAATTTTTTGATATTAATGTGTTGCCAACCGCTCAACAGTTCATAATATTAATAATAATGAGTATATGTCGTCGGTTAGAGATAATAGAGGTCTGGCGAAGGTGGTCTTTGATTGATTTTTTGAGAATAACATATAAGATGGGGGATTTGTCGCGTGTGATTGGCGTATAGATAAATTTCGAATTCATCTTTATATAATATATTTTATATAATATTTTTATATATATATTTTTATATAATATACAAACATTTTTATTTGCCATTTTAGATACGTGTATTACAATTAGGTATGAAAGATGATGTAATTCAAATGACCCCCGCGACTTATGTGGGATGACGTAATTCGTTTATTGAAATTTCCTATCACTTTTTGACACCATTTAGTTTCTATGCGGGCTATTTCGCGTCTAATCTCCTGTTTCAGCTCTCGAATAGTATTTGGTTTATTTCTATACATTCTGATTTTTAGATAACCCAAAAAAAAAATCTAGGTGAGTAAGATCACATGATCGCGGCGGCCAATTGATATCGCCGTTACGTAAGAAAATTCGACCAGGAAACTTGCCCCGCAGCAATTGCATCGTTGCTGTGGATGTATGACAAGTGGCTCCATCCTGTTGGAACCACAAATCTTCACAAACACAAACACAAGCCCCAGAAAAAATCAGATATAATGTTTCGATAGCGAACACCATTAACCGTAACAGCGTTCTCCGCATTATCCTCGAAAAAGGGGAAACTATTCCTCCGCACCAAAATGCGCACCAAACAGTCACTTTTTGAGGATGCACTGCTTTTTGAACAATCTCTCTTGGATTTTCTAATCCCAAATACGGGCATTGTGTTTGTTTACAAAGCCACTAACGTGAAAATGTGCCTCATCGCTAAAGATGATTTTCGTTGAAAAATGAATGCCTTGTTCTCGTATCCATTCTGCAAACCTGCCGCGCTGTTGATGATCGCGAAGCTTCAACTCCTGAGTTATTTGGACTTTATATGGGTGTAGATGCAAGTCTTTTGTTAAAATTCGCTGTGTGGTTGAATATGTAAGGCCCACTTGCTGCGATCGATGAAGAATCGATGTTTGGATCTGCGGCTACACTTTCGCGAACAATGGCAATATTTTGTTTGCCCAAATTTTTGAACCACATTCCAAATTGTCCTCTCAGAAGGTCGATTTTGCGCGCCGAAAAATTCACGTACAGCCCGAAATGCATTTTTCTTGATCTTGATGTTCATAATAGGCTTGCACATTTTTACACGTTGTCAGTCGTATATTGCTCCATGCCTAATTTTGTTTATGTTTTGAGGTTAGAAATCTCATATGATAGTAAGCAAATACAGTGGCGTTTTAAAAATATTTCAGATTGTAATGTGGAAACTCTTATTGAATCACTCGTTATTTATACATCCATCATCAGACTTATTTAGCACGGATAGCTTCCATAATGACTGACTGACAACGACCATCAACCTAAAGTCAAATATTTAATACTCACTCATCTTTTCCCAATTGTATTTACTGTCTTCTGACGTCATTGAAGAAACACAAAGTACACGTTATTTTCAATTAGCGTTTTAACTAAATATTTTAAGATTGTGTTATAAGGCATGAAACTTGTTTTATGGTTTCGTCCGCGGCAACCCAAACCGATCCATCCGGTACCTTCTGTCCCACTTCACTAACTAAATGAAATTCAAGTTATCTCCAAGTGCTACGATGTGGTAATTAAATTTATATTTTATCGATCGTTTTTAAGATTGAGACTATTTTCCTCCAAAATGCCTATCGTTTTGTACGGCATCAACACTAGCTGCGCGGTTAGGGCGGTATTGATGACCGCCGAGGCTTTAGGGTTAAAGTTGGACTTCAAGGAAGTGAATCTGGTCAAATTAGACCATCTGAAGCCGGAGTTTTTAAAGGTATAGGTACAATCAAGTTGTTGCCATCTTTTTTTATTACTTCTGGGCTATTTTAGATCAATCCTCAACATACAATACCCACATTAGATGACGACGGAGTTATTTTGTGGGATAGTCACGCGATAGCGGCGTACTTGGTTGGCAAATACGCCAAGGACGATTCCTTATATCCCAAAGATCTGGCCAAAAAGGCTCTGATCGACTCCAGGCTGCATTTCGATACGGGCTACGCTTTCCCAGCGCTACGGGACCCTGTGGCAAGTTCTATTCCTGCACTGGGTATAGATGATTGGATGGATGAATAAATGAGTGAATCTTTCTATAGGGTGCGCCGTTTTAATTTTGTATATACAGTGTGTTTCATTTCTCGTGGGCGAGTATCAACTTTCCTATTTTAAATGGAACATCTGACATATACTTCATTTTTGAATTCTGTATAAAATTCTAGACAAATTTTATGTATAATGTCCTATACCTTAGTCTAACCGTTTTTGACATTGTTAATTTTTTATTCGGAAGCATTTATTGTTTCACTTGAATAAGTTTTGTTGAAGGGAAAGGACTCGAATAACGGATTTCAGTAGAAACTTCAACACATTTTTTTTTCAAATTGAAACTACGTATTTGTATAAGCAGTTCACGGTTAACTGTTACCCCATAGAAAAAATCTAGGGGAGTTAAGTCGGGGCTCCTCCCCAATCAATTTTCTATGGTGTGCATTTTAATAGGTGCTAATTTCTTGACTTCTGTGCTCTACTTTCTACACTGGACAGAGTTTGTAGGACTTCCAGTTGTTTATTTGACATCTAGATCTAAAGACACATTTCGGGTTGAATCTTCAGGGGTGTCTGTAAAGTGCAACAAAATATTAAGTTGCTGTTCATTTTTCAAAATATGATGACGGCTATTTTTTCTTTCTTCAAGGTTCCATATGTTCTAAAGTGTTGGCAAATCCTGTAGAAAATCTTTGTTTCTGGGCGTCTCCTGAATGGAAATTTTGTTATATAATCTCTAAGAGCCGGTTTTTATGGTTCTATATCTATCTTTTTAACGTATCAATTTTTATAAAATTTATAAACGATAAATAAATAAATCAATAATGTTTTAAAAAATATTTTAATTATGACAGTAATCAACAACAAAACACGCGTCCAAGAAGGCAGCGTTCTAGCACTTGTTTTGTTCAAACGCCGTCATAGCCACCATGCACTAACTGAACTTATATGGCAACGGCATATTATTTGTGATATACAAATGTTTAAAAGGAAATATTTCAACAAGTAAAAATATTAGGCATTAAATAAAATTGCCTTAAAATAATAAATAATAAAAATAGGTAATTTCCCTTAAAAAAAAGTTTTTTGGCAGTTTCTTTAATTTCATTTTTAATCTGTGTGCTCTGTATTAATATGCATCGAAATGTCTTATGAAATTCGTTATTCGACTCCTCTGTCTACAACAGATATTTTATATCTAGCAAACGCCATTTTTCGCATAAAAAATTAAAAGTGTCAAAATCGGTTAAAATATTTCTACAATTTAAAATAAGAAAGTTGATACTCGCCCACGAGAAATGGAACACCCTGTACATACAACATGAAAATAAATTGAAGGTCTGTAATACCACAATTAACTTTTGTATTTAATTTTTGGCTCCATCTCCTATAGTTTCTGAGATAGGGTAATGTATCAAGATTAACGGCCCACCCTATACACGGAGCAGCCATATGAAAAAGTAACCGATTTTAATTCCAGAGGGCGATCAAGTTGTACGGCCAGCCTCCCGGTCTAACTGACATTCAAAAGCGACTCATATTGGATGTTTACGATTTCCTAAACAAATTTCTGGACAATCAACCTTGGTTGACTGGCGACTCGGTCACCATTGCCGACATATGCTTGTTAGCGACTATCACGTCGCTTAACACAGTCGTACCGGTCGACGCAGCCCTGTTCCCGAATGTGGTTAGGTGGTTGGAGAGCGCTGAGAAGCTGCCTTTCATAAAAGTCAACACACCAGGCCTAGAAGTTTTTGGCGCTAATGCTAAAAATACATTCGCACTGTAACTGATCAATAAAGATTAATAGTTTTCTTAAAGGGGCGTAATTTCTCGGGACCGAAACAAACGAGCGACGAGCGTCGCAATCATAGGTCACGTAGCGGAAAAGCGGTGTTATGATTTTGTAGGTTCCGTCAGCAATAAGCACATATCTATTGATAATAGGGTGGCCCTACTAAGGTAAACGTTAATCCACTTCAAGTGGCTATGATATTTTTGTAGCACGCTTCTGCATTTCACCCACTAACCTGCGCTTTGCCCTATCCAGCGATATCCACACACTTAACTTATTTTGCCACTACATTTGACGAGATCTAGGCCATAAAAATGCCATATTCAAGCTTATTGACTATCTGTCAAAGTCCATGTTGGTTGTTGAATGCCGCAAGGTCATTGGTCCTCGAAAATTTTTTCATAGTTGCTTAATAAGTTTTTTTTTATTATCGATATAATTTAAATAGTATGATAAATATAGATTGGCACTATTCGCTGTTTCGGATTTCAAATATTAAGAAATTTGTATGAAAAGAACGCACTGAGCTCTGGATCCGCATTTTTTCAGCGCGCTAGGCGCCATATTATTAGACGCTTTTTAAAAAAGTAAAAAAAAAACGCTGTCATATATACCTCGCAAACTACAGGTTCTATGTACAAGATTTTTAAAAAAATTAACAAAATTTGAAAAAAGGTGAAACAAAAATTAAGAAAAACCTGTATTTGCAATACATCCGAACATTTACATATTTTTATCTCAAAACTATTTGTAACTCAGGACAACATTTGAAGGATTGCAGTGTTAAAAGGGTCTCTAATACGCATTTTCATTTTATCTGTTATGATTGGAAGCGTATTGCAAACAACTATTGGTGTTAAGTCTGTTTATAATGAGGACTTTTACATTATAATAAATAATACCCTTATAGCGAAATCAGACAAAGCAGTCTTAATAAATTATTTACATTTTCAAAGTCCATAAGTAACAAGATATAATAAAATTTGAATTAGAATACACCAAACACCATAATTTCGGGTATTCAGCGAAAACGCGAACCTATAGGACACCCTAACACCATTCATTAGGAGGTAAAAAAATATGGTGTTACATTTAAATTGAAAGGTTCTTATTAGATTAGGATAATTTTTTGACCACCCTGTATAAAATGAGGAGCTTCTATAATTGGAATATAAAATATATCAATTGCTACACTATACTTACTGTAATTTTCGCTGATATAATTTAAATATTTCATATGTATTTGAGAATTTAAAATTAGATTATAATATTGACAAAAATCAAATTATCTGAGTAAAAATGCATTTCAGGAAATATATATGAAACCGCAGAATCACTACTAATTTCGGGACACCCTTCACAAATGAACAAAATTTCAAAAAAATACAATTTTCATAAAATAAAGTATAATAATTACCAAAACAAATTTTATATATGTACGTATCACCGAAAATTTGAAGAAGGAAAAAAAGTAGCACGTAAAGAGGGAAATATAATGTGCGATAAAACGAAAAAAGAATAATCAGAAGGAAAAGGAAAATTGTGCAAACCCGAATGAAGAAAAATATTTAAAACAAACGAAAAAAGTTAGTAGCTACGCGTATTAAAAAAGTAGGAGGACAATTTGACTTGTTAATAGTATGTTACGCAACAAGTGTAATAAACTGCATTTGAGTCACGAGTTTTTTTGGAACGAGTGGAGCGAGTGCTTAATAAACGAGTGACTCAAAAAGTTTACCGAGCGTGTTGCATACTATACTTTTTCTATGACGTTAGTTTTTGTGTACATTTTTGCAAAAGCAACACGAATACATTCACGGACGTGACCGTCAGAATTGACAAACGTCAAAATTCAAGCCATGCGGTAATATTTCCGAAAACATCCGATTACTTCCAAACCCGTGCGGTAAACGAAACTAACGTGGGAAAATGAGACTTTCCGCGGCCCGGTCTATAATTACGTATTTTACAGAAGGGAGGAGAAAAAATCATTTAGATAAGAAACAAATTAGGTTTATTGAGGTTATTTTTTTATATTCAGATATCACAAAGATTGTTATTAAAAATGTAAAAAATTGGAGCAGCAGATTTTATCAGAAGTAGATGCCTACGAACTGATACGTACTTATGTAAAGTAAGATGTAACTTTTAGCGCTTTTTTGATGTTTAAGGAAATCATTGATGGATTAGTCTCGCAGACTCGATTTTCCGGTATATATACTATTGATTCTTTTGGGGTAGCGTGAGATGATTTTTTATAATAACAGTAATAATAATTAACACGTCCCAGAAGTGAAAGTTTTGAAAAACCTTGTTTTTTGTCCACGATATTTCGTGCAGCATGGAGTGAATATTTGGTCTGTCAAAAAAAAAACACTAGTCAACTTGTGCCATTGTAGAAACTAAACCAAATCTGCGTGTCATCATAATATACAACAGGGAGTCGATATAGTCCAAGATTTGTTTTGTTTACTTTGTAAATCGCGTCTTTCTGATAACTTAAGAGATTGCTCATATCTGCCATTTATTTAGGAGTAACGCGGTGCGACACTCAGTTGCAATCCGATCGCCTTACTGTTCATTCATATCGTATAACGATGGCCCCCACGCTATACATGTCTGAAATAAGCCCTTCATGCAGGGCCGTGCTGCTTACCGCGAGGGTGCTCGGCGTCACCCTCAAAATCAAGAAGGTAGACCTGTGCAAGAACGAGCAATTGTCACCTTCTTTCCTTAAGGTAAACGTTTTAATTTGCCGCTGACACTAAGTCTCCGCTGCTCAGGTTTTAAATTAAAGCTCTTACAACTCCGAAATGGTAAAACAAATGACAAACAAAGGTCATACGAAGTTTGTGCCAAAGAAATGATAAACACCGCCAGACGAGTTATAATCTCACGGTACTTAGGCACCCGTAATCTGTCCAGTGATAACCTCGTTCGGCGTAAAATAAGATTAAAACGTGGTGTGTTAATTGGTATTATTATATGTGATATTAATTGAACAATAATGAAAACTGCATTTTTTATAGAGAAAAACATTCAACAATTCAACCAGACAAGTAGCAATTTGAAAAGCTTAATAAAAACAACGTAATAATAATGAAATAAATCAATGTAGGGAGAGTCTTTTTTAATTTATAAGATTTTATCCCTTGTTTGTTTATGTATCCAGGGGTATCTTTTAGTTTTCCATGAATAACCTTTATTGGTTATTTTTGTACGATTTCCACTGACCTCTAGTGATTTAACATATTTTATATTGGTATTTTAAGAAAAAGAAAAAAATTAAAAAAAAATCCTTTAATATGAGTAAATGACTTTTGATGATCTAAAAATATGTGTGTGTTCAAAGATATGGTAGAAATTAGTTTGTGTTCTTACACCTTCAGCACCCTCTTTCTCGAATCACAAATATGTGCTCCTAATTTTCGGACAAGCTGTACAGTAGACGTTTATTCCATCACATTTCAAATTAACAAAACTTCCAATCAAAAACAATTTACATATAGTAATAAACAAAAACAAATGATATATACACGTATGAATATGTAACCGTTGTAGTAGAATAAAACATCGCACGTAAATAGGCAAACACAACGTGCTATAAAAGAAAGAAAGAATATACGGAGAGAAAATATTAAAACACAGGAAAAAATCTGGTATATGCGACGCGTAAATTAATATATAAATATATAAAAATAGGATGAAATTGAGACTCTATTCAAGGTTTTGCTAAAATCTTATAAGATAAGAAATAACTTAGATTTATCGAGTTTATTTTTTTTTAACAATCGGATGTCTAAAAGATTATTTTAAAAAATATCAAAAATTAGACCAGCAGATTGTATTTTATCAGAAGTAGGTACCTATGAATTAAAACCTACTTATGTATGTTAAGATGTAACTTTTAATACTGTTTTGATGTATATGAAAAACATTCCTTTATCGGACTTCCGCATTCGATTATCCGGTTGAGTAGGACCACTTAATTGAGTCGAGGTTTTGAAATTGAATTGAAATTCTTATACCTTATAGATCAATCCGCAACATACTGTACCAACCCTAGAAGACAACGGCTTCGTGATCTGGGATAGCCACGCCATTATAGCTTTCCTTGTCGGCAAATACGCGCAAGATGACTCCCTCTACAGCCGCGACATCATGCAAAGAGCGTTGATCGATCAGCGACTCCATTTTGATACTGGCGTGATCTCTCATTTTACCAGATCGATATTGGTAAGCTGACAAACGGGAATATATCCTCATGAACCGACAACCAATATAAAAAAGGCTCTACTATTCTTCTATAACTTCTAACTTCCGTGACTACTTATTGCAACTCTGTAGGTGGCGATCGTAATGGAATTAATGTTTTATTTAGAACCCCATGTTGTACGGGAACGCCGAAATCGACATCAATAAACACCGGGAATCTATCCTAGAGACTTACGGGCTAATGGAAAAATTCCTCAGACGCAATAGATGGATAGCGGGAGAGAAACTATCGATTGCCGACCTGAGCCTGATACCGTCCATCACGTCGTTGAACGTGGTGGTGCCCATAGATTGTACGAAATTTCCCAAGCTGACACAGTGGATCGAGAATGCGGAAACCCTTTCATGCTACATGGAAAACGAAAACGGACTCAATCAACTGAGAGCGTTGTTGAAAGTGCGCTGCTGTTGTGGCTGTTGATGGAAACGACGACGGACGGATTTGAATTCTATGAATTTGAGGTTAATTTGTTATGTTGTTTGCTTTAAGTATTAAATGTACCGTTAGCATGTTATTGAATTTTTATTTATTACCTAGTTAATTTTTGCGTCTAATTTGAGTGTCAAAACTACCGTCTATATTGCTAGGCGGGTAAACTATGATAAGTAATATAATTTTTCTAGTTCCTTCTCTAAAATCCCAATTACTGATCAAAAAGTTATTTTAAGACTTCGTTACACACTGTCGTACGCCACTTCGGGCGATTCTGATAATTTAGTAACGGGTTTGACACTCAGTGAATGTACTAGCGCTGTTTTGCAAAAAACTGACCAAAAAATTAGTGGTTACAGAAAAAATACAATATACAATACGTTGATAAACTTCTTCATATGCTCGTTTATCAATCTCGTGACTAAAGTAGTGCTTATCGAACTCGTCGCATAATATTCTATTTTGTCTATAAAAGAAAAGCATCCAGCCAAAGAAGATAATTAATAAAGATGTCAAGCGAATCAAAAATGATGGAATAACTTGACTTAATTATTTTAAGATTTTCGACACTGGAAAATAAAGCCTACTTAATACAAATATAAATTTTGTTGTTGACGCAATATATCAAGCTACCTATATCACATAATATACCTGAAAAATCGTTAAATTAATGACATTTTATTATGGGAAGAAATGATCTTATGCCATTTTATTTCTAAACAGCGATCTCCAATCACTTAACTCGCATATTTTGGGCATATTCCGTTAAATTAACAAACTGTTATCGGCCGTCTTTGAGTTTTGCTAACTAATTACGTTACTAGTTTGAGTTGAGTGCCTGAAGTTTATTAATATCACGAATACATTTACCTAGTGACGTGACGAATACAGAACACATGCATGCGTCAATGTTTTAAATCTACGGAAAACATTTGATCGCTCCCAACCTGTAACTAAAGCAATGGAAACTTCCGAAGTGGCTGGTCTAACTTGACTTAAAAATTAATGCTGCGCCTGCAAACCACCCTAATTCTTAATATTTGTGCATATCAAATGTCTAAGCATAATTAAGCTTTTGACAAATGACTCGTAAAAGATCGCCATTAACTAATCCACTTTTGGCATAAAAATCGCTGTTTTTTTTAGTAATTTGCATAGAGCAGCGTTGACTTTTGCTTTGACTGGATTTATTAAAAATTGGAGGCTCCGGACCTGCCCAATGGCCGATAACGTGACGGCGCAAACAAACGGTGTCGATGTCCACGTTTAAACAGTCGCTGCATAAAATCCTTTAAGCAAAGATGGTTCTTAAATTGTTCATGGTACTTGGCAGTCCTCCGGTAAACGCCGTGCTCATGGCGGCCAAGGCTTTGAACTTGGAACTCGAACTACGCGAAATAAACTTCGAAAAAAAGGAGTACTTGTCCGAGTCTTTTCGTCAGGTACTTTTTCCATTGGGACGAGGTTGTTCCACATTCAAAGAGAGATTATTTTTTGTTGCAGTTAAATCCCGCTCACACGGTGCCGACTTTAGACGACGACGGCTACGTGGTGTGGGATAGTCACGCCATCTTGTGTTATGTGGCTGAAAAGTATGACGAGTCGGGTATTTGGTACCCGAAGGAATTGGAGCGCAGGACTCGAATTAATCAAATCCTCAACTTCGACTGCGGTACCGTTTTCCGCCATTTCAGCGACGCTGTGGTGAGCAATGACCTCTATCGAACTGGAATGGCAACGGCGTGATTGAGAAGTGAGGAAAATTTTACAATAGAAAAAGATGGCTAGTAATAGAGTGATAGTATTTCTCTTGTTGGAGGTGATATAATTCTTACTGAAATCATCATCATCAAAAAATTGAAAATATTTAAGTTTTTAAAACGTTTTAAAAGTTTATTGATCCGCACATAGCGGTGTACACTTTCTCAGGAGTATCATTTTAAATATCATAAAAAAATATACATGCATTTACCTCAATATGTACATTTTAAACAATACTTAAAATTTCTCCAAAAAAAGGTTTTTTTTGTGATAACTAAATTCATATTCCTACTAGAGAGATAATACAGGATCTTATGAAGCAACTACGAAATATAATTTTGAGACGTTCCAGTCTGAACCAATGACCTTGCCGCATTCAGCAGTCAACATGGCTCCCGACAGATAGTTAATAAGTTTTAAGTCAATATTTTCTCAAAACAAAAAAATCCTTAAAAAAGTGTAGAGATTCCGACACAACCACAAGTCAAGGTCTCAAAAATTATTATTCTTAAAACGTTATTTGTGCTTCGTCCACACGGGCATTATGAGACCAATCAAATAAATTTAACAATAAATGCACTTACAATATACGTAACTACCAAAACGCTCTCAAACGCAAGCGATGTTTGATTTAAAAGAGATCTAAAGTCCGAATTGCAGCTTTTTTGCAGCTGAAATAAAAAAAAGCCTACAACAAGGCTAAACTGAAAATCTACAATTTATTTTATTAAAAATTAATGTTGACTCGAACTTGAGAACATCATTACCGCAGTCAATTTGTTTTCTTGTCTTTGGTAATTTATAATTTCCTTAGAACATTAAATTTTTTTATCTTTGGCCAGTTATCTGTACCCGACATGTTTATTCGGAGAAAACTTATGATTCGCGAAAAAAATATGAGTCGCGAAAGCAGATTTTATTTATTAAATCACATCAGCATAAAATTATTAGTAGGTAGGTCTGTATACACAAGAATTATTACGGTCAAAAATAGTCAAAACGTATCACAACCATTTAGTCTAAAGGGTGCACGATTGAAATCATAGGAAGTTAACAAATAATCTATCCCCAAAAATCTCAGAGCTGTATTACAGTTATTTGTCATTAGTTTTAACTTGATAAAGGAAACAACCGCTATTATTACATATCTCCAAATCAAATTTGCATCACAATAGTCACTGAATTACCAGAACCATTCCAGTTGGATAGATTCATGATGAATCGCCCGTATTTATTTATTGTTTAACTAACACAGAGGCCGTTGTTTTATGATGGAGCGAAAAGCATCGAACCCGCGAGGCTAGAAAAGTTGGAAGAAGTCTACGAGATCCTGGAAAGGATTTTAGAAAAGTCGCAGTTTATGACTGGCGATTCGGTGACGATCGGTGATGTTAGTGTTTTATCCACGGTAACCATGGCCGAATTAGTTTTACCGATCGGTAGCCAACGGTTTCCCAAACTCGACGCTTGGCTACGGCAGATGAAAGACAAGGAATTTTACCAAGCAGGCGTCAAGGGCATTTTTTATATGAAAAAAGGTCTCGACGTTGTAACGTCTCAATAAATAAATAAATACCACTAGGTTCTGTATTTTTAATACATACATTCGCTTGGAACTGGAATTCCGATCCACTACGTAGACTAGATAAAGATAAAGATGTCTTAGAGTAAGTCTACGACTTTTTTTAGATAACAACCAATTTAAAAATATAATAGATTAAAAATTATACCGCCCCGCCCCCTAACAATACGCCTTGTGTAACGCCCTGTTTGCCTCGGTGCTTGTCCGTGCTAGGGTTTTTATATGATAATCCACTTTTTTTAAGTTGCATAATTATCGAATTAAATTGAAGTATATAGTGTTTTTAATATCTTTTACATGACACGGAATAGGAATGTGGATTTTGGTATGCGTGTGATAACCCTACGCCGTCACTTACTGAAAGTTTCGTTTTAAAATGTGTTTTATAGAAAACGCGACCTATACATATTTTGTTTCTTGTTTGTTCTAGAAAAAATCGCGGTTTGTCCGTTTGACAAGTCGCACATAATATTGGCGCACCGCTTAGGGCGCCACATATTTAGATCTCACAAAGAGTACCGAGTGTAGAATTCCCGGTACGACAGCCCCAGCAACCGGAGTACCCACTCGGGTGGTCGACTAAGTGGGACAACGGCAACAGAAACATCATCAGCAGCATGAGTACCCGAATGGGGTACAGAGTGGGACAGCGAGGAGTGTACTTCATATTTAACAGGATTGAAGGAATGGGAACAAGAACGTCAGCAACAGAAACAACAGGATGGTCGAGAGAAGAAGAAGAAGAAGACCCCATCGACGCTTCCAGACCAATTTGATAAAAAAGACATATTAAAATTCAAGTTTATTTAATTATCCTCCCGATCCCCCCACACCGCGAAAACGCGTCACCGCCATCTGCCGGTGCCTCGAGATGACGTGGCGGTAGGAATCTTGGCGAGAGCGCACGCACGACACCTAGCAGCACCGGGAGAACACGACAAGCAACGGGGCAAATAGGGCGCTACACTAGGTAGGATTTTTAGGGGGCGGAGCACACCATACAAGCTACGGAGGCTTTCTTGGGGCGGAATACACTCGGAAAACACGGGGGCCCTCTGCAAGGGATTTTTGGGTTTGAGGTTATGTGCGTTTTTTGCACCTCCACCGGCAGTACATACCCGAGATTAAATATACAAGGTGTATTCAAAAAGTAAGGTGACTTGCTGCGTACATTCGATCTCTAATATTTCACATATGTTTCAATCAGTTTGCACCTTTACTTTTTTTGTGAGACAGAAGCGTTAGAGGTGTTTTGTGTGTTCGGCGATTTTCTGCTGTCCAAAAAAAAAAGGAACAAAGGATTTGCATACAATTTTGTGTAACAAAGGAATACAGTGCTCATCGAAACCAAAGCCCAGTCGTTCTAATGGGAGAACCCAGAATCGCCAGACCAAAAAGGCATGTCAAGTACGACCTTATTGTTTTCTTTGATTATCGTGGCGTAGTACATCAAGAGTTTTTACCACAAGCTTGTACGGCCAATATAGAGTATTACCTTGAAGTTATGAGCCGTTTGCGAGAAGCAATACGTAGAAAACGTCCGGAATTGTGGGAAAACAATTCATGGATTTTGCATCATGATAATGCACCCGCTGACTGACGTTGTTTGTATCTAACTTTTTGGCCAAAAACAAAACTACAATCATGTCTCAGCCAACATATTCACCGCATATGTCAACTTTTTCCTGTTCCCAAAACTCAAGAATTCCCTGAAAGGAAGGAGGTTTGGAACGATTGAAGAAATAAAGAAAAAATCGCTGGAAGAACTTCGAGGATTGGAAAAAACGTTTGCACAAGGGTATTATATCTAGGGGGAATTACTTTGAAGGGAGCAACATTATTTTTTTAATAAAACTTAAAAGTTACCTTACCTTTTGAACGCACCTCGTATATCCACAACCCTTATTTTGAACAAATTGCATTTTGTTCTTTATAGTAATAAAGAATGTAACAATGTTTCATACACTTTTTTGCTTATTTTAAAATTTATCATGGACCTTTCTATCCAAGCAAGTACAACAGTTTCATTTTTACATAACTTCTTTTTGCACACGCCCGTCAAATCTGAAATTATGCGGAATTAGTTAATCATAATAAAAATTAGATAATAGTCCGTTTAATCTAAGGATAGCCGAACTCCGTTTCTGTTTATTTTACTGTCGGTATTAACAGCAAACGAACCATTGAAAACCATTGAAAACCAAAGCGTACGTTCTTTTAATGAACGTCGTAATTGTTCAAAATCCCTGTACGCTGCAGGTCTGGACCGAATTGGATGAATGCGAATCCTTTCAAACTTAAACCAACTGCTGTAAACTATTGGTTGCGCTAAAAGGTTATGCGGGAGTAAATAAATAAATGTTATACGTAAACATACACCAAAAAAAAAACCATTGCAACGCCGACTTTTCTAATAGAATAAATTCGTTATCGCGGTTCAATAGGCATTTTTGAAATTGTAGAAGTCAAAAACTGTCCTTAAAATGCATAACAACAAAGGCTTCCGTTCGGCTCGCGGATTAAAACGCCAACGCTTCATTCACTACAATGCACTTTTTGCAATTTATCAGTATAACAGGGCTTCTATATATTCTAGTAGCTATACGAGCTCTAGCCAGTAGTCAACTTTTAATATTTATTTTAAATTATTACAGGCAGACATTACAACAGGGGACCAGCTATCGACTGTCATAAAATAATATAACCTCTAAAGCCAGGGGCACACTATCAACTCTCTGACAATAATACCCGGCTTTTTTAGATTGTGCATTGGGAAGAAGGCTTGTTGATTTTAATAAAAATTCAGTTATTTTGCACGGATTTGAAATAAAATGACGTGAAGTATTGGTCAATTTATTTTTTTCTATCTTATATGTCATTATGACTGAATAAAGATAGATGATCCGTTCCAACTGCCGGACGACGGCGCCCCCATCCCCTGTACATTTAGGTACGTGCTCTGGCTCGTGTTTGCTGCCTGAACGACCGGTTGTTCTAAAGATAACACAGTTAGGCAAAACTTTCGGTTTTCGACGAGTTGCACAAACTTACAATTGCCAAGGCCGAATTCCTTGGCATCGTCTTCTGTAATGTCGCCATACTCCCATATATTCAGATGCTCCTTTTTGGCTTGATCTTGAGCCTGTCTATAATCTTCGAGCTGCCACAAACAAAAATCCAAAATAAAGTGTGATATGGGATCAAAGGACTCACCCCAAAGAAAACCCCACAAGCCCTTAATATTTATGAAACTACCATCACATGCCAAATTTGCACATAGAACAATTACTTAAAGCTAGACGACTATCGGCTATCCATATTTCTAGATGCCACTTAACCTCAAAATTGTGTCAAAAATGTGGAAGAAAGCGATTTCGTTCTTACCAGTATCCTAAAATTAACACGGAGCTATGACTTTTTGAGGATTACTCGAATTATTGGAGTTTTTCACAGAGTAACTCGAATGTCTCCCCAGAAAACTAAGTTAATGAAAGGGACAATTTCAATTTTTCCCATACGTTTAATAGATTGTGGGACCCACACATTTAGTCATATTAGGCAAAAAATAAATTTATTCAAGATTTCAATAAAGAAATGTCGTTTTCACTTGGTCCACTCAAAGTTTCTCCAACAATTTTTTTGTTACAATGTGAGAGTAAAATTTGTTATGGATACGGACGATGCAACAAACTGAAACTTAGTCCCCTGGTCCGTTTATAAATATTTAGTTGTTCCCTATCATTAATACAACTTTGAGGGCAGGTTGGTGGGAATGACCGTTATGTCAGCCTCCGGTCTCTACGATTTTGGTCAATAACTTGCCGGGGATCCATTTGGATAAAAGATACAATAACGCTACTCACCAACTTGTTTTGCCTCCTCGATTTGACCTTGTCGACCATCAGGAAGCCATCGGCGATCAAGCTGCGGAAAATGTCGGACGCCCCCGACGTGTCCTTGTGCAGGGACGCTGCGGGGGGCGCGCCTTGATTCTTGTACTCCAGATTCAGGTAAAGCTTGTCGCTCGTGTCTGCCTTCAGGAATTTGATCGCCAACTCTCGAAACTCTTCGTCTTTCGGTAACGATACGTAGGGCATAACGTATTCGGAAGCGAACGGTTTGTCCGCAGTGTAGGCTGCGGGTAAACTGGCCAATCGTGCGGTTGGCAACACCTCCCGATTACCGTAATCTATATAGTACACGGTGGCTTTACCTCCTTGCACCTAAAGTGATGGGTGACATCGGATTTAGGTGTGACCTCATTTTTTTTTTCGGAAAAATTTTAGATATTTTTTATTCGTTTTCGGCAAACAAAATTATAACAGAAAAATATTAGAGCACGCAAATGAAAAAAAAAAAACATTTTACCGAAAAAGCCAATTTTTTTGTTGCTTTAGTAGAAAAAAATCATTTTTTACTCGAACTAACTGCAATGCTGTAATGATTTGTTAATTTTCCAGATTTTCGTTAACATTCATAATTTTGGTTAATTCTCATTTTATTCTTGGTGCATCTCATTTTTTATAATTTTCTTGGTTTTTATTGTCTTCTTTTTTTTATACTTTTGTCTGTTTTACAAAATCGTGGGGAAAATATTCATACACAAATTCATACAATAAGTATTTAGTAACGAGACCTTTCAGGTTCACTTTAAAAAAATACTTAAGTTAATTAGTTATTTCGTCAAACTACAACATATAAAAGTTCTATTACGTCGTTTTTACTTGATATAATATTTTTAAAATGTGCAACCAAACCAAAACTAACTTAAGAGAAGAACAAATAATTTAACAAGTTTTACAAGTGGAATTTTGTGTTTTATTGGAAAATTGCATGCCCAACTTTTTAATTTAATGTTTTCTTTCAATAGATTTCCAACTTAAAAATTTGTAGCAATTTTTATCTTAAAAAAAGTGTAACAACACACCAAATACATTCTTTAGTCTAAGATATTAGTAGATCTATTATTTTATATTCTGAAAAATTGTGAAGAATTTAAAACCGTTTCCTTCCCAAAATATGAAGACTATGCCTCCTGCAACTTAAGATGTCTGTACTTTGCGAAATTCCTATGATAGTTGCAAGTTGCACACAGCGAAATTTGACATTAATTTTACCAATTTAGGTTAAATGAAAATATTAAAAAACAACAAATAATATTAAAAAACCAGTTATAAAATTTGGTGTTTTCGTTAATTTTGGTAATAAAATTCGGTGCTTGATTTTAGTGTTTTCTTCGATAACAAACAATAGATGTACTCTTGTACTCTGTCTAAATTCGTAACCATCTTCCACAGCTGGTTCTTACAATAACACCTAAAAAGGTTCCAAAATCACCAGCTCACCTTTTCCACTTTCACCCTGTACCACTGGTTATCGACGCTGTACTGGGCCGCGCACAAGTCTCCTTTGCGGGGATTGAAAGCGCCCGACAACGGCGGATTCGCCTCGAACTCTTGCCTCAGCTTCGCGCACAACGAGTCCAGCTTCGGACCGTCGGCGAACCGCTGCACGAAGAACCCACCTTCCGGCGTGATCTCCGTCACGACCACCTCCTCGAAGTTCACCTTCCGTTCGACGTTCACCCGCTCCTCCTCTACCTTTTCTTTAACCTCTTCCTCGACGTGGTTCTTCCACCGTCGCAGCTTTTGCGCTTTCGCGCTCTCCTCCGCCTGTTTCAGTTGGGACGCGTACGCGGACTTTTCGCCGGTAAAGTGGACGCTCGCGAAACCCTCCTTAACCAGCGAGACCGACAAATTGACATTGTCGATCCACAACCAGCCGATAAAGTTGCCCGCTTTGTCGTGCGTGTCTACCTGGATAGACACCTCGCGTTGCAAGCACCGTTCTTTCGAATATTGCAACGCTTCGTCCCCAAACTCTTCGCCTTCGGAGGCAGGAAGCGTCCCGGTGGCTGGCCGACTGGCTCTAGGGCAGTTTATGCCGCCTACGACGACGACCAAGTATAGGGAAAACGAAAAGTGGGGGGCATTTTAAGTGTACAAATTGGGCCAACACGCTTTTAATCATAGCAGACTACAAGATCGTAAAAAAACCTTAGACACCCAGTAACGAGCAAGGCAGAGATCGTGCGTCGATTGGCGACCCCCGACTAAAACATTGGGTGTTATTTGTCGTGTTTACCTATAGTGTGGTGAAAATTTACTGCTCAAGTAAAAATTCTTATGGGAATATAGCAGGAACGCTATGTATGGTAGAAATACCTGATGATTTTAACTTCCAGATATGCCTTGAATACGATGTACAGTGCATTCAATTTATCTTAATAACATTTTAATTGGCTGTAACTTTTTTGTTTTTAGATATCAAGGTAAACAAAAAAAAACAAAATGTAGGGTTAGTAGGCAAGTTTTTTTCCAAGTGACGTATAAAACAAAACGCTATCAATTTTCTGACATATAAGCCTACATCATATTTTTTTACATGGAATACCCTGTATATTATATAAGTGTTCAATAGAATATCTTATTCCGATTACAATACATTTTAGTCCACTCGTTTTTGACGAATCGGTAAAAATTTGAAATTTTTATATAATTTCAAAGGGTGCCCTAACTAACTGCAACCACAATAATTATTTACAAAATAAAGTAGAACAAAAACACTAAAAATTACAAGACACACTATATTTCTTTAACTGTTCTAAATACTGCTGTATGTGGCCACCATTTTCCTAAGCACATTTCTCATACACTCCAATTTTATGATGTCTTGCATTTAGTAACCTTTCCGGATTATCTCTCAAGTGATTGATTGCCTCTGAAATCATTTGCCGAAGTTCCACAACATTATTAGAAACAGTTCTGTGCACTTGATTTTTTATTTGTCCCCAAAAGAAAACATCCATTAAAGTTAACTCGGGGCTGGTCAATCCATGGTTCCGCCATTCCCTATCCAACCCCCGGGATATTCAATGTTAAGAAAATTTTTAACTTGCACAACAAGATATTGGATCCAAAATATGCCCATCTATGACACCACACCATATACTAATTGAGTTTTTGTCTAGGATTATTTAAAGACCAATATCACGTATTTTGCCTATTACAACCCCTTTCTTGTAATGAACGAACTTTCATAAGTTCATAAAATGTTTTTTAAAAATTATTAGTCTCATTTTCATATTTATATTCTTTCAAAACTGAGGGGATCGATCCCTGAGAAATACCTGTCACTTCGTATACTCTAGTAATAGAGGAAACTGGATGTGTTTTAAGAATCCTAATATGTTTGGCTTATTTTCTTCATTTTAAAACATTATGATTCCGGTATTACCTTTTTAGCACTTAATAGGAGGAGCTCGGTGCTATGGACAAACTCTAATATACAGACGACGAGCTGCGGTTGTACTTTTATTATTCAGAAAGTATACTTAAAGCATATCACTCCTTTCACGGATCACACATTCGCGATAAACCATTTTAACAATAATGACTTGGACAATAATTCAGTTTACTAATATGTTAAACATAAACATATTTTTATTTTTCAGTCAGAACACTTTTTGAAATTATATAAAAATTTCCTATTTTTGACCATTTGTCAAAAACGAATGGACTAAAATATAAAGTGTGTGGCATCATTGTAATCGGAATAAAATATTCTATTAAACGCGTATATAATATGCAGGGTCTTCCATTTAAAAATATGATGTAGGCTTATATCTCAGAAAATTGATAGGTTTGTTTTATACGTCACTGGGAAAAAAAATTGACTACTAACAATATATTTTGTTTTCTTGTTTACCTTGATATCTCTAGAAACAAAAAAGTTACAGCCAATTAAAATGTTAAGATAAATTGAACGTACAGTACAGCGAGTGTTTGCAAAGAGATGTAGGAGAAGTTATGGTAAATGTATAGCGAAAAATGTTGTTTGTTCCGCACATTTTACAGAGAAAGATTGTGAATGAAATTTATTGAACGGAAGTCTTTAATTAAATTAATTAATTAATTAAAATCAGTCAACCAAAAGAAGCTCTAAAATAACACAAGTTAATAAACATTTTCAAGAAAAGAATTAGGAGCAACAAATGTTTTTTGCAGCAAAGTTTATTTATAAGGATTAAGATTTTAAACGAAAATTCGGAGAAAACAATAAATAACCTATAAAAAGAGACTCCATAGAGGAGCAAGAAAATTTGTGATTATGATAAATATTGTGTGTCAAAACAAATGCGAAAAACTTAATGGGCGATTCCTTATTTAAAAAAAAGGCTAGTTCGTTATATAAACGTTGGATTAAAAGCCAATCATTAGGGAGACATCGAGGAAAATAACGTTTTTATTTTTTATAATAAAAAGGAAAACAGAACAACGGAAATATGCTGCATGCTTTTAATTCTTTTTTTTAATGAGTGCAGGGGATTGAATTAGAATACCTCTAGTACTCCTTTTATTTAAATTTAAGAAAAAACCTATGCAATGACATAAAAATATATTTTTTTGTCATTATATAGAAGCTTTTGCATACTGCAATATTTTGATAACACTGTGTCCAAACAAAACAAGCAAAATCTACAGCAATTCCCAGCAAAGCAATGCTTTACAATTTATTTTTCAATTTGGAAAGACATATTATGAAAAAATTGCAGGAGGAAAAACAGATTCTAACGGTTATATAACAAACTGCCCTTTATTTTAAACAAAGAATCACTCACTTAAGTCACTTAATAAGCAAAAATGTTTTTTTTTTAAGATTTATTTATATTTTTTGAATACTTTGCAAATAAAATATTCATATAGAATGTACATTTTAGTTAGATAAAATTTGTAACTATGAACTAATATTTTGTATCTTAAAGTACTGGCGAGCAAAATCAATACCATATTTTTTTTGTTCAAAAAACTTTATAGCTTTTTGTATTCATTTAATTTCAAATTAATTTATTTGGAAGCAATAACATGAACCTAAAATAGGCCGCAAAACTGCGCATTAACATATTAAATGTGTAATTATTACTTTAGATATTACAAAACCTGGGTCAAAAATTAAATCACTCCCTGGTAGTTGAAGGGACTGAGGTGAGGTGTTTACGCCGACCACCCACTCAGTTTGCCATTTGCTAGTGACTTTTTCTTTTAACAAAAGTTAGGTACATATTTTTGACATATTACAAAATATGACCCATTAAAATTGTAAAAAAAATTCCAAAAAGCATCGCCCATTGGCACTAGACATTATTAAGTAAATAGCAGCATTTTAAGACCTCTTTACTTAAACGTATAGGGTAATAACTAACTATAATGACTGCAAAATCTTGGTAGATTTAACAGCAAAAAACCTCAACGCGTAAAATTTTAGGACCGTGAAAGTATAACAACGCATTTGTGCGGCTGTGAGACTCGCATTTTAAAATTATTGCAGCTCGAATTTAGCTATTAGACGAGAGAACCATTGTCACAAAACAAAACAAAACTATGGACCAATTTTTTTATGCATATTTCATTGGTCCGTATACACATTAAACCCAACGGCTAAGAATGCTTAAGCACAGAACAAGAATATTTTCTGCTATTTTTAATACTAAAATTTACATTTAACGACTAGAATGCCACAGATTGTTACTATCAACTTATTTATGGAGGGGGCATCGTCTTACCTAACAAAAATGTACAGAGGCTGTTGGACTTTGGAATGTACAGTCTGAATCGCGATCCGCTGGCCACAAACTCAACGATGGCGTCCAAGCGTTGAGCGCGCTGGAACGTGGCGAGCTCCAGTTTAGCCCTGGCGGCGTCCTGTGTGTTGGAAAATAATCATACCGTTAAGTTAGTTAACTTTTATTAAAATTTAAACGGAATTTAACTATCCAGGGTACTGCAGGGCCTGAATAATTTTCCATAGATAAATAAGAAATAATAAAATATTTTGACCTCATACTGACGAGAAAATTTGGATACAATGTCATTTCCATAGTGAACACAAAAAAAGTGCAAATGTAAAAACTAAATGTTAATTTATAGGAAACACGGAAGCAAACGCAAATAATTTATAAAACCATTACTAATATTCTTTTTCAGCTTGGCCTGTGCACATCCTGTAAATTCGTAAAAAAAGACCGTTGTATTCCCCCAATATCAAAAAAAGAAGAAGAAAAATCAAAAGGAATCTGTCATCTTTCTTTACCAAGATTTCCTAAAGAAGAAGTTTGGGTTCCATGTTGGCAGCGCTGCCTCAAAATTGCCTGTGAAAATTACGCCTAACTGTGACAAATCGGTTTGTAACTCTTATCCTCATCCTCATAGATCGCGCGCGGAAAATCAGTTGTGTTATTATAGTTTTTTAGTTAATTCTTGATGGTAAGATTTTAAACATATGTTTTGAATAACAATTAGGAACTTACGATCTCTGTGACTCTCAAAGGGGCGCTATCTTTTTTAGAATGCAAACCGAGCTGAGACTTCTCAGCTTTCGACTCGGCCTTGACAAGCTCGTCATATCGACAGCTCCTTTGGTCGTCGTCTTGCCTGTACCTCACGACTGTCGCGAGTCCTTTCGAGACAAGCGCCTCCGCAACGTTCCTGCAAACACCCTCAAAAATACAACAATAGTTCCTTTTAATTGCTTTACTTACTTGCTGTTGGACAGTACAGTTGCACAAACTTTTTCTGGGAACCCATCCCTGGCTCCTTGGATGTAATCAACGATCACCTGCACTTTCTTCCCGATTAATTTCTTCCTGAGGTATTCTCGAGCCTCGAACATCCATGGGATGTCGTACAGTGGTCGAAAACCTTTTGGTCGTGGCAGCGGTTTTCCCTCATCGTCATTTGCTTTTCCCGTTTCTCTGGGTGGTCTGATACTCGCTAGGAATATCTTTTTGGATGTGCCATTCGCCAGTTTGACTTGCAGAGCATCGCCGTTTATCACTTCCACCACCGTCGCGGTAAACTCTTTCTCTTTGCCAGTTATCTGGGGCGCGCTCGACTGCCAACCTAATCGGGTTAGTTTTACTTACTGACTGTTCTTTCAACGGATTTAATTATAGGAATTACCTTTCCATAGTCTTTTCTGTTCATTCTTTGCCTGACGTTCTGCTGCTCTCAATTTCTTCACCACATCAGACGGAAGCGGCGTCAAAGACCAGTCCACACACTTGGCAAAGCCCTCTCTGACAAGGTTTTCCGCGATGTTTCCTAAAAAATCCCCAGGGGTTTGTTATTTCAATATATATTCCAATATAAGTTCCAAAATGTTAATATCAAAGAATGAATGACATGTCTGTAAGTATGGAATATTTTTTATTTTACCTAAAGAAGGAAGGAATTGATTATTTTTGAAAACACTTGGAAAGAAACTGCCGCAAAGGCTGAAAAATTACTAAGTCTGGTAAAAAAATGGCAAGATTATAGCCCGTTGTCATTTAATTTAGACAAAAACCCAATTCATTAATTATTCCATGACCAAAGCTGGCTCTCCAGACTTGCAAGGAATTAAAATTCATAATTTTGACTGTGGCTATGACACGAATTGTAAATGCGATCTTTACATAAATTCCACAACGTCTATTATATCACTGTAAAAATGCGCAAGTTATTCTATAAATTTTTTATATTACCTCAAAATTGGTCAAAGAGTTCCCTTATTAGGATACATAAATCTTTAGTAAAATCAAATTTATCTTATGGTGTATGTGTTTAGGGTGCTGTAGCCTATAAGACTCTTCAATCGCTAGCAATTGGCCAGAAGCGTGTTTTGAAAATAATATTATTTAAAAACAAATTATATCCTAAATTGTTTACTGAAGCGCAAGCACTCAGTACCAATTCAGGCACAAATTTCTCAAATTTATTGTGAATTGGAATTTTTTTTAAGGTATTATCTAATTGCTAAAATAAATTGCTTTTATGATTAATACATGATATACGGGGCAAGATCATTGAGACAGACAACCCAAACCAATAAAGAGAAAAAAGAACAGATGAAATGATTGACCAAAAAGACTTTAGATTAAAATGCGAAAAGAAAAAAAATGCACAAACGGTCATCAACAGACATTGATACAACATTGAGAGTGGTAAAAAATATAATGTTACGAGTGCTCAAGAGATAGAATGGTGGGAGGGTAACTATACAAAAGCTTTCAGACTTCCGACAAGGCATAGAGACTAATAAGAAAATACCTTTTGGATGCAATATACTTCCAACCACGTTATTGTTGGTGTTGTTGACAGAATGCAAGACGATTTTGACGTCGCGTTGCAGCAATCGCACTTCAACATAGTAACGAGCCTCTTCCGCATATTCCACTTTCTGGTTGGGATCAGGCCTGCCCTGCCCGTCTAATTTAAAACCGGGACACTGAAATACAACCAGAATTTAGATAACGGCCACATGACAAAGTGTTAAAGGTTAACCCACCCTTATTCCAGCCACCATCACCGTTATATAATAGAAGTCCGGTAATAGGAAGGCCCTGATCGTGGACCCGTCGCGGACGTGTTCGATGATGGCGTCGAACTGTTTATTTTCGTTTTTCTCCACAAACGCCCTCATGTTGTCGATGCTCCATTTGACATCCCGCACGTGCTCCGATGACGGATTGTTGCCCCATTTTCCTTTTCCCGCCGATTTCGCCGCGTCCTCTAATTGTTGCAGACGGGTCAATTCGGGGGTCGGTTTCACCCCTTCTCGGCGCACTGAAGCCAGGCCTTCCGATACCAACGATTCCGTTATGTTTTCGGCACTGTTAATATCTAGAAGATAATCCCAAAAAAATGAGACTACTATTAAACACTAAAATAAAAAACTAATTAAAATTAAGCAAAAATATTGAAATGTTAGTCTAGGGTAGAACAATTGTTTTTTTTGAGGATATAAAAGAAAAATTAAAAAAGAAGGTAGGAGGAAAGAATAAATTGCATAATACAGTGTTTTAAATAATGTGCACTAAAGGTATCAGCTTTAGAAGTTTGTTCTTGAATAGATATTGTTTCTTTTTCTATGAAATGTAAACCTTGGTAAGGTATTGACCAGTCAAAATATTGTTATTATTAATTAATATGAAATAATTTTTGTTTGACAGAATTATATACCCTTTCCCAAGTAAATTGTCCCATATTCTCTGTTGGTGTTTGACGATTTTTCCAAGATGAACAGGATCTCCTCGCCAATGAGTTTCTTCCGAAGGAACTCTCTGGCCTCCCAGGCCCATGGTTCGTCTTTAGTTTCGGTCCTGAAAGTGTTCCAAACTTGCACACCCAGAGCGTCATAGCATCACTCTAGACTTACCCTGTAGCGTTTGCGTCCCCGGGTCGTCTCGCTAACTTGGGGGCGGTCACGCCGGAGAAGTTGATCTGTTTTTCGGGCGGCGGGGCACCCACCGAGGCCCTAATTATAACGGAATCCCCAGAGAGGATCTGGAACGCAACGCGGACGAAATTAGGTTAGCTCACATAATTTTCGACAAATCGTTAGTTAAGCCGGTCGCAACGGTGCAGTTGGATTTGACCGTACATTGCGTGCGACGAGATTAAAGACCGCGGGGCGATTAAATCTGAGAAAGGTAGGTTCCATATGTGGGGTGCCAACACGGCATATCCTCGCATAGGCCCTCAAATTTGCGACAAACGCACAAAGGATGTTTCAGCTTTGAGGTAGAGGGTGTTCCGGATTGCGAAACCACGGCACTAATAACTCACTAACCTGCTTAACGATTGCACGTTTGGGGACCGGAGGTTGCTGCGGTGTCGTCATCGTATAGCCATTAACTTGAGAGAGTGTTTTCGTCCGAAAGAGAACTGTCGAAATCAGCGCGACGTTAAATAAAGACAGCACTAATCAATGTCACGTTCGTAACGTTTTCGAATGAGCGACGTCTCCGTCGTGGCCGCGGGATTAGATAGAGACGAAGCACGGGAATTCCTACCTACCTGAAATCGGAACAAGCCGAGAGCGAGCGAGACGGGTAGGCGGCACGTCATCTGCCCGGTGGCAGTCACGTGACCCTCAGCAAGTGAAAGAGGTGTCGATGAGTATCGTCTGTGGACTACGGATTATTCTGGGCACAGACCACTAGTATTCTGTGCTACGGGCTTAAACCACAGAAGAATACTAACAAAAAGAGAAAGATAGGTGGATGTATCTCTCTCTCTTCAGTCGTTGTCCGTTTTCGGACGTCGTGACTCGTTCATGGATGTTGTGTAGTGACCCTTCGCCAAGCTTCTCTGTCCTCCACAGTACGCATCACTTGTGAGACCGACATTTGTGTGAGCTCCTTTATTTGATCTATATATCTCACTGGTGACCTTCCTCTTGCCCTTTTTCCATCAACCTTCCCCTGTATCATGAGTTTTTCCATACCGTCCTTTCGTATTACATGACCGAAGAATTTAAGCATACGTCGTTGTATTGTTGGTAATAATCTCTCATTTTCCCGTACTTTTAGTTCTCTTAAGATGGATGCGTTGGTGCGGTATGCTGTCCAGGGTATTCTCAGCATTCTTCGGTAGCATATCATTTCAAACGCCTCAATTCTTCTTCGAGATGCAGCATTTATGGTCCAGGATTCCGAGCCATACTCTGCAATGGGGAACACTAAAGATTTCACAAGTCTTGTTTTAGTTTCCTTGCGGATACGGTGGTCTTTCCAGATTTTAACCAGCCTTCCCAAAGCCTCCTTTGCCATCCCAATTCTTCTTTTAATCTCTTGTTCTGAACCACCTCTATTTGTTATCTTCGTGCCCAGATAAATAACCTCTTCTTTAACTTCTATGTCATGGATTTGCTGCAGTGGTAAAGGAATTGTTCCTGCCCGGTCTATTATCATCAGGTGGCATTTAGATCTATTTAGTCGCAGTCCGCACTCCAGGCTTACTTGCTCGATTCGTTGTAATAGTACACACATTTCTTGTTCGGTTTTAGCCACTGCGATAGTGTCGTCTGCGTATCGAAGGTTTGATATCTTTTTCCCTCCAATAGATACGCCACCCTTCCAGTTCCCCAACGCCTTCCTCATTATCCATTCTCCATAAATGTTGAAGAGTATGGGGGAGAGAATACATCCCTGCCTTACGCCTTTTCCAACTCTAAAATTTCCTGAGTATACTGCGCAAGAAATTACTATCATCATTGTTGGTCCGTCTACTGGATAAATGAATAGCCCTTCAAGTACTGTTTGATTGTGCACGACATTGGATTAATTCTCAAGTGTTATACTTAAAGCTTATTTCTGCCAAAGTATCTTATTTATCCGAAGTCTGCCTTGTTTTTGTGTATAATGGAGCTGATGGCTAAATCAATGTACAGCTTCCTAAAAGAATTTGCTTTACACTTATAGTGCTGCTTTTTAATGCGGTTGTATATCTTCGCATCGCTTGGGCAACTGATATTCTTTCAGTGGAGAAAAAGAAAGAATCTTGACGGTATTCAGCAATGGGCGAGTGTCTCTTATAGACTTGCGCAACGTTACGTAAAATGTAAAGAAATGCATGTAGATATTCCAAATTTGGTCAGTTGCCCCCTTTATATCCGATAGACACGTAGTTTAAAAACGTCTAAAATTTACTGAAAACATTCGATCCCATAATTGGTTATTTTAAAGTAGAGTGGAAAAATGTATTTAGCACGCATATGATAACTGAAGGTCTAGGGCGCAATTTCCTTCTTTTAAGACACCCAAACACAGGTGTAGCTGACATTTTTTTCTATGGACACTTTTTTAGAAAAACAGCCCAAAATGCTGAGATAATGTTTAATATTTTTTGGAACCCACGAAATACTCATTGTAAATAATTTTTTTTATATTTGAATTTGCTCTAGCTATTGTGTATAACCTGATATTATTCCCGCATGCTGTAAATGATTATCTGCGCCGCTGTGGGTACAGGAATCTTTACATTTGATTGATACATTGATAATTTGACTATTGCTGACTTTAGCGTGGCCCTACCGAAACATGCCCAATGTTTGTTATATTTTGGTAAATCGCCAAAATGCGTGTCATTTCAGAACTTAGTCCGTAGACTAAAATATGGTATACAGAAAAGTCCGCAACTCGCACTAATTTTAAATATGGAAACCGTACCAGGGTGAGTTTATAATAACTTCGCAACTATTTCGTCATAACAACGCCCTTGGATTGAGACCCCTCGCTATTCTTGAATGAAATATGTAATTGAGCTTTCGAAGGCGTTCTTTAACCATCACCTTGGACAAGATTACTTTGGGCGTTTAGTTACAATTTTACGACATCGATCAAATAAATATGAGTTAATCATCAATCTTAAAATAATTTCGTCTTATCTGTTTCTTATCAGCCGATAGAAACCGGCATCTTTGATTCGCAAGGTAATTATTTTTACGTTAACACAACCTCTCGCCAGGTGATTCTCCTGTTTATCATTCACCATGTCCTCAAAATTGAAACTTTATTATTTCGCGCCAAGCCCCGCAGTGAGATCCACCCTACTGACTGTAGCAGCTTTGGGGCTGGACGTCGAATTGATTACCGTTGACCTCGCCAAAGATGAACAAATGAAGCCCGATTTCTTGGAGGTACCCCATCATTTTTATTTTAATTTTTGACAGCTGGATAAATTGGTCGCGACCATGTTGTAGAAGAATCCCTTGCACACCGTGCCGACGCTAGAGCACGGCGACGTGGTGATCGCCGACAGTCACGCCATCAACGCGTATTTGGTCGGGAAGTTCGGCGAGAACGACTCCCTTTACCCCAAAGACCTCCATAAAAGGGCGCTCGTCGACCAAAGGTTGTACTGGGAGGCCGGAGTTTTGTTTCCTAGACTTGGAGCGGTAACGGTAAGCATTTATCCGAGTACCCAAAAAGTCCCCCATAATAAGGAAACTATACAGAGCGAGGAAGAGAGAAATATATATTTTTCGACTTTTTTTCAACATAGAAAATAAAATTTGTCATTCTTAAGATTATTTCGCATTGCTTCCGATATTAATGTCGAATAATGTGATAAGTTGAGTGTGTTAATGAATATTTAGGTTCCCCTGCTAGAAGGAGCGTCCAGAAAAATCGATAAAGCCAGTGCGGACAAGTTGCTCTTGACTTACCAGTCGCTCGAATCCATACTCGAACGCAGCCTCTACGTTTCGGGCAAAAATTTGACTATTGCTGACTTTAGCGTGGCCGCCACTTTTTCAAGCGCCAACGCGTTGGTTCCTGCCGCTTCGAACAGGTTCCCAACGGTCCACGAGTGGTTCGCCAGAATCCAGAGTCTGCCTTATTATAGCGAAGCGAACCAGAAAGGGTTGGATGCCCACGTCGCCATTATTAAAAGCTTTTTGGTTTAATTTCCATCATTAAATCTTCTGGTTGAAAATGTGGTTTTATTTTCATCCTCTCTTTATTTTTTATTGTGAAAGTACAGATGGTAAACATTTTTTTATCCCTTAGTGTTTATTCAATTATAAGTATAGTCTAAATTTTGGCAAAATAATTTGCCATGCCATACGGGTTCTTAATTTTAGAGAAACTCATTATTTTTCTTTCGCACTCGTACTGACCACAATGCGATTTTTGCAAAATTCCACACGCCAAAATTATAACTCTCGATATGATACCTACACTAATGTTTAAACCAAATTGGTTAATAATTTACACCTGATATAAATATTTGGAACCAATATTTTGGCACATATATGTCGTGCACATCGTCCAAATTAATTTACCCTACAAAAGGCAATTTTCAGAGATTTTTAGTTTTTTAATAATCACTGATACAACTTGTGGCAATATAAAAAAATATATATGTTCTTAAAAAAAATCTTCCCTAAGGTCAATAGGTTCTACCGGGGGACTAAACTTTACTTTTTCTCCAAATTTCAAATTAATATCTTCGAATTTCTAGCGCAGTGGACTGCTAAAAGGGAGTTAAATTTTAACCTGCTACGCACATATTTCTTTTCTACGCTATACCACATACTATTCTGGAGGCTACGTGGGCATTTAAAAAAAAAAAGAGTACAGTGTTATAGAACTAGTAATAAGTAATTCCCGACCACAGGAAAGTGCCCAAATGAATCTGTTTCTTCGCCTTCTTTGGTGACTTTATTTATTCGCTGAGACTCCCCAAATGATCTTTTGTGAAGGGGGACGCTGGGCGTATATACACGTACAAACTCCAATATAACGAGTTCGAAATTAAATTTATCGTTCCGCCGGTTTTTCAACAGGAAAACGCCAAGTATTCACAAGTTTAACGGTAAACCCAAGGTCGGATTTACGCCGCGTATAGTCACGACAACAAAGCGTTAATCTACCATCGAAAGCTACGCCATTTCGAACCGCATTCTTTGGCTGCCCCTATATCAGCCGCTCGACTATACCGCGGTATTTCCTTGACTCGAACCGCAGCGACTAACCCAGTACCACTTCCACAATTCCCCGATCTAATCGGTCGCGGAAAAAAATCCCGACACCCATGACTCGCCGCCTTTCGTCCAGTTTTCGACTTTTGACCGTCACGGCACCGTCGTCGTACTACCATGTCGAAACCGAAATTGTTCTATTCCCCCGTAAGTCCCGCCGTGAGGTCCACCCTTCTCACTATAGCCGCCCTTGATCTGGACGTCGACTTGGTACCTGTCAATTTGATGGCAGGAGAACATCTCAAGCCAGAGTACCTCAAGGTATGTACACCGCTGCTGCCACCTATGCTTTTTGAATAAATTCTTTAAATCTAAAAATAATGTTTTTTGTCGATAGTATTCTTCTCGATCGGGAAAAATTGAAACCCGCAATATTTAGCTGTTTTGTTCAAAAGTGAATTGTGTTATTTTGTATGTCGCGAAATAGTCGTAATTTTTACTACACTATACTAAGGTACAATACCTTATACTGTTAATTTCTATCTAACAATAATTACGCTAAATATGGTAAGGCCCTTATGAAGCAACTATGAAAAAAGAAATTGAGGAAGTTCATTCAACATGCGCATGTGCGAGATTTAAAATCTCACTTTTAACCAGTGATTTTGCGGCATTCAACAAATAACATGGCCGCTGACAGATTCTCAATAAATTTGGGTGCGGTATAATTACCGCAATATTTTCTCAAAATATGTCTAGAGATCTCGTTAGAGGTTCTGAGAAAACTAGTTAAATGTGTGGAAATTGTATGAAAATCGTTATATGTTAAATAATACATGGAGAAAGGAAACTTATTATTTTTAAATACGAAAAGATAATTTCGTATATAACAGAAAGCCTTAAATATTAATGGCCACAGCCACTAGTTGTACAAGATGTTTTGTTACTCTAAATGAGTGAATAAATATTTTATTAGAAACCTGAAATTACACCTCTTCCATTCCATTGGTATTGGTTAAGGTCCTCCATTATTATCGCGATTTTTGGCTAGATATTATTTTAGCAATAAAACAAATTAAATAAACACAAAAAACAAACGCAATTTGTCGGTTATATTCTTGACCTTTTCCCCGATTTCTATCACTTTTGGTCAATGGAATAGATTTCTCCCTTGACGGTAAAAATTTTTCAAGAATTTTGACATTTTACGGAAACCCTAAACTCCTAAAACCCTAGACTTTAGTAATAGTTACCTTGGTTTAAAGATTCTATGTTCGCTGAGGAAGCGCATACATTGCGAACGTATTCAGCAGACCCGGGAATCGCAGCCTTCAAATGTATTGCTTATTGTTTCGATTGCCTGAGGTGTAAGGTGTTTGCAGTGTAGTGCAGCAATATGTTATTTGACTTTGTTATGTAATCGGGCAAAATTTACTTACTTGTTTAACTCATTTTATTATATAGTTCTAATTAATTAATATGTGGGCATATTAATTATTTTATACCCCGCCTTTATTTGGAAAATTCATATCTAAAAATTCAAATACGTAAAAGCCCACAATCTGTGGGTGGATTTAGTTAAATGGTGAGCATGCGCATTGGCATCAATTAGTCGAATTGTTGTTGTCGGAGTTAAGCTTTGGAATATGTTGGTTGCCCATGGTTTTAGTTAGTTTTGGTTAGTTGTTGGTCATAAATGTCTTGTAATAAACTTTTTGTGCATTAGAAAAACCCCCTCCATACCGTGCCCACCCTAGAAGACGGCGACTTCACTATTTTCGACAGTCACGCAATCAACTCGTACTTGGTGGGCAAGTACGGGAAGAACGATTCTCTCTACCCTCAAGACCTCCGAAAAAGGGCGGTGGTGGATCAGCGGCTGCATTGGGATTCTGGCGTATTATTCCCCAGGATGGGGGCCATTGTGGTAAGTCGCGGTCGACGTCGATTATCCATAAATTAAAACCCGGCATGCAGGGCGCTTTGCTGCGTGGTGGTGCGAAAACCATCGAAAAGGACAAAGCGGACCTGGTGGTCCAAGCCTACCAATCGCTAGAGGCATTGCTGGACGGTCACTCGTACGTCGCCGGGGATCATCTGACAATCGCTGATTTCAGCTTGGTAGCCACATTGTCGAGCAGCAACGCAGCGATCGTCCCGGTAGCGTCCAACACTTTCCCGAAAATCAGCCAATGGTTGTCCAGGATGCAGGCCTTGCCTTATTACGCCCAGGCCAACCAAGTCGGTCTGGATATGTTCAAGGGCATGATCCAGAGCAAGCTGGCCTAGTTTTTAGTGTTCTCGCAACCGTTTCTTTTCACTCGCGCGGTACTTTTCTAATTCACTTGTCAAATCAATAAAGTTTCGAAAATAATATTTTACGATTTTTTTATTCGCGACATCTACATAAAAACCTTAAAATTATGTATTTTATTTACTTAAAATTAACGAAGGCGCATGACAGTTACACTAACGCCATAATCTAAAAGAAAATGTAGAACGCAATCAGTCGACCTCGAGTTTCCTAAAGTTTCCCGTGATGCCGCACAGCGAATGCGTATCTTTCTCGGATCCACACGATATACCGCCCCTTTTAAGGGCGGAAACGGCGCCCTCTTTCGCCTTTTGGCTGAACATCGCCTCATTAACTTCCATGTCGTCGTTTGACATCAGCACGGGATGCGCCTCGAATAGTTCCTCTTTCCAGAGTTCTGTCAAACGAAACTTGTTAAAAGGTTAGAGTAAGACACTGAAATAGGATCATTTGATCCAACGTAATTTTTACACCCATTTTTTCAGCATATAATCATTATTGGCAGCAATGTTTTAAATGGTGGGATCCACCAAACGACTTTAGAAAAGCTCGTCCGTTTTCAGTAAACTTAGTCTTTAATGGTCTGAAATTACCTATCATTTGGGCCATGGGCATTTCACCGCCGTATTCTTTGGGTAAGACGCCCCGTTCCACATGTCCCGCTTCCAGACACTCGTCCAAGTTGGAATAGAGTCTCACGCGACTTCGGATCTTTTCGGATATCAAGCCCATTCCCCAGTCCAATGCGAATTTCATTGAAGGGTGGATGTTAAAACCGTGAACCTCTTTGTGTCTCATCGGCAGGGTTTTCTTGAAAGAAAAGTGTGCAAAATGGCGATTTTTTTTGCCGTAAATGATATTACTCCCAGAAAATCCAAAAAATAGGTACTAGGGACAGCAACTAAAGTGACACTTATACTTAATACAGTTTCTGAATTGGTAGTACCCATACTTAGTATTCTATTAATAATAATTGTTTTATTTACTGATTTTCATCTCTGTTAGTAGATTATATTGAAGTGAACGTAACGGTCAATATTAATAATATCAGTAAAACTAAGTTTTTTAGACAGGTCTACATGTTTATTTATTTTTTAGAGAATAATTATAATAACCCAATCTGTTTGACACTTTTGCCTTGCATTTGAGCCCGTAGCTGCTAAAATGAACACTTCATTATTTAAAATCAAGGCAAATTGTGTTATTATTTAAGTAAGACTTTCGGTTTGGTGGTAAAAGTAAATTCCAAACTTGTGGCACAGAAATTGAGTTTCAAATTTAACAGAAAGCAATCTTTGATTTCAAGCAGCGCTGCGAAACTTATTTAAGCCATCAGCGCCCAGGTGGCGTAACCGGTATGATTTGAATTTTAAAGATATTTATTGGTATAATTGATTTTCATCGCTAAATCAACTTTAGTTACGGTCAAAGTTGTTAAAAACTCCGTAAAATCAGGACCGAATGACGAATTTTGGACTGTTTCGGCGTGCCTTGGGCCTGCCATTCGCCATATCATCGAGCGGAAAGATAATTTTATATCCTTCTCTCAGCAGGAACAAGTACGTAGTTTTTTTTGCGTGCAATGGACTAGTTTATTCCACCCAAAAGTTGTTCAAAATATGCACGAACTTTATATCAGTCATAACAGATATTACCGTATCCATACAAACCGCAGGGTTAATACCTCTCCATTTTTAACGATACGAACTGCTTCGCGGATTGTGAACAGGGTCAAGTAAGCGAAACCGACACCTCCGCCATCAGCGAAATGCACGAAACCCCTGACTTGGTTCTCCTCGTCCTCCATCAGCGTTTCGTAGACGATACCGTGGATGCGACACATGTCGGCGTTGGTGAAACGGTCTAGGTCGAACACCCCTGCAAGTTGTAACTGACTGTATTAATCAGATGTCCTTGGACTTGCAGACACGGTATAAATTCAGGATTACTCTAAAGCGTGGGTAGGGAAAAACGTTAGTCTGCTTTACAGCCGGCTCTATAACGGCTACATACGCACAGGAGTGGGGACATACGTTTGGTATTTGTTCTTCAACATAGATTTGCTATATATTGATGTGTTTGATAGGTATTAGTGACCCAACTACGGTAAAAGTTGATGCGCATTGGTGGCACCGATATTTTCATAGAGAAGAGGACGTTTTTCCTCGCATGCCTCTACGTTTAACCCACTAACATGCAATTTACACCACACACTTAAATCGTTTAAAAACAAGATTTTAAATCCTTCTCATAATGATTATAGTTGCTATAGTTCATAAATATAAGAAAGTGACCAATTGCTTTTTTATGGGATTATCCAAGGGTGGTCATTAACATACAATGCAACAAGATTATTACCTAAGGTTTCAGAATTTAAATTCAGGTAAAATTGTGGTCCGTAATAAAAAATAATTGTATACCTACCTGTGTTTAATATTCTTTGGTTTGCTATACTACTTAGTTTAAGTTTATTAGTAATTATTCATGTTGAATCGTGTGCGAATTATGGCAAAATATGTGCGAGTCTAGTGTATCTCAGGAGATGCTCCCACCCAAATGCAGAAAACAGTATTCTATTGTCACTAAGGAAGTTATAAACAATGTTTATTTGACTTTCATTGAACGTGGTAGATGAAACGGCCACATTGACGAAAATTAAAACATCAACTGTATGGAAAATTGTGAATAATCCCAATTCAGCGAGCAAAAAAGAAGCGATGCTGACTTTTTTTCGAGTGTAGATGAAAGTGATCAAGATATAAACGGCGTAAAATTTGCCAGTTATACGAGGAACAAAGCGTGCCTACATTAGATATCTTAATTAAGAGGCTTGAAAAAGATGAAACCCGTGTTAAATCTGGCAGAACTAACTGATAGAAGTGTATTCAACACATGGGTGTAGATTTAAAAAAAATGGCAAAAGGCAAGTTTTAATGGAATCTTTTAGAATTCGGAAACGGCGACCGGAATATCTAGAAAAAAATAGGATTTACAGAGAACAACAAAGGCCAATTATTTACCCTTTGAAATCTGGTTCGACACTTATGAAACCCCGGACTGGGTTGACTCAACTAATAAGTATAAAACAAACGCGCCATCAAAAAGAGGTAAAAGAATAACTATTTTGCATGCTGGCTCTAAAGATGGTTGGATTCCAAATGGAATTTCTCTGTCTACAAAAAATATTAAAGATTCTTCTCTGGATTACTATGAAGACACTACCGCTGATTTATTTGAAAGTTGATTTAAAAACAAACTAGTTCCAAACATTCCTCCTAATAGCGTAATTGTAATGGAAAATGCAAGTTATCCCAGTAGACAGTTGATTAAAACCCCTTTCTCATGTGACACAAAAGCAACAATCCAAAACTACATGTATAATAACGACATTTATTTTCACGAAGATTATACCAAAAAGCAATTAATTGAGGTTCTACGAAGCTTGTGAATAATTTTAAGTAATTTAAATAGGTAATAAAAATAATTTGTAATTTTATTTTAGATTTAAACATAAATAATAAAACATAAATAAATAAATATTGTTTAGTATCTTTCGTAACAAAACCCCAAATAATTAAATTCTAAGCAAAATACGGACCTGTTCAGCCATATTTCATTCTTACAGCTTGCCCGGGTCTTTCATTAATTCGTTTCAGTTAGTCACTTTCTTATATCTATGAACAGACTTTACCCAGGAGTGTGTAGTTCTGTCAATCTCTCTTGAATACCTGTAACCCAGTAAGTAGAAAATTTAGCACCCTTTTATTGCGCTCAATTATCTTACCTTAAAGGGTGCGTTTTGTTAAATTCAGGGCTTAGCCTTCATATTCTTGTAAAAGAATTGGTTTACATTTTTAAGATTTTTTTCGATAGCAGGATACAATATAGTCGAGAATTTAATTATGTATTTTATTTTATTATTTTAATTATTTATTTACATGCAAACAAAATTTAAATCCAATTACAGTTTTGGTACACTTTTATTAAGACAAAAAGGGCTACCAACTTTTGAAAATTGACATCTATTAAAAGAAACGAAAAAAAAAGGAATGCAGTTTATCGCTAAAACCTAAAATTAGAGATGTGAAATGTTTTTAATGATTGATTTCTCTTTCATAACTTAGTTTATGCAAATTTTCAAAATGTGATAAAAAATGGGATCAAGCAAATACGCCGAAAAAGGAGTATTTTGGAAAACTGCTTATTATAAATAATTATAAATAGTACTAAAAACAATAATTTCAAAGACCACGTGCTTACTGTTTTCAATTGAAAAAAAAAACAAGCAATAAATGAAATTACCCCAAAACCAAAAAAAAACGAAAAAAAAAAACAATACAAGACAAAAAAATGAGGTCAAGCAAGAACGATGAAGGGAATGTTAAAGCATGAAAGTATCAAAGGTCAATTTTTAATTTAGAAATAGTTCTTGTTAAAGTAAAAAGCAATGCATATTTACGCCGTCATCAGTTAAGTTCTAGGCTGACTATTTTTATCAAATGTTCTATTTTTTTAAATCCTTACCGTATTATTGCTTTTATTTGCCAAAACACAACAAAAAATATCTGGAATTTTGTTTCTTTTGCTGCCCTTAATAGGCGTTACCTGGTCTCGCTATAATCACTCGTCGCCCTTTGCTATCTCGCTTGGGGGATGCGAACATGTACCCCAGATCGGTGAGGTCTCTCATCATCGGTATGGTGATGTCCAGGCAGTTGAAGGCCACCCCGAACGTCTGCCGCAACAGGACGTAACGCTCGAGTGCTTCTTGCGCCTGCACCACGCTGAATTTCTTGAAACGCAGGAACCTCAGCAGGAAACTGGCGTCTAGAACAGCGCAGATACGTGGAATAGATGCGAGGGGCGACCGCGGTCATTTATACCCATGCGACACTTTTTAATTTTTGGGTTTTGGGTGATCCATTCGCGCATAGATTCCAGCGCAGATTCCCGCGAACGTTCGTCTTCGCGTAGCTCGACTCTGGCGACCTCTTGCGTTTCTTTCGTTAGGCCGCAGACGTACACGTCAGGCTCCGTTAGCCACTTGGGTTCCGACGACATTTTCTCCGACGATTTTTCTCAAAGGCGTACACGAGACTTAAAAAAATGACGAAAAAACTCCTTCAGGGAGATAGAGTGAGAGAGAGAGAGAGAGAAATAAGCTGATAAGGTAATATAAATGACCAAGACAAGACAAGTTGGTAAATTTGCCTGCCGCAAAATATGAAATATACTAGAGAACAAGTAAATATTAGAGACAGGCTTGAATGTGTAGTCCATTTTTTTGGATGTAGAGGGACATAAAGGAATCATTGCGGTCTGTTTTGTGTATTTGTTAAGTGCATTTGTCTCGTTAGTATTTTAATTGTATGGCAGGATTTCCAATTACACTAGTTATGAGAAAGATACATTAAATCATTTTCATTGTAGAGATCATCTATGGAGTAGTATAGTGGCAGGACACAAACACCAAAAAATTTGAAAAAAATTGCAATTGCCATTTCAACTTAATTGCAATTTAAAAATTCTTGTATCAAAATGTTCTATAGTCTTTTCTCTAGATTCCTGTTTATACCCAAATGATCTACTAAGCATTAGAGACGCGTTTCCTTAACCATATAAAACTAAACATTAGACTTATAAATCTATTAATTCTCAAACAATCGCGGCACCATATTTTAAGGAACTGGTAAGCAAGAAACTGTTCTCTTACACATTTGTGACATGTTTGAGGTTGGGTTTAGTTATATTGTAGGTACCAATTAGATTGAATTAGGGATGACTTTAGTCTATAGCTACTAAATAATTTAGGCGGCAATGACGTTTTTGTTGTCATATTTTGAGGAAATACTATCTTAAAAATGCTACATCTTAACAGTATCCATGGGCAGGGTCTTTATATATCTCGTAGCTATATGCTTAGTAGCTTAGAAAATGAAAACCGCTCTTAACCTAAATTATTATTAATATAAGTATAAGGAAGCCCTTATTGCTACGGCCCTTCGTTGGTGCGATGTTACAAATTTATGTTAGAATCACGTTAACAAGTGCTCTAATCCCGAAATATGGGCCACGCATCCAGGTAAATCAATAAACGAAAAATTAGTGCGTTGTTTGGCAATATTCGCGTCAAATTGCTTATTGGGCAGCCGCAAAGATCACGGGAAGCTCGCGTCTTGGTGAAAGTGAGTGATGTAAGCAAAAACGTAACCTGTTACATCATGCGTCAATAATGCCGGTTGTTTAATTCGAGTTACACTTTTGCGCGATCCATCTGTTTGGGGCGTAAGTAGGTCGGCTGTGAATCGCCTTTGGTAGTAATTATTGGCCAAGTAGGCTGCAAAAACACCTGAAACTGATCCAATGGCATCTGCTTTATCTTAACTTCATAACAGTTCAATCGGTAACTGTTCAAACAAAATACGCCTGTGTGAATGCCAGTTAAGGGTTCGATTGGTCATATAACTTGCCACTAAGTATCGTTGTACCCTTTTTATTTTAGTTTAATGTGGCGTCATAGCACACCATACAATTTAATCAGGTTTAACGTCCTTTTTTTGACGTTTTTTTTCCTGGGAGATGCACTCACGGACTTGTCGTTATTAATAATCCTTATAAGTCGACAATTGTACAAGTAGGAAAACTTAATCGAAAAAATGGTCCTGTATTATCCCTTTCATTAGCACAATACTGAGCTAACGAAGCCATAAATAATTATTGCATACGAAGATTTAGGTATAGTTTTTCATGCAAAGAGAAAAAACTAGTACGAACAATATGTATAGATCTCAAAAAAAATATTTGTTGCTGGAAAACATCCTCCTTCCAATTACTTTTAAATTGTTTCATATAATTTAGCAAAAAATTGACCTGAAGTTTATATTTCTGGGTGTCTTGGACGCTAAACTAAAAGAAATGTTGTTTTTACTGTTTTTGAGAAGGAGAATAAAAAAATAATGGTTTATTTTCAGTAAAACGAGAACATTATGCAAACAGTATGGTGGGTATTGTTATTAAAGGAAATGTACGTGTAAATTATTTTTCAAATTGATTTATAGTTATAATTTTTCATCGTCTCTCCTGCAACCGATAATAGACTATTAGCAGTCAATTTTCATCGTGCCTGACAATTACAGTTAATAACAACGTTACTAAGACATTAACGAAACCGAATTTCATGTTTAATAAACCAAAGCGACACTCACCTAAATCGAGATGTCAAAAACTCACAAAACTAAAATGAAAATTCGTGGAGACCGATTTCGGCACCCCACGAATTAAAGGAATAATGGACTGGCTCGGAATAATCGAATTTTACAGTAATATTACTTCGAGATCTACGTAAAAGGCTGACCCCTCCTTTAGCCATTTCTTCGTCCTTCTCTTTCGCTTTCATCCTCTCGCTTTCTTCAGCGTATGTAGAACAAGTTTCGTTTTTTTTTGTGCGCGTGGTCGGGCATGAAAATGATTATGGTAGCCCGCTAAGTGGAATAGTGTTACAACTCGAGAGCTTCTTCGTCGACACGTAATGGTTTTGCAATTCAATTGTACTGAACAAAGTTGGGGGTAGACAAAATGAATCGTTATAAACAAAAGTTTAAGAGGACAACAAGTCTGGCTATAATTTGACACCCCATCCAAATGGTTTGTAGTAAGCTACGTCACAAAAATGTATATACAAAATTGCAAGGATTCTCTTGAAGCACTGGAATTACACGACTGAAAGCCGGAAATCAAGAAACACGTATGCGGTAGCTCTGATGACCGATATATCAACACAACATAAGGTTAACATTCATATTTAAAAAATTTGGTAATTTTGTTAAATTGTAATGTAAGTTAGAAAAGTTAGTAAGAAAAAAGATTAGTTTTGATTGAGTATTTATTAATAATACATATATATACAATATTTTTTTAAATGATTTTTCATATTAATTTATGAACACTTAGGTAATGTATAAACAACTGTTTGGACCTTAAGCAAAATTATTAGTTTCTCTGACATTTATGACGTTTCTTTAATCGTCATGGAGACCATGGAAATACAATCAAAATAAAAAAAGATATATATTACAATACTATAAACAATATATTAAGCAACAAGTTTTATAAGCAGAGCCAGTGATTATAATAAAAAATAAAATTTGTTTAAACGCTCCTTTGTTAAGCACTCATTCCGCTCGTGAATAAAGGGCAGTTTACAAAACTTAGTATACTATACTATATACAATGTACATATGAGATATTGATCACGGGAATTCGTGAGGTTCTGGGATTTTTCGCCCCACGTGGCAACATGCGAGTTTTAATCTTTTGTCTGTTGGCGGCGTCTTATAAAAAACGGTACTTGTTGTGTGTGCGGTAACACTACTGACCCACATGGCGGTAATTTCGGTTCCTGGTTCCACAATTTTCATTGGGCCGGTGTTATTTAATAGATTGCGTAATAAGCGCACGTAAGCTTAAGCAAATCGCCCAATGCGTGTTGAATTGTATGGGTAATAGATAACGGAAAAAATCGATAGAATATAATATGTTTATAGGTGTAATTGGAAAAGAAAAAGAATGAAAAAATAGGTCATAGCGCAAGGGGCCAAAGGCTTCCTTCCCCTTTCGATAGTTATGTTATGCAAAAAATCCATACACAGAGAGACTGATTTTGTAATGCCTACACAAGCTATATTGTGGCCGAAATACAAGTTTTTAAAAAGTTTCATTAATGTACATGGACGTTATGGTTACTTTTTAAAATTACTTTTATATTATATGGTTGTGCGAAAAGTGCAAAATGTCTCAAAGTTATATTTTTTAATTCCATATACTATAGCATTTTTCTATTCTACGCTCAAAATAAGTGTTGCTTCTAAGAATGGTTACGATACCGAAATCTTAAGATATTTTGATTAATTTCAATTGTGTCAAAATATAAATGATATTTCTCATCCTATATAGGTTGTCCAAAAATTTATTGCAATCTAATAAGAATTTATTTATTTATCATTCGCATAAAAATGCTAATCACAAAACTGTAATGATATTGTAAACATGAATGTAAAAATCGCACGTAAAATACTTCCTTATTAACGGTCAAAGGCCTGGAAGTTGATTCAAGTATTACTTTTTGTGTTTAAAAAGAGTGATACGAATTTACAAGAGACTTCACTGAATTCTATTTAAAGGAAAATTGACATAAGGATTTTATGGTTTACCAAGGCAGGTTCTTATTTATTTCTTAGTTTAATAGCAAATGAACTTTTTGATTATGCCATTGAGTATGGGCACATCCTATGATTGATCTTAGAACACGTGAAATTATGGTTTTTCGTTCCATTTGGTGCCTAAATAAAATACGTTTGGAAGTGGATTCAAAGTGTGTTATTAGAAGTTACAAGTTGTTTATATAAGCATATTCTTACCAAGTTAGAAGAAAGGCAGCAGACAGCATGTGTTTTGGTTAGAGCATTGGTCGATGTTGATATTTTAGTGGACAAGCTTTATTCATATGGTATTAGAGGTAACGCCTTAAGTTGGTTAAGGTCTTTTCTTGGAGGTCGTACGCAGTTGGTCAAATTGAGAGATACCTTAGGATTTGAATACGTCTCTGATTCCAGGTCCTCGGTCCTTTATTGTTTATAGTGTTTATAAATGATATATTTTCATCTTTCCCCCAAACTTACTTTTCCCTTTTTGCTGATGATGCAGTGTCTACTCTTTCTGCAGCATCATCTGCGCAACTTAGCATTGCAACCAAGACAATTGTTGAGCAAATGAAACATTATGAAGAAATTAACAAATTGATATTGAATGAAAGTAAAACTGAGATGATCGCCTTTTCAAAACGGGATTTAAATAAGAGTTTATTAGTACGCTTTAATGAAAGCACAATTCAACAGAAAAGTGTTGTAAAATTCATCGGAGTCTATGTAGACTCGAGATTCTCCTGGTTCGAACAGGTGGATCACAGTCTCAAAAAACTTTCTGTTTACTGCTTTGTCATATGGAGGCTCCGCCATCAGGTTTCTTTCCCCTTGTTAAAAATGGAATATCTTTCGTATATCTATTCCTGTCTCAACTACGCCTTGGTTTGTTAGGGAGGTTCCCCACGCGCGGAGCAAGTCTTTAGGATGTAGAAACGCATTTTACGGACTATACTCTTTAAGCCCTGGAATTTTTCAGTCGGGACCTATTTCCACAACACTCTTTATTGACACTTGCTAGTATGTAGATACTTAATTGTGCCACGTATGTAAAAAGTAACTCTAATCTTTATATGCCCTCAAGAAACTCAGATATTCAGTACAGTTTAAGACCGAATCTTAACATGAAAATACCCACACATCGATTGTCTATTAAAGCAAATAGTCCCTTTGTTTTGACTGTACAAATTTATAATAAATTGCATATCGAACTGAAGGAGATAACTAGTCAAACAAATTTCAATTGCACGCTTAAAGACAAATTGCTACGCCTCGCCTGTTACAATATTAAGGATTTTCTTTCTTGTGATACCTTTTAATACGTATTCATTGTTTGTTATTGTTTATATATTTGTTATTTATCTATCAGTATTACTTATTATTATTATAATTATTATTAATTATATGTATTAATTAATCAAATTATTTAAGACTCGTTAAGTTGTAGGCATCAAAAATCTTTTCAAACTGGGATAACTTTAGTATTTTTGTGACAACCTTATAATGTGAATGAACTTTTTTAAAAACCTTTTTATTTAGCCACTATCTTCCGTGTCGCATAGCGTGAAAAACCTTGTGTGCTGATATATTTTTTTTTCACGTATTGATTCACGGATGGAAAAATATGATGACACTATATTCTATATATATAACGTCTGCAGGATTCCAGTCGGAGTTCAACAAGCGAACGGATGATATCCCGGAATACAGTGTCATCATATATATATATATATATATATATATATATATATATATATATATATATATATATATATATATATATATATATATATATATAATGTTATCTGCAATTTTGAGGGTTTGAGTGTCCTGCAACACTCAATTTCTTAGCTCGCCACCGGCACCAAATCACAGGAGACAACAAATAAAAACTGACCATTACTTACAGGAATAACTCCGGAACGGTCCGGAATTTTGACGTTCCCGACGAAATTTTAATTATGGAAAACCTTACCGGACGATGATTTGCCAGCAGCCTGCAAAAATACCCTCGATTGGCAGCTATAGATGGAAGAACGTTCACTGCAGACCGCGATGGTTCACTTTCGTGCCGCACTTACGCCCATTGTAAAATATTTCGCGTTAAGCTATAATTAGGGTTTTAATTAATAGTCTATCTTATTGGGACAAACTGCAAGCGTGCAATAATAAATAATTTTGTAAATTGGGGAACAAAGTTTGACAAATCGTTTTCCGTCGTTTTTAAATTTTACTGTGTAATATATATTTCAAGATATTCAATTTTTAAGTAGAAAAAGAAATACACTTTAAATTATGATGAGGCAATCAAATAAAATAATTTAAATATATTCGCAGTGTAACAATAGAAACAATAAAATAAACTGTTTTTATTTTTTGTTCAATTTTAAAGGGTTATTAATGACAAATACAAAAAGAAAACCTATTAAACTGGCTTTATCATTTCTTGGTATGTAATTTTTAACAAGCCTTAGTTTGTTACATTCCATTGGGCAAAACTGAAGTTATAGCTATTCATTTAAAAATAACACACACAGCAGGTTATTTAGAACAAAATTGTTACGATTTTTCTTTGGGCATGAGCATTTTTTTGCTATACTATTATTACTTATACTTACTATTAGTATTACGCCCTCTTACGGCAGACCTTGAAACTTGTAAAAGCGTTTTTTCGGTTGGTCATTTTTATTAAGAACGTTTTTTTCCTGTTATCTATACTACTCTAAGTGATATGAAGATTAAGAAAATCGGCTTCCACAGAGTTTTTATGTTTATATTATGTTTTATATTATCTTGTATGTTGGGGTTACTCATCGCGCTCTAACAGAGTTTTTAAATTGGAAAAGCGGATCATGTCCTTTAAACCTCATTGTTTTTCTTGTCAACTGTCGCCGTCAATGAGATTTGGCTCTTTGAAACATTTTTAAGTCCAACTTGACATGTAAACAATAAAGACCTTTATTTATTTCTCTTAGAGAGAAATAAATAAATTGTCCTTTGTGGGATTTTAGAAAAAAAAATCAATTTGCGGGATGTTATTAACGTGTAAGTTTTCGTATATTTTTCACAATACCTTCGGGAAAAAATTTGAAGATAATAATCACGGGTCCTGTTGACCATTCGTTTTCCTAATACCGTACTTCGGCGCCCTTACTGGGATACTTGGTATGTGTTTAAATTGTTTTGTTTTCTTTTTGACAATATCCGACACTCGACACAAGTCTAAATCAATATAAATGGTTTCAAATTTTGAATTTTCTTAACTGATCACCCTGATCGCTATAGAGCCGAAGCAGTTCGACTTGGTTGAATATATTTCAGTGGATTTATCAAAGTTATCAAAAGCTAATGTTTTATTTCCAGTTCCATGCGTCGGGTTGTATAATACGACCAAAAATATAGTGCATCTATTGCTTTGACGCTTTAAGTGTTTTACCTTACCTTAACCGCAGACCTTTGCAGGACCGTGGTAAAACCCAACCCAACAGATGTTTATTCTGAATTGAGTAGGTCGTGCCTAAGATGGACCGTAACGAATATTTCTAGAAATTTTTATTTGAAACGTAAATTTGATTAAGCATTGATGCTGCTGGTATTTTCGAATAAGTAGAAACTTTTATTTTAACATCAGGTGATATGTATCGTTCTTAAGGGTTTAATCTAAATTGCAATGTTTGTGTATATTACGGAGGTATTTAACTGTGATCCCTCCAGTAAGTACGTATTTATGTACCTGATTCTCGAGCTTTGATCCTACGATGCTGTTTTCACTGGACAGTCCAAAGGGTAAGGGTAAGTACTTATCTTACAGGTAAGTTTGAAAATGATCATTTTTGTCTTGTGCGCTTGTCGATTAACAACATTCTTCTTCTTATATTTTTGTATCTTCTACATAGTTATTCGATTTGTAAACAATAACAGTCTTTTTTAAAACTATAGATCACATTCGCGGTAGATAAAGGTACGTCATAAGAATACAGACAAATATTTATCAGAATCTTACAATTAAACATTTTTTGAAGATTCCTGTTCTTTCACACTTTAAAATGTGGAGACCGTGAATGAAGTAGATATTCTCTTGTTAGAAGGAGACATGGAAAACAACGCAGAATTTGAAGACGAAGTGGAGATGGTAGTCGAACCTAATGACAGTTTAGAAGATGAACTATTCCAGCAAACTGATCCGTTTGTCTTCGGATGCTAAACAAATTGTTTTCAATGTTTGCAGTTTTATAAGAAATTCAGATAGGGAAATAGGAGCAGCAATAAAAACAAGTGATATGACCAAAGTTCCGAAGTCAGCTGTAAGAAAAATTGTTGCAAAGGGGATAGTCAAGAGGAAAGTGAGAGAAAATGTTGGTATTTCGCGAGGTTTAAAGAGCAACACGCAGATCTAATTAGGCGTGTAATCTACGACGCTTATAAAATGTTTTAACCCTAGAACAACTGCATAAAAATGACTGACAGACTTAAACGTTAGTTGTGCCAAAGAGTCGTTGCGTACTTTTTTGAAGAAAATGGATTTTCATTTTCATGACCGCGGGACTATTTAAGGACTGGTTTGAAAATCAACTATTGCAAAACTATCTCCAGTTGGATAATGCCTCGTATCATTTAACCCAAATTAGAAAAATAACAAATACTTCTTCATATAAAGAAGAAATAATAGAATTTCTGTACGAAAATGATTTATATTTTGTAAAGAGCTACATGAAAAACAGCTTCTGGAATTACATGTTTCAAGAATTGCTCGGCGAAAAAGATTGAAAACATACTTATATCCCGCTTGTTAGTATAGGTAGATAAATTCCTAGGATAGTCCTGGAATGGTTGTGGGTAAGGTTCTACTGGATAGGGTGTTTTGGAGTAATACACAGTAAACAGTAAAAGCACTATATTTCTGGTCGAAGTATAATCGCCCGTTTATTAAACCGATATTCCGAAAAAAACTCGAAAAACGTTACCTGCCCAAATTTCAACCCTTCCACCTGATGATCCACCGCCTCATTATACGACCTACGTCAACTCCTTCGCAGCCCATCAATCATCGACCACGACGACCCCGCGGACAAACAACGGCCGCTCCCCTCCCACCCGGCGCCCCGAAAAAGCTCGCCCCTAATTATTTCTGACGGCGGACGCACCCCCTCCCGTGCGACCCCTGCAACCCCAACCTCGGCGCACTTCACGCTAAACGACAAAAACGTATGAACTAATAACGGAGCACCTGTTAATTTTTGCAGGACGCGCATGTGTGCGTGCCGTCGTTTCAGCAGCGATTTTCAGCGACGGGCGGCTTCAGTCCGGCTGAAAACCACGGGACGGGTAAGAGCGCCGCCTCTTTCGACGGCGGAGTTACGCGACATCGCAACCCCTACACGAGAGAGCACACGCAGACCTTTCCCCGACGACGATGCGTTTGAAGTCGACGTCAGAACGTCATTGATACGTCGGGACGTGTCGCCGTTTTCATGGTGGTTAAACATTAGATCTTGGTGAACTTTCGGTGGTGATTGCATAAAACTGGGAAAAACGATGGGACCGCATCCGTGGTGCGTCGCGATCATGGTCTGTCTCGCTACGTTCTTCGGCGTTTCAGGTGGGCTATTTGCGGACGTTTCGGTTGTTTTTCCGGTTACGGCGGCAGGTTATCGAGTCTGATGTAGCTTGACCGTGTTAGACAAGAAAAACAACGGATCACACACCTTTTCCTCAGAAAATGTAAACGTAATTTTTGTCAGTACCAATGTGGCGACAACCCTGCCTGGTTCTAGGTAGCCATTTGTGTCTTTTTTTTTAATAAACTCAGCCAACATTTTACCATTCACGATTCCACATCAAGCTGCATCTACCGGTCAGTACAAATCATTATTTTTTTTTAGTAGTTTATCAATAGTTATCATACAATAATAATGATACCGTGATACAATTTAAGTTGATCAGATATTGAATAAGCAACACTAATACTAAATACCTGTTAATTTATTAGCACTGGCTTGACCCTTAACCCTACATAATCTATTTTTTCGTTGTTCATTGTGACAGTTCTCGATACTCTGGTATCTGTTTTAAATTTATTTAATTTTTCTTAAATTAAATTATGGTTATAACATCTCTTTAAAGAAAGAAAACTATCGAGATAATGCAAGGTTAACCGTCCATTGACCACTTCTTAATTGAATTGAATTGTTTTAAATAACCTCTGGCAATTGTAGAGTGTTACCTGTCATTATTTAATAATAATATGTATTTTATAATACTGGAATACTATACTTGGCGATTCGGTGAATCCCAATAAAAATATCCTCATCATTTTGTTCTCAGAACGACGCGATTTCTACGTCACGGGTAATATAAATAAATAAACATAAATTTCAATGTATTTTTTCTATTATTTCGGTCAATTAACTGGCCAATTCACTGGTCAATTGACTGATCAATTGACAAAAAAAAGACTAGTCAATTTCACAACCCCACGAAAAACATTTCCAAAACATTAACATCTTGTCATAAAATTTCGCTTAAACGAAAATTTAGAGGTATGAGTTGAAATTTGCAAGGTAAAATATATAATACTCAATTTTAAAATCTTAAGAGAAAGCACAAAATTTGAAAGCAAATTTTAGAATTAAATCTCAAAATTTTGAAATGTTGAGTCACAAATCGATATTTTAGCCTAAAATTTTAAAATTTCTCATAAAACACAATATTTTAGGGAATTACATTTTTTTAAATTTTAATATTTCAAATTATTTTTTTATTTTTTATTATTTTTGTGGACACATTGCCAATATCAGCAGAAATTTTTTTTGTTCGTTCGTGTTTTGCGAATATTTATTAGCAAAAGGCCGGCCTCGCCATTTCGTAATTATTATTTTCGTATTTTATAAACAAAACTATTCGCTTAGTTGTAGGCCAGATATTTGTCTCGCGTACGTGTTTCGTTTGCGATTTATTTATAGGCGTCAAGCGAATATAGAACGGGCCTATTTTAAAACCGATCTTGTTTGATGTCACTATTAACGGAACAGCAACAAGTCCGTCTCGAAATATACAGTCAATAAACGACCTGTGCCACGAAGAAAACTAACTCCAGGACATGCAAACTATAGAAGACTTCGCTAGCAATTGGCAGGCTTCAGATAGTTTTCATTTACTTATTTATTTTTACAGTGTAAAACGCGTTATTAAACTCTAACGCAAGTGCATTACAGTAAATTAAAAAAATAATACAAATGTAAGCGAAAAATAAAAGTTGCTCCAAAAACGACCTCTACATAAATGTAAAAGCCCTGCAATAATTGTGACCTATTTATAAATTGAAAAGTGACTAATTGGATTCTCTTTACATCGATTAAGTAGCGGATAATTAAATACTTATGTACTAAGCGGAGATTTTACTAGTTTGCGTCGTATGGTTGCTTAAGGTTGCTTGGGTGCGCCAAATTGGACAACTTTGAAAGAAAAACTCCCCTTCAAAAGGGAAATGAACGAAAAAGGATGTCTCATTGAGTCCCATTTTCATAAAAAATATAATTAAAAATGAATTGAAAATCGTTTTACCCTTCTCGTTATAAAAATTTTTGATTTTCCAAAGCCTCTTTTCTTCAAAGAAGTTTGGGGGTCTAAAAAAAGCATTTTTAAAATGTAGTTTAATAGTTGAATTATAAAAATATTAAAGAAAATTCCTTACTGGTTCAGTATGGTACTATATTTATTTGGTAAATGTCAATTTTGCTCGAGTCTTTTTGAAAATTGAGCCCCAGAGGCCGCTGTACATTTCGTACAGTTCGAAAAAGCATGTACACCGTGTGCCAAATAAAACGACCCACTTTACGATCTGTTTCTTACAAAAGTTTCTTGGCCTCTACTTAAGATTTAAAATATTATAATTTTGTTGACACAGGGTGTCGCATTTTTGGAATCCTTGGTTAATGTCGAAATATACAGGGTGTTCCATTTAAAATAACATAGTTGATGTCGGGCGGGACAATTTTGGGACACCCTGTATCAACAAAATTATATTTTTTTAAATATTCAGGAGAGTCCAAGAAACTTTTGTACGAAACTTTTTTTCGTATCTTTTATGGGTTAAGAGATCGTATAGTGGCTCGTTTTATTTGGCACACGGTGTACATCAAAATAAATGCATGGAGAAAACGCCAACTTAACGAAATTATTCGGCTAACGAAAGGTTACGTGGTGATATTGTAACTTGAGCTTTGCTAATTTGAAATTTAACTTAACAATAAGTTCTTTGGCTAAGTCCGATTTTCTTGGGTAAATAAAGTTCAGACGAATGTTGCTTTTTTTGCTTTTATTTCTCCCATTTGAAGTAACCGGCCATCCGCTTGTCCTGTGACACTGTCATTGTAGCGTTAATCCACTGGAAAAGTTAAATGTAATTTTGTTGCTCATAGGCATTTTCACACCTACTTTCTCGTTCCTATGGAGACAGGTAAATTCAATATTCTCACAGTCTGTAGCAGAAAAAATAAACACGAATTTCTTTTAAGGGCGCGGGTAATTTTAAGGTTTTTCTCAGATGAAGGAACCAGCCGTCGGCGCGTAGATATAAAAATTGCAGCCAACGCGTTAGGAACTTTCAAAAGCGTTTTCCTGGATATATACGAGCGATTTAATTCGACGAAAACACGCCAGGCATTATCTATTATTACGGGTGGTGGAATTTTGCAGGTATTAATGATTTTCCGATATATCTGTATAGACAATGCGGACTTTTTATGCCGGTTACCGAATCCGGTATATATGGCGGTATCCGATCGATAACCGTTTTATGCCCTCCCCGTGAAAAGCGTTATTTTTACCCACCTGGGGGGCGGGTACCGGGGGCCGAAGGTATAACGAGACCATTGTTACGAATCGACGCGTTTTTTTTTCGCTCCTAATGAGCGGAATTTTGTGGCCGGGCGGCGGCAGCGGCTTTGGGGAATTTACACTCAGAAATTTATTCGTCAATACAAGACTACGAAAAAAACTCGGGGAGAAGCAAGAAGCGTCTGGAAAATAGCAAGATACATGAACGTATTTAAAAATGATCAAACGAGACTTATGGTGTTAGTTATACAAAAATCGGAAGTTTCAAAATGACTTTTTCCGAAATTCACTTATCTTGTCTACAGATTAATTGATAGTTTAAAATTTTAAATAGACGCTGTGTGTTTAGTCATTTTGAGATTCTTTATAAAGGGTTTTCTCCAATCTACTACTATTTTTACTTGCTTTTCACTGTTTTTTTTTTTCTCTCGAAAACGACTAACGACAAACATGCAGTAGGAATTATAAAATTAGCTTAATTTTTTATAGAAAATCCAAAAATGCACAAAATACAGGGTGTTCGATTTAAAGTTTCAATTTTAATAGTAGTAGTTTAAAACACTTTATAGACAAAAGATATGAATACCGAAGAATCTTATTTTAAACTCTACAGCTTTTGCGTAACTTAATTTTTATAAAAAATAAAAGAAGATGTGCAAAAAAGGAAATACCAAAATCCAAGAATTTTGGTATTGTTAGTCTCCCTCTAATAATTTAAGTTTGGTAGCTTCAGGGAATTGTGCATCCAAGTTCACAACTCCTATTCATTTACTTGACCCTGTATTTTTAATGGTTCAAAAGTTACCGACACATTTCTACCCAGCACTCATCTTCTAAACCTCACCATTATTTCAGTTACAGTAAATAGATTTATAATGGAAATTTATCATTAAATATACATTAAAGGTATTAAACTGATAAGAACAGATACTACACTTTGATCTTAGCCAAAAGGCCGAGAAGAGAAATATACATATCAATAACATAATAACATAATCTACAAGGGAATAGTATATTAAGCAACATAAGTGTTTAAGAAACGAGTGACTTAAAAATTTTACCGAACATGTTGCATACTATACTTTTTCTACAACCGTTAGTTTTTGGGTACATTTTCGCAAAACAACACGAATATATTCACTGATATGACCGTCAGAATTGGCAAACGTCACAATTCAAGGCGTGGGAAATATCTCCGAAAATATCCGATGGCTCCCAAACCTGTGCGGTAAAATCCCGGAAATGTACGAAGTGGCTCAGATCCGTGGGAAACGAAACTGAAGTGGTAAAGTGGCGCTTTCCGCACTTTAGATCGTTGTATAACTGGGCATTTTACAGACGGGAGAAGAAAATTAGTATATTATGCAACAAGTGCAGTAAACGGCATTTGAATCACGACTGAAAAAGTTTACCGAACGTGTTGCATACTATACTTTTTCTACCACCGTTAGTTTTTTGGTATATTTTCGAAAAAAAACGCGAATACATTCACTGAAATGACCGTCAGAATTGACAAACGTCACAATTCAAAGCGTGGGAAATATCTCCGAAAACATCCGATCGCTCCCAAACCCGTGCGGTAAAATCCCGGAAAAGTCCGAAGTGGCTCGGATTCATGGGAAATGAAACGAAACGTGTGTAGAAAAAATATATTTCAACATAATTTAAAATCTGTAACCAACTAGAGGAACTTTATTTTTAAGAGAAGACGAGAAGACGTGTATCTACAAGTTCCACAGTCTGTGGAATCTCATTAAAAGCAGATTTTTGAAATACTAATGGAACTTCTAATGGAAAGTGCAAAGAAGCTTTTAAAATTATGTATCTTTTAAAACGAGAACAAAGGTAGTAAAACTTTTATTTAACTACTTTAGCCACTCTTAGAATAAGTTAATTAATCATAGCGATCTATGACAGATAATAACTTAGTTTTCCTTTTACCATGTGTCTGCAAGAAGACCATAATATTATATGGTTTACGGACAAACGATCTTTATGTAATTTATGCCAGTCTCGGACCTATTAATTTACTACTTGCTTGGACCTAGAATAATTAAATAAATAAATAATATTGAGATCTCATTTATACGTCCATACTTTCAAAGGCAAATTTCTTAGGGAGATGTTATTGGTTTTTTGGGAAATTTCAAACACAAAGTTGTGGTTAGTACACGTGAGACACAAAAAAGCTCAAAATAAACGCGCAGGCATTCGCCACAGTTTTCCATGCAAGGAAATTTTCAATTAATCTTATAATTTATAGATACTTAAGTTAACTTTTAACTAACATGAATAGCGAATTCTAATCAACGCGAAGCCTAATTCGCTTTTAAAAAGAGCAATTAAGTGTATTCAGCAAAATGATAATCGTATCTATCTTCGCAATAAGCAACGTATCACGAGTTGCAGCTCGAATTTCACCAAACCGATCTTATTTTCCAAATTGCGGGCGTTTCTACGATCCCCGACGAGTATTAAAAACGATGATTTCGATTTCCGGACGAACCGAGCCAGAGATTATTTTCGGACCCGCTTAGATCACTCGTACTTGTTGCTGGCGAGGCGGTCAGTTTTTCGTTAAACATTTCGGTGCACGTGTCAATAAAAACGATTCCGCTTAATCGGAAAATTTTGCAAAATCTTATTCTGTCCGTTGCGCTAGACTATCGGAAATTTTTTGCCCCGAAAATTTTCATTGTTCTTGGCCGAAATGCCCCCGCGGCTCATTAGTTAAAATTAGCCGGGCGTTTATAAATCTTAATTACCGCGTTTTGCCAGTTACTAAAATAATTACACTTCCATATTTTGAATACAAAGAGTTCTCGTCGGAATGGAAAGTTTGAGCACAAAAGTGAACTTTTGCCGCGCCCTAATGCCTTAAAGTTTGCAAAAGTCCGGGCCGTACTTTCGAAAGCCCCGGGCATTAAAAACATTTCCGAAGAAAGTAATTTGGATACTAAATATTTTTAAAAAGAGAAAAAGAGAAATTTTAATGCCAATTACAGCGGAAAATCCGTCGGTCTCAACTTTCCGACGCGGCTAAATAACCTGCGTTAACAAAAAGATCTTTACATTCGATAACCAAGCTGAACAAATCGTATCAATAGGGCATAGGAAAGATTCAGTAAGCCATAATAATCTCAGTCAACATGAACATCACATTCTAGACATTTATAATGTAATATATTTTAAGAGGGAGATATAAATTTCATTAGCTTGGTCATTCCATTTATAAAAGATTCGATATTTTTACTATATTTACCCTTATCTAACTCACAATCTTTGTTAATCACAAGAAACCCCCAACAATTTTAGTACCAGCGAAGTTTAAGGAAAATTATTTATTCTAAAATTTGGTACTATTGATATTTTGTTAAAAACAAGTGTGATTTGAGTCTAAAAAAACCTTTGTAGCTTGGACGGAAACTAATCATTTCAGATTTCACAACTTTCAAAACAACACGCCTGAGATTATCGTGAAACTAAACAACTCTAAAATAGAAAGCCCTTATTAGGTATCACAATTCATAAAAAGTAAACTCTTATAAAAAATCAGCTTTTGGACATTTATTATGTTCATGCACTGTTGGGGATGTTAAGATTGGGGATATTCTACAGCAATAATAATAATAATAATAATAAAAATATATGTCTTTTTTTCAAATAAATATAGCCAACAGAAAATACAGCAATGAATTGATCATGACTGTTTTGATGCAGTCAGTAATACCTAATAAAAGTAATATTATTATTATTATTATCGTATGGCAATAACACAGTCTAGTTTTAAATTTTAATGTTTACAAAGGTTAAATCTTAATATCTAGGTTTTTAATCCAAACAACAGCCTTCCACAGTCGCAGCAGTTGGTTTCTAATTTGCCCCATTTGTGCAAGGAGTCCGCACAAACACCGCATTCTGTACGGATCCGATTTAGGGAGCACCAGTTTCCTCTCGGTAGTGTAGAACCTGGAACAGTTTGGTTAACGTGGAAAACGCTGCAGATATCTGGAGGAACGCTATTTTGCCACATCTGAGCCCATTCGTCTTGTAGGTGGAAGTTATTGGATATAAGCGCTGCCGCTGTTTGAATTGGAGGTTTTCTGGAGCGGAGCCTGTGCCCTAGTTGAGCGATATCTTCATGGATTTGGAGTTGGGGATTGTTTTGATTTTTCTAAATTCTCTGCAGAGAGCTTCCGATCGCCGGAGATGGGCTGGTGGAATGTTGCAGAGCGCGGGGAGCCATACGTGGGTGTGGATTTGATGGTTCCACTGATCATTCTAAGTGAGTTGTGGATTTGGACATCCACTAGTTTTGAGTGGGGGCTATTCGTCCAGACAGGAGCGCAGTATTCGGCCGAGGAGTAAACAAGGCCAAGAACGGAACATCGGAGCGTTTCGGCTGAGGCACCCCAGCTGGTGCCACATAGTTTGGATATTATGTTGTTTCTTGTCTTAAGTTTGGCAGCTACGTTAATAAAAGTAATAGGGTATTGAATAATAACAACGCGCTGCGTTATTAGAAAAACTGCTACGAAACTTTGCACTAAATTTCATTGTATTTATTAACATTGTGCACATTGTAATGAAAAAGTTTGCTCTCGCAAAGAGTGCTCAAAGGCAAGGTTAGTAATGATTTTTATTTGAAAAAAATGTACGTCTCTATGATCATGCAGTTTTAATCAGTTAATATCAGCATAAAGTTGATGAAAATATTACCAGACTTCCTCAGTCCAAAGACAAAGCGGCAACATTGTTCGCCTTTTTAGATCTGGACAAAATCCGTAAATATAGTCACAAGGGACTCACATAAAATCCTTATCAAACTCTTGCGTAATATATGTCTATTGTTGTAGAGCATTTATTGTAGAGCAGTATGTTTTTTTTTGGACAGTGGGCCATCTTAAAGCCATTTTAAAATGTTGCTCATTTGTCTCCCCGTATATTTTGGACCTCTATGTTCATGCTTGCAGAAATAAAAGCATTTTTCAGCTAAACTGAAATATGCTTGATTATGATGCTCGTGTGCATTACCAGTATTTAATATAATATATAAATTTCCCTCACTCTCCATCAACCTATTATCCGCCTTGTTTCGAAACATCGCGAATAGGAGGCGTGTACAAAAAGTTTGGATCAGAAAGTGGAATATTTCAAATATGTGACTGCATTGAAGTTTCGGGTGTTTTACAACTAGTTGTTAGCAGTTGTTTTCATCAATTAACAGGAATTAGTAAATAATTTTTATTCGACTCCTCACTTGACTTGGTATCGGACACATTTTGCAGGCATTTACAACAATTACGTATTGAAAAAGTAGAATTAATTTGACTTTTTAGACCACTTAGATCTTTGAAATGATAAACCGCTATATTGTTTTTTAGTACAGTTTATTAATCCGATCCACAAAACACACTAAATTTTTTGCGCCTTCCAACAAACCGACTGTTGGTAAAATAAAAATCGCCGTCTACGTATTCCGCATCTCACATGCAGCAACAGGAGTGCGGGGAAAGAGGTAGGCAGTCGCGCGAGTTGCCACTTGCAAACTTTAATCCTAGTTTAACAAAACGAAACCCGTATAGTGTGAAAGGTATACCGATCTCTGAGGTCTTTCTGTCTCCTTTTTTATGACAGCATAAACTTCCTTAAACTTGGTTCTATTCGTATTTATTTGTTTTAAGTGATTGTCTTGTCTACCACCCTTAAGAGCAAAAATCTAGTCCAAGTTTCCGCCCAGCACCTCGCAGTGAAATAACAAACCATAAACTAGATATCTACAATAAAAATTCACCCCCTCGTCACGTTAGGAAATTGTGCGATTGCGGGATCAAAAGGGGGGAGGGCGGTTCGAAACGGCCACCGTCCCCCCTTCCCGCCTTAACTCGTTTCCCCGTCTGGGGATATTATTAACGACTTGTGTCGTTTTTGGCCAATTGTGAGGTTTCGCAGCCGCCCCGGGGGTAA